GATTTTTACTATACACTTATTTAATAATGATAACGATTTAATTATTAATATAAATATAAAGATTAGCTAATAGTATAAGTATGTAAGGAGCGATAAAATTATTTTATTATTCAATATATATGATTATTATTCAATGATTTATATTAAGTCGATTTTTTTTTTTTTTTGATCGAAAATTTAATATTGGTAACCTTGGCAAAATTGAAAAAAAAACATTTTTTTTAAATTTAAAGTGGTCAACCTAGAATGAGTTTTTTTTTTTCGAAAAAAATCTAAGTCGAGTATTTTTACGCATAAATTAGTGTGGGTGGAACAAAATACGAAGAAATCAAAGTGGTAAGTAATAAATTTAACTTTTCTATTTCTAAAATCATAACTAAATTAATCTTATATGATAAGAATCCAAATATTCTAGATAATTTGGTCATTAAAGAGTATTCTTTTGGTTCTGGTGATGCCATTCAAACTAAACTTGTAAACTGTGCTGTTGATACTACCCTTCTACAAATCCCAAAACCTATTGATGGATATTTGTACAAATCATTATATTGTAGTATGTATTATAAATATATAAATTTAATAATTTTATTTAGCTAATTTTAAGAATTAAAAATTGTAGCAAAACATAAAATACATGGCTATAAATATGAAGCTGTAGTAGGTTTGAAGGGGGAACTACTATCACTAAGAGGTCCATTTCCTGGTAGTCAACATGATGCCAGTATTTACTCGTCTATTGGGAATGAAATTGATCATTTACTATCTCCGTCATATTGGATGCTGGGAGACAAGGGTTATATTGGTGGAAATAGAATTTTTGCACCAAATAAGAAATTGTCAAGGAAAGAGCCATCAATAAGAAACCCAAACAAAACTATGAAAGTCAAAGTTCCGTTTACACCAGAACAGAAAGCAGAAAATTCTTTTATCAATTCCAATCGTGCTGTTGTAGAAAATTATTTTGGGAGAATTAAAAAATTCCATTGCTTTGAAAAGGCATGGAGGGGCTCAAAAGAAAAATTGGATTTGGCTTTCTTGGTTGTTAACTATATTGTAAACATTGATATTCAGCTTGGAATGAAAAAAGCTTTTAGAGAATAATAAAATAAAGTTCTAACTTGATTTTTACTTTTAAATTTTACATTTAAATAAAATTTTTTTTGTAAAAAATTTGGAAAAATTTTGAAATTTTATTGTTTTTTTGTAATTTTGTTGAATTATTTGGTTTTGCACTTGTTTAAATGAAAATAAATTCATGAATTATGTCAAAAAAAAACAAAAAATATATCCAAAAATCAATAATGGGGGTATACTCATTTAATACAACTCAAACCACATAAAAGTAAAAAAAATTTTGGAATTTTTTTTATTTATTTATTATTACATGATTTGGGTAATAATAGTTTAAAAATATATATTTAATAAAACATTTTTTATCTCATTGCAATATCTTTTTTTTTAATGTAATTATCTGCGGTTTTTTTAATGTAATTAAAACAGGAGAGGAGTGGTAGCTGTAATTCAAAGAAATCCTTTTTTTTTTAGATCATTTTTCGAAATTTAATTAAATTAAAATTTGTAACTTGTTTATGTACAGATATTACTCATTTTTTTACAATAGATGGATATATATATATATATATGTGTGTTATTTCATTTTACAGGACTTATCAAACAACGGACCGTTGACAACAGTGACAACGACACCGTATCACTCAATAGCTAGCTACAAAGATAATAATAATAATAATAATAACAAACTACAACTAATCACCAACTGACAACTAAGTTAATAACTATATCAATACCAATACCATAATCATCCTGTTCACATCGATCATAAATAAAGGAATATGGATTCATCTCAATTACTTACGTCGCTCATTCTTGCAACGAATGCTTATGCTGGCGTCCTGAGAGCTGATCCTGTTCAGTGGAAGTTTCAAATCAACAACCTCTGGAAAATCTATACATTGAATATGGATCCGCCTCCCAGTGAGAAGAACTTTGTCTTCCTTTTCGTTCCCGACGACATGAGAATATGGTACAATCAACTGGCCGAAGGATCGCAACCTACCACCTTCTCTGAACTAGCGGATGCAGTAGATAAACACTATATGATCTCCGTTAATAATGAGGATACCTTTGGTAGGCTCAAGCAAGGTGATCTCACAGTGCTAGAGTTTGCCGACAAGTTCTACACGTTACTTCCGGCAAGATACAACGATGACATGAAGCAGACAGTCACAACGTTTGTGTCGAAACTAAGAGATGACCTTCGTGACCTCTTTGTTACTACCAACTGGCAGGACAAAAAACTAACCGCTGTCATTGATATTGCCTACAATCTGGAGCACAACAACAACACTCAACATCAAAACAACACTACTACTACTACTACTACTTTAAATAATAATAATAATAAATATATTAATAATGATAACTATAATAACTGTGTTAAACATCGCAGTAATGATGAAAACAACAACAATAACAACAACAGCCAGAATAATTACAATTATAATTACGATTACAATAACCATAACAATAGTTATAACTATGATAATAACAACAACTACAACATTTACAATAACAACAATAATCAGAACAATAATATTGTTCGAAAAAGAAACAACAAATATGACAGTAGTATATATCGTAAACAATTTGCACCCTATATCTACCACAAGACGGAACGGGCTCAGGTCTCGAGACCTGATTTCTCCAGACTCTATAAAGAAAAAAGAGCGGTCCTCATCAAAAACAAAGATTGCTACGCATGTGGTCAGCAAGGACACATTGCCAAAGACTGCACAAACAAATACCTAAAGAAGGAAGGCTAAGTGGAGCGATCTCCAACAAACAGATGAGAACACCTGTGATGAAGCGGACGATTCCATTTTTAAACTTAAACAGAGAACATGACTGTTCCAATTATATAGTAATTGGAAGCTACGATTAGCAAATCTCTTATCGATTGACATGTAATCGCTACACAAGGCAGACGTCATATGCCTATACAACTCACTACTTTACCACAATTGTACTCCACACATTACCACGATCGTGAAGAAATAGTAGATGCGATACGTTGCTTCTACTTACTTACTCGTTTATAGACAGTCAACTACTTAAAAACATCACATCACACAGCCACTGCGGTAAACATTAACTATTCGCCAATCACCATCCAATTCTTATAAGAATTTCAATCCATCAGTGACTTCCACAACCTATCGATAAGCGAATTCAACAATCTAGAGTATAGAGCGCTTGGAAGGAACGGGCCAGAGGTTACCTCCGTCCTTCTCTATTTTGAAAAATGCCATCATTATCTCGAAAAGCAATCATTGAAGAATTCAAGTGCGGTGATGTAGACGCACCATGAAAATGTGGAAAAGTTTAAATATTTAAGTATTTCCAACAATATTAATTTATTAATTTATTAATTTATCATATTTTAATTTATTATAATAAATACTTTGATACTTCATAATATTAATAATATTTAACCTTTAAAATAATATTTAACCTTTATTGAGCAAACTAAATGAAGATAGGAAATGTGTTTACTCATTCTCAAAAAAATTTTGTAGTAGCAATACAATTCTAAATCAAATACTAAAAAAATACATAGAATGAAGAACTTTTATTGTTTAAAATATAACCAAACCAGGTACCAATTAAGAACTTTTTTATTGATTAAGTTGTTTGTTAATTTGTTTTTATTTATTTTTAGTTTTTTGTTTTATCATTCTATTAATCTTATTAAATGTGTGTAATTTCAAAAAAAGCTGTGCAAAAAAAACCCAACCTATAAAATGAAATAACACAAATATTTTTTGTTTGTTTTTAGTATGCCCCCTTTACACCAATTATATTAACTCGATTTTCAGTGTTGTTATCAATAATCATTACTCTTTTTCTAAAAAAAACAAATTTTAATACAACATATTTAAATAAAATTTCAATTTTTAATGTAGTGGAATTTAAACTAGCTATGGTGCTACTGTAAATGATATATTTAAAAATGTACTGAGGTTATCAATTTATCAAGAGTGGTTATTCTATCATTAATACAAACCTTATTTGATTGAACGAGTTCTCATTTTGATTCATCATATAAAATATTTTTAAACATTGCACTGAATTGGATAGCATTATCAATAAAAAACAAAATAAGGAAGGATGATTACAACTTCATTTTAAATAGAACAACAAGAACTCATTTTAATATAAATTTTTATTAAGAATTACAAATTTTTAAAGAGTACTCCACAGTTATCTGTACCCATCTTTTATTCAAAAAACTGATATAACTGTAAATGGAAATCTGTTTTTGTTTTTAATCTATTTCAAAAAAATTGTTAAACTGCTTAATTGCTATTACATTCATCATATCGTTCAAATTACAGTTTTATTGTATGATCATAAATTTTGATTGTTTAATTTTTTCTATTTATACTGAGGTCAGTCTGTAGTTTTTCAACAAAATAAAAACATTACAACTAAATTACTTACTTTTTAAACCTAGAAACTAAAAGATAAAATGTCAAGAAATCTTATTAAATATACTTTATTGTTTGTACTCGTGGTTGTAGTAAATACCATTTGCTTGGCTGAAGGTAAGTTACAATATCTAAAATTTATCTATTAACTATTTAATTTAAGAAGAAGTTGATAAGACTTGTGATGTAGTACTCCTAGCAGCTAATTAAAAAGAATCTTAAAAGAACAAATAAAAATCAGAAAATTTTTAATTGGTACTGAAATTATATCTTTAAATATTTTATAGTTTTATTGATTCAAATATTTTTAACATATGTTAAAAATCTTAATAAAACTATAAAATATGTTAAAAAAAAATATAGATATTATTAATAATCTAAGTTTTTTTTAATTGCTTAGCTTGAGATGGTTGAGATTGTTTGGATTGGCTTGTCTAATTGCTTAGCTGAGAAGGTTTAGATGGTTTGGATTGGCTAATTTCTTAGGATGCTTATTTTGGATTTGATCGGTTAGACACAACACCGGTTCTTGGTCCTTTGGAACATTTGGCTGGTGAATTTGAACCCTATTGCCCAATATGAACTTCACCTCACCCAAATAAAGTGCACTATGCGGGGTTCGAAACCAGCAACCAAGGATGATTTGGCTAAAGAAGGACTACTTTATTCAAACCCTCAAGGGCATTAATAATATCGATTTTAGATTTTCAACACATTTAAATTAATATAAACCGCATTTATATATATATTTGATACAGAATCTTTTAGTTGTTATTTCATCAGAAGGTGTTTGTAATATATAATGTACATAGTGATGATATCGTTGGTAAAGAATTGATAACGACGATATCACAAAGACTACCACCCAATGCCTCTGCTATTCTGATAGGTGATATCGATCTTGATGGCAAGAATGAATTGATCATTGGAACATACGATCATACTCTATATTCATTTAGTTTAGTATTATCATCGAATCAACAACAACAACAACAAGAATCAGAACATCAATCAAATAATAAAAATTATAAAAACAATAACGATAAACAACAAAGTAATCATGATCATAATGATAACAAATCAAAGTATAATAACAATAACAATAACAATAGTAAGGTAATAATAACAAAGAATAAACGGCAATTACCTGGTCAGATAGGTTCTTTAGTTATGGCCAAGGAAGAGGGTGGCGAAGATATTGATCGTTGGACTTTGTGAAGGAACCAACTATGTTATATTGGATAGGAAAGGACAGCTGAACAGTGAGGAACGACCGACAAACTTGCAATCGATGTCCTCTTCCTATTCACCGCCGTACAGTTCGGCTAATGCAGGTTCAACAACGGTTGTTGTGCCTGACTTCACCACGGATATGCTCACCAATACCGAGTTACTCGACGAATTCTATCAAACATTACTCTCAAAGCTCGATAAAAAAGAATTGGAACTCTACTTGGAGAAACTGAAAAGAAAACAACTTCTTTTAAGATCATCTTAATCTGAATCTAATATTGACAATAAAATATGTACATAAATAATAATAGTAGATTGCGAATTATTTAATTACCTACACTTAATTAAATAAAAACGTAGGGTTATCGAAAAAAGCTTTAAATCACTGATAGAAAAGGTTAAAGACTTATAGGAAACTAGATATGAGTATTCCAGTGGCATCATATCCAAAGATGTTTTTGAAGATATCAAAACTGTGAGTATCATGATAGTACCAAGTTTAAGATGGTTAGAAAATAAATTGGTGGCTGATATAGATTTGTTGTGTATCAAAAAACTAATTGTATTTGGGTTAAAATGAGATTATTACTTGAATCGATTTCATATTAAATTCACCAAAAGGAATAAATAATGTATAAAAACAAATTTTCACTATCATTACCATATTATTAGTTTATACTATTATTTTTAAATCTACTAACATTATAAAATGAACAACAATATAACTAATAAGATTTGCAAAAAGCACTCTGGATTTCAAATTGAAATTCCTCCATGTGATCTAATAGATTTCTTTAGATTTTACCTAGAAAGAAACAGATTTAAATAAATAATATATCTAAAGAAATTCTCCAGGAAATCCCTTCTTTCTGATGATGATGGTAGTCTCCTTTCTCAGAGAAAGGAGACTACCATCCCCCTTTGTCCGCCGTACTGAAGGTCAACTAACCATCCACAAGTAATATACAAAATTTATTTGAGAATGAGAAAACACATTTCCTATCTTCATTTAGTTTGCTCAATAAAGAATACAATTCTAAATATTCAAATACTAAAAAAATATAGAATAAAGAACTTTTATTGATTAAGTTATTTGTTTTATTTGTTTTTATTTATTGTTATTTTTAATATAAATATTCTTTTTTTATTTTATCATTCTAATATTCTTAGTGTGTGTAATTACATGCAAATTTACACATACTAATGCAAAATGTTTTTCTCCCTAAAAAAGAAAAAAATTTTGCATTAGCTTTTGTGTGCATTTTTCAAAAATAATGCGAGAATACCAAAAAAAGCTGTGCAAAAAAAAACCCAACCTATTAAATGAAATAACACCAATATTATTTGTTTGTTTTACAGTATCATTAGTATTCCCCCTTTCCACCAATTATATTAACTTGATTTCAGTGTTATTACCAATAATCAATGCTCTTTTTATCAAAAAAACAAATTTTAATACTTTTGTTACAATTCTGAATGTGCGAAAAATTTCAATTTTTAATGTGGTGGAATTTAAACTAGCTATGGTGCTACTGTAAATGATATATTTAAAAATGTACTGAGTTTATCAATTTTTCATAGAGTGGTTCTATTTCCTTATTCTATCATTAATACAAACCTTATTTTTGATTGAACGAGTACTCGTTTTGATTCATCATATAAAATATTCATAGTATGTGTAATTTCATTTTATGCCTCCCTAAAAAATGAAAAAAATTAAATATGAGTTCTGATTTCCCAGCATTTAAATAAAATTCAATTTCTAATATGGTGGAATTTAAACTAGCTATGGTGCTACTGTAAAGGATATATTTAAAAATGTACTGATGTTATCAATTTTTCATAGAGTGGTTCTATTTCCTTATTCTATCATTAATACAAACCTTATTTGATTGAACGAGTTCTCGTTTTGATTCATCATATAAAATATTTTTAAACATTGCACTGAATTGGATAGCATTATCAATAAAAAACAAAATAAGGAAGGATGATTACAACTTCAATTTAAATAGAACAACAAGTACTCGTTTTAATATAAATTTTTATTAAGAATTACAAATTTTTAAAGAGTACTCCACAGTTATCTATACCCATCTTTTATTCAAAAAACTGATATAACTGTAAATGGAAATCTGTTTTTGTTTTTAATCTATTTCAAAAAAATTGTTAAACTGCTTAATTGCTATTACATTCATCATATCGTTCAAATTACAGTTTTATTGTATGATCATAAATTTTGATTGTTTAATTTTTTCTATTTATACTGAGGTCAGTCTGTAGTTTTTCAACAAAATAAAAACATTACAACTAAATTACTTACTTTTTAAACCTAGAAACTAAAAGATAAAATGTCAAGAAATCTTATTAAATATACTTTATTGTTTGTACTCGTGGTTGTAGTAAATACCATTTGCTTGGCTGAAGGTAAGTTACAATATCTAAAATTTATAATTGAATATCTATTAACTATTTAAATTCTAATTTTAGAAGAATTATTTGATAAGACTTGTGAGACAGTACGCATGGCAGTTAATTAAAAAGAATCTTAAAAGAACAAATAAAATCAGAAATTTTTAATTGGTACTGAAATTATATCTTTAAATATTTTATAGTTTTATAATAAATCATATTTTTATTCTATTCATTTTAAAGTTTTGATTGATCGATACCATAAAAGTTAATCCATTGGTTGGTATATGTGGTTACACCAAAATCAACATTGTCCAAATTCCAATCAGAGATCTCAATCGTTGTAATTTGAGACAAGAGTTGTGTTGGCATTGTTTCTTGAGTGATGTTGGAATGTGTTGAAATCGAGAATGCAGAGTTTGTTGGTGCTGTCTTGCTCACAGTGACTCTGCAACCAACAGTCACATCGAATGAAACAATTCTATTTGACCATCCAATCGATTGAAGATACGCTTCATCGTAATGACCTTTTCCAAGTTTAAGTGTTTGTGATTGTGAATCAACAAATGTTAAATTCCATTTACAACTTGGTGCTGAAATAAATATGGTAAAATAAAAAAAAAAGAAGTAGTTAGTTTGTTTAATGTTCATGAGAATATGGATGAATGAGTATTTCTTACATGAAATAGTAATATTATCAATGGTTGTGAGACTCTCTGGTGTTGTTGTAAGATTTCCAAACCATGAGACTTGTGTTACAATCAATGAAGAATTTACATAGTTAATTTCTGAATAACAATTCGATGGTGACTATTTATCAATTAACATATGATTTGATATTAGTAGGATGTTCAATTTTTAATTGAATGATGTTTGATTTTAAACTTACAAAAATTGATGTAAATGGTTGACTAAGTGCGAGATGAGTACCAGATGCAAGAGTGGTTTCTCCATTGATTGTATCTCCAACACAAATTGGTGCTTAAATTATTCAAAAACGAGATATCTATTAGTCATACTAAATACTGTACAAATCATTAAAAAATTATATTGCTACTTACAAATATAGTTAAATGCGTATGGTTTGCTTGTTGTTGAACCAATTGTTAATTCAATAAAACTATTGAGAGTTGCAGATGGATTGATTGATGATAGACAAATGATATTGTTTTCATCAACCCATTTGGTAAATTGACATGGTTCACCAGAGATCAAAACCTTAGAATTCAATGGATTGACATTTTTTGGAATAAAGTTGGTACCTTTCAAGTGGAAAATCAAAGATCCAATATTTGGAAGACCATTTTGTTGAATATCTAAATTCTCAATATGTGAAGTGATTACTGGTGCTATTTTATATGAAAAATGTGATTATTGTTAATACAATAATATTTTAAATAATAATATCATAAACATACCAGTATAGAATATATTATACTTTTGATAAACATCATAGTTGTTCCAACGAAGTGAGAGTGTTTTGTTTTGAATTCCTGCTGAAATCGGACATTTCAATATCTTTGCATTTATTACACAGTTTACAAGTTGGTCTAAGTATATTTGTAGTTTAAGTTAATAAAATATCGAATAATATTTAATAAAAAAAGAATAATATAATGTACATACCATCCAAGAAGATATTGAGTGATTTCATTGTTGGGTATGCATTATTGATTGTAATTTGAGTACCAATTGTTGGTGATTCAATTTCCAATTTCTTAACATTGGTAACAGTTGCTAATTAAAATATTTTTATATGCTATATTAGTTTTAAAAAGTCTAATTATCAAGATTCAAATAAGTTTACTTACAATTCAAGAATATTTCAAGTTTGATTATATTGGATGGTAATGTCATTGGAGTACCATATGTGATAGGTCCATAATATTGTGTCACTGAATTGGATGTCCAGACACTTATTGTTAGATTCCAAATGGTTGTGATTGAACTGATTCGTGAATTGATCCAACCAATATTGGAAAGGAAATCTGATTGATAGACACCAATTGGTAGAGTTAATCTTGCACCATTATTGTCATAGAATATTGCACGTTCATCGCTAATATAATCGGATCTTAACAATCCAATCGATTCAGCTATATTCTTTGTATACGGTGGATAATCAGAGAATTTATATTTGATATTGTTGATCATTGGTCTAAATTGAGATGATTTCGTTATAATCGTGAGAATAGTATCTCCTTCAACTGGCATATTAACACCTCCAACCTCTGGAGTGTAATATCTAGTCTTTATAGTTCCATCGTTTTGAGTGATATTCAATTGAATCAAAATGGATTTAAAGTCTGAGAATTTCTGTTGAATCGATGGATCAACAAGTAAACCAGTCATGTCTTGATCAACATATACATTCAAATTCAAATAATCTAAAATGATCGATCATTGCAATTATTAATAATTATAGAAGAATATTTTTGAAATTAATTACTTACATGGATAAGTTGTATCGGTTGTGGTTTTTCCAATTCCAACATATTTTCCAGTAAATCCAGCAGCAACACCTGTAGCGGTTCCTCCACCAACGAATAAAAGAGTGACAAGTAATTTAATATTGGCGAAAAATGCATTCTCTGTCACTAAAACTTCAGTTGTTTCTAAAACACCAAGAAGTTCAGCTGATAAAGGTTGAGCAAGTTCTTCAATTACGAATGTTGTAACTTCAGCAGCAACATTCTCAATAACAAATGTCAATCCTTCTGCTGTTTGAATCGTAATTTCTGCAAGTGCAAATGTTGCTGCAACCGCTTCCGTAGCTAACATCTCGATAGCTACTGCCACAGCAACGACAACAGTGACCACAACTGTAACAACAGCCTTCCATACATTCTTAAGTTTATCCCACCACGATTCTCCACTGTCGGTAGTGTCTGAAGGATCATCATCACCGTCGGTTTCATCATCATCACTCTGATGATCACTACTTTCTTCTTCCTCTTCATAAGTGTACTGAGAGTCACCAGATTGTCCTTTGAAGGTAAGAGTTAATGTCTTTGTTCCTTCACTTCCAAATGGAGTATAGCATGTAACTAACGAAGAAGAAGAGACAACTGGATTGATACAATTCTTTCCATCAATGGTAACTTTAACTTTTTCTCCTAACAAACCAAGATTATTTCCTGAAATATCAATTGGTTGACTCTCATCTGTTTTTCCACTTGATGGTCTAACTTGTAAATTCGAAGGTGCTATATTTAAAGTAATATTAATAATTATTAAAACTCTTTTGAATAAAAGAAAGATAAATTCATACCTTTATATCCATCGTATGTAAATGTTTCACTTTCTTGAGAATGTGCTTTGACTTGGACTTTAAATTTGGTTCCACCTCCACTTGGACAAGTGAATATAATCTTGGTTTCAGAAATCGACAGAATCTTGGATGAATCAAGTGCTTTTTCTTCAAAGAGAACCTTTAGATCTTTACCATAGAAGAATTTACCTGTGATTGTAATTGGTTCAGTTCCATCGACATCACTGAGTGGTTGAATCGATGAAATTTCAGGAATGTCATAATATGAGAAATAATCGTTTGTTGATGTCCATTGACCTCCAACTGTAACATTGACTGTGAGATTATGTCCAGAACCTTGAGGAATTGTACAATAACAAATCGATGAAGTTGACCATCTTATTGATGGACATTCAACATCGTTGATCTTAATTGTATTGTTCTCTGATTTTGTAACTTTATCTGCAATTTCAGATGGTACAAAGTTTGATCCTTTAATTGTAATTTCATATTGACCTTCATTTGGTCCTGAGTAATATAAATCTTTTTCTAAAATTGGTCCTATTGATATGATATAATAATAATTAATAAAATAATCAAATTAAATGAAATTAACTATAATTACTTACTATCATAAGAGAATACTGTATTGTTTGGTGATTTTTGATTTCCAACAACAACCAGAACATTTAAATCAGTTCCAATTCCAGGTGGAATTGTGCAATATGATGTTTGATCGTTCTCCCATTTTATCGATAAACATTGGTTGCCATCGATCGAAATATAATTGTTTGTCTTGTCGTTTGTCGCTGATGTCACAACACTTGCTGGAACAAAGTTTGATCCTTTGATTGTAATTTCAACATTTCCTTTTGATGTACCACTTAATTCTTCAGATGTAACGTTTGGTGCAATATACGAGAATAATTTAATTGAACTCTTTCCATCTGAAATACTACTTTGATTTCCAACAAATACTTCAAGTGTCAAATTTGCACCGATACCTTCGACAACAGTGCAGTTTATCAATGTCGAATTGATCCAAAGCAAAGAGGTACATAGTTTACCATCGATTGTAACATTACTATTTGGGAATGTTTGTTGTGATTTGGCAAGAATCTCTGGAACAAAATCTAAACCTTCAATTGAAAATAATCCACCTTTTGTTGGTTGATTTACAATTTTCTTTGTTACATTGGGGGCTAAAAATAAATAGAATAATAGTCAAGTTAGTTTTCATATTTTTTAGGTTGATAAAGAAAGAGATTAAATGGATAATAATTACGATTGTATGAAAAAGTGAATGATCTTTTGTTGAATGTGTCGATATCAACAACATTTCCAAGTGATATTGAAATGTTGAGATTCTTTCCAATTCCGGCTGGAATTACTGTTGTGATGAATGTCGAATTTGTGAAATTGTTGTTTGTAGTTAGTGTCTTGTCGAGTGTGATATTCGAGAATGTGATTGGTCCTTCCAAAAGTGCATCGTCTACATAGGTATCGGTATCATTGTCATATGAATATACAATATATTCGTTGGGAACAAAGTTTGTACCAGTGATCGAAATTGTAGTGTTTCCATCGGTGCTGCTATTGAGTGGTTCGATTGAGTAAATCTTGGAATTTGGGAATGTCAGTGTATGGTCGAGGAATGTCCAACCATATGTGAGATCGTTCACAACGGCAACAGAAATATTGTCACCAAATCCAGGTGGAAGCAAACACTTGATACAATAGAAATCAACTGTTGTTCTGAATGAATCACTTAAATCGATATACGGGTCATATTCAGCACCATCGATATATTGTTGTGTTGGTGGATCTATTGAATTACCATTGGAGTCAAAGTATTCTTTGGACTTGTAACAGTTCTCGAAATCGTATTCACATTCCGCTGCTGCAAATCCATAGAGTGAAATCATTGGAATGTCTTCTTCAGATCCAAAATCGGTACCGGCAATCCAGAAATCGTTATATATAGAGGTATTGAATTCTGGATGAACAAGTTGAAGGATATTTGGTCCTTTGTAAATGATTGCAAAATCTTGTGACAACTCTGTTTGTTGACTATCGACCTGAACTGTGACAAGTAACCTTCCACTTCCACTTGGAATTGTACAACTTGCTTTGGTATCACTGATTAACACGATATCTTCACATGATCCATCACCAATATTGATATCGAATTGATCTGAATCTGAACCGAATGATGTTCCTACAACTTCAAGTGCTCCACCACCAAGTGTTGGTACTGGATCTTTTATTGATATTGAAGTGATTGTTGGTGCTTTATAACTGATTGTGATATCATGATTTGAAAGCTGCTCACCAACTTGAACAATAACTGTTTTATCAACACCTGTTCCATCGGTTGTGAATACAAGTTTGTCATTCATTCCGTTGGTACTTGGAATCAATGTTGCAGCTGTCTTTTTGTTGTTTATCAATAGTTGGACATAAGAAGGTGTTTGTTGGCTTGATGTTTCTGTAGTATGGAAATTCTGACCATTGACAGTCACTGATGTTCCAATAGTATTAATGAAATCTTCATTGGTTGAAATCGATGTGACAACTGGTGTATTGTAGGTAAATGTATAGGTTTTAACAAGGTAGTTCATCTCTTGAACCAATGAACTCTGACTTCCAAAGTATGTGATTGAATGTATTCCATATCCTGGTCCAATGGAACATGTCATTTGTTGATTGTTGTTTGCTAACTTTGTAATGGTTGGATTTTGACAAGTTTTATCACCAACTTTAATTACAGTTCCAGTTTTATCGAGATTTCTTCCAACAATCGTTATTAATGTGTTGCTTGATGTTGGACCTGAGAGATTATCAATAATGAAAACAATTGGACCACTGTTGCAACTCGATAATACATCATCACCCAAATTGAATTGATCCAAAGTCACGGAAACCATTGAACATAGTTTATTGTTGTATGATACAATTGCAATTCCAGGTTGCGTGGTATCAATATTATTTGGAATATAATAGGTATCGATGAGATTATAGGTTTGTCTCTCAGTTGAAATTGATAGTAATGAATTTAAAAGTTCGTTGGCCATCTGTAGGCCAAGTGGTGTCATAAATGGAAGTAATGAAAATGAACAGAGGTCACTATTCATCTTTTGGAGCAATGATCTAAAAAGAATGTTGTTTTGGTATGCTGTTTGGAATGAAGTGGAGAAGAGGAATGATAAACCTTGGTTTGATGACCAATCACCGCTGGTTGTTGTTGTTGCCCAGTTACTTAAAAGTTTCTCGAGGATATCGATTGAGAAACCAACTTGGTCAAAACTCGATGGACATATTCCTTTGGAAAGTAGATAATCGGTGAGTGATGAAGGATCATTGTTGGTTGGTGCTGGATCGACTCGACATGTCTGACAATCAAAGATATTGTTATAGATTCCGATTCTATTGATCCATTGTACTTTGTCTTCTGATGAATCAGGATAGGTTGCTCCGATGAATGAAATAAGGTTGTTGTTGAATTCCAAAATATTAGGAGTGGAAGTAGTTGTGTAGCTTTTCAAAACACCGATGAAATCAAACAATTCGATTGAATTTTGATTGTTACCATCGACATTTAGAATACCTTTCTTTGAAAGTTCAAGATAGTTGTCATCATTGGTGATATCAATCAAATCCCAAAGATAAGCTGATATCCATCCAAATGATCTCGTTCCGTTCGAATCGAAATTGTTAAACTTTTCAATGTCTTGAATCAAAGTGCAATTATTAATTGAAATTTCAGTGTTGGTTGCAAGAGATGGGAATGCTCTCTATTAATTTTGTAATGTAAGATATTTTCATTAATATTTTGTTTGATTTTGGAATTGTATTATAATATTATAATTTAATACATACTTGTTTTAATAATGTAGAAAAAACATTAATGAGTGATTGAATGAATGCATCTGTTTGAGTTGAAGTTGACCATCCTTGGTTTTTACCGGAATTCTTTAATTGATCTAAGTTTATTGTGAACAATGGATTCAATGATTTAATGAGGTGGTATGAATATACTTGAATGATAGAATCGAGACAACTCGTGTTAAAGTGAGCTGTCAGATCATCGTTGATGTATCCAGTGGAATTTTCAAGGTGAATTACAACTTTAACCTTTGGAATAACAAGTGGTTGTAATGCTGCTTGATTGGTTGCTTCAATCAATTGTTGGAAAAGTAAATAGTAAAGTGGTCTGGGATCTTTTGTGTTATTGTTGGCATCGGTATAGTTTTGGCCATCTAAGTTGAAACCAAGAGTCGACTGATATCTGAGTGGAGTTGATGTACTTGTGTTGACGATTGTAAGATTGCGCAATGCATCTTCAAGGTAGATTTGAACGGTCTGGTTCGAACTTTTGTCAAACTCGAAAACACCATTGGAGTCTGTGGTAAAGTTATACTGTTCGGCAATGGAATCGAGGCAACTGAAATCACATTCCAATGTATTGTTATTGACAGAGACTGATCTAACTAAAATCTTGGTTTGTCTAAAAACTAAATCATTTCTCAGGAGATCGACAACATTTTTTAGAGCTGGACTTACGTTACTTCCACTTAATGGTGATGCCATGAGCAAACCTCGGAAGTATTGTGGTGTCTGGAAGGCAGTGGTAACACAATCGCCATTGATGGCTGATTGGCATGTTGTATTGAATACTCTCTGACTAATTTGTTTGTGGAAAGCAACCAAAGTTTTTGATTTCACACATACTTTAATTCCTTTCTAAAAAATGTAATTTATGTAATTCATAAATAAATAGATAAATTTATTAGTAACAATAAATTTACGATTTTTTAATTATCATATAATAAATAATTACCTTTAAATAGGATTGATCTAATGAACCAACACAGAATTGAGTTTCATTGTCAAAAGAGATATGAGAGGCATCAATAGATGATGTCCAAGCAGAGATACTGAATGGAATACTGTTGTTTTTAATAAACTCATTACTAAATCTAAACTCTGAAACTCCAGTTGAATTTTCTGCTAATTTATATTGTAACTAAAAATAAAATAATTAGTTGATTTCGTCATTCAGCATTATGAATCAAATGAAAATTTAAATAAAATAAAAAATAAAAATAAATACTTTATTAGAAATTTATAAAATTAATCAAAACACACCACACTCTCATATTAACTCCCCTTTTTAATTTTTTTTTTAATCTCTAGATCAAATGATTACCAAATATTAAAAAAAAACTAAAATTAAAAAGATGTTCAAAAAAAATAAAAATTTAAAATTAAAATCATTTTACAAAGAAAGATCATCTTTTCATCTTTTTTTTTTAGGCGGGAACAGGTTGTTTTTGAAAAATAAATAAAATAAAATAAAAATAATATAAAATAAAATAAAAAAATAAGAATCTATAACTATTTGAATACTTACAGGAATACTAAGGTATTGTTGATTAGTTGTGTTCCAGATATCAAATCCACCAATTAATTGATAACCCAATGTAGAGTAAAGATTCGAGGTGATTGTCGATGAAGATGTTGGTTGACCATCGAGAAGGAAACTAATTTCAGCTGCATAAGGTTTGTCGGCATTCAATGTGTAGATAGAAGGATTGGAACTCTTTATTGTGGTCATTACTTGCATTAAACTCGATTGTTGAACCTTTGTACAAAGGAATGAATGTCCGAAGGTTGCATTATAATAGGAGAATCCAGAAAGTATCGAATCGGTTGGAAACCATCTCTGATCTGGAGTTTTGCTGCTACCAACCACAAAGTTTGTGGAATTCAATGGAATTGGAAAACCTTCGAGAGAATGAACAATGTGGATACCATTCTTGGTTGTAGTGTCGTAGCCGAGAACCCCTTTACCCAGACCGCTACTACCGTCTTGTGTCGTTGGGTTCAATTGAGTTGCAACGTTACCGTTGGAGTCGTTGAGCCATGCCTTATCATTGTAGGAAATCGAAACAATCTTTGGCAAAAGGAATTGGCCCATAGTCAAAGCAAGACTGCTCTCAATGCTCTGAATTGGTTTCGGCATCCATCGTATGGTTTGGTCAGCGCTATCGGTATATAGGTACGATCCGGTGTTTGGTAGTTTCTTAATATACCACCAATCTACGGCTTTGTTCTCTGGTGACAAACATGCAGGTTCCGCAGCAAACGATCCATATGGTAACAGAGTCACTAACAACAAAACCAGTTGGAAGAGTAACACTGTCTTTGGAATAATATCTATTCTATTACTTTTTTTCATAAATATTTATATCTATTTTAATAAAATATAGAAAAAGATGATATGATATGATTAAACTAAATTTGTTTTTGTTTGATATCAGTACCGTACTGAAGGATGTGCAAGGAGAGATTACTTTAAGATTTCGTGAAATGACAACACACGAATTAAGATCTTTCTGATGTTGTTGTTTTTCACAAAGTTTGCGAATGAGGGAAGTAAAGTTGGTACATTCGCACTTCGTCAATCTTTGATATCAGTACCGTACTGAAGGATGTGCAGGAGAGATAACTAAGATTTTGTGAAATGACAGCACACGAATTATGATCTTTTCGATGTTGTTGTTTTTTACAAAGTTTGCAAATGAGGGAAGTAAGCAAATGAGGGAAGTAAAGTTGGCACATTAGCACTTCGTCAATCTATATATATATGCAAATAAAAATTTGATATTTTTATGATAAAACGAAAGAAAAGTGATCTTGAAAAAAATCTTTTTCATCATTTTTGCAGCTTTTTTTTTTTGCTTTCAAAAAGGAAAATAAATAATTTGTGTCTTTTTGATGAAGTTTGTATCGTGTATCAAAAAGGAAAAAAAAATTATCTTCTTTTTGATGAAGTTTGTTTGCCTTTTCGATGTATCAAAAACAAAAAAGATTTACATTCGCCATTAGAACAGTCTTTTAGGACTTTGCCTATCAAAATGGGTATCAGTTACTGTAGTATCATAAATCGTTTGACCCTCAAACAAAATCTTTTCTCCAATCACGATTAATCTTACTTTGTTCAACCACAATCACACGTTATCAATAGTTCATATTTTCGTTCTGGTTAAGAATCAATCATTTGTCAAAAAGTATACTTCACGATAAATACCTTTTAGTATTGGATTTTAAACATCATTATTGATTTTAAACAACAAGTATATTCATCTAAAATGAAGATATTATATGTTTTTTTAGTATTTCTATGTTTATTTACATTGACTTATTCATCAGATACACCACCGCCGACTCCTGAAATCACCGGAATCGTTTCTACTGGAGGAATCACTTCGAATTTAGTGATATCTGGAACAAACTTTGGAACTTCACCATCTGTAACCATTGCTATTAATGATGGTGTCCAAACTCCGTTCGTATCTGAAATCCAAACAGATGGTTCTCTCTTGGTTAATGGTCCAATTTTAGATTCAGAGACAACTCCAAGTGCCAATGGAATTTGGAAAGCTTCAGTCAGAGTTCTCAATTCGAATGCATTTGATCTAAACTTATTCAGTAAGTTTGATTTTAAATATAATTGAATTTATTAAAATTAATATTTTATTCTCAATTTAGAACCAATAATTAGTGATATTCTCCCAAATAATAAAGGTATTTGTGCAGGTGGTACTATCATTCAAATCAATGGATTTAATCTTTTGAATCCATCAAACAGCAACCCAGGACAAGTATTGGTTGGAGGTTATGATTGTCCGATCAAAAATGATTTTGCCAACACTGCTATTTCCTTGCAATGTGTTACACCTTCCACTATTATCGATTGTGAAAACAAATTACCTAACGATGTTGGTGTTCAAGTTAAAGTTGATGGAGAGAGTTCCGATTCTTTCGAGTTTATTTACCAAGATCCAGAGATTACATTCACACCAACATCGTTTATTATCGGAAAGAATGTTGCTATCGATGTTACCGTGAAAAATTTATTCCTTAATAATATTCCAGATCCAATATTGATGATAGGAACCGAGATCTGTACTGATGTTACTATCTCAGCTTCTAAAACATCGATTCAATGCAACACTCTTCCTTCTTTTACAACTGCTTTAAATGTTAATATCAAAGTCACCTATGGAACCAACATATTCAGCTCTACTTCTCTATTTGGTATCTTGAGTATGTAATCTACATTAGCTTCTCTATTTTTTGAAACAATTTAACTAACTTTCAATTAAAATAGTTCCAAAACTATTGAGTTTCGATGTGAATAGTGGAATAGCTGGTCAAACTACACCAATCGAAGTGACTGTAGAGAATTTCGATGTTTCATTTATGAACGATGTTCAAATTCTCTTTGATACAACACCTGCCACAATCACTAAAACATCGTTTTCATCCAACAAATTCAAAATGATTCTCCCAGGTTCATTTAACGGAGAACCAACTTCAATTTCAATGAAAATAGGTACACTTAATGCACATGTTGCCACAGGACTTACCTTTACTTTCTATCGTATGTATTATCAAATTTCGGATTCAATTCTATACTTATAAATTTAATTTAATTTCTTCCAACACAAAATAATTTGATAGAACATAAAATAACATCATTGAATATCTATGAAGGATTGTCAGTTGGTGGATATTATATAGAAATTCTTGGAGAATCATTATCACAAGTATCATCTGTGACAATAAATGGAAACGATTGTCCTATTAAGGCTGATAAAGACAAAGTCCTAACTTGTAAAGTACCAGCTGTCGACGAAGCACTTTTGAATCAAGCAAATGACTTTAGATATGAGTCTTCAATTTCAGCAATAATCAATGGTGCCAATTCTGAAAATACATTAAAAAAGAAATTCACTTACTATCAACCGGTTATCAAATCAATTTATCCAAATCCTGCAATGGATAAAATTAAAATTTATCTAATTGAAGGTTACAACTTGGGCGATATCAGCTCTATCACTATAGGAGGTGTCAGTTGCCAGATCGTCGATATTAATTCAGGAAATGTTGAATGTGCATTTGTACTTCCAACAACAACAGATATAACCAATCCATTACCAGTAGTCTTGAAAGAAATCTCTACTACTTCCTCTTTTACTTCACCACCCACCAATTTACATTTTGTCAGTGAGTATATTCATCCAAAATTAGTTTCCAAAAGAAAATAATTTAGTATTAATATTAATCGTAATTTAAATATTTTAGAACCAACAATAACAGCAGATAGAAATGGAAAGATATCTGGAAATGAAATCATTACATTTACATGCACCGACTTATATGAGATTCCTAACTTAATATTGTTGGGAGCATCGAAATGCAAAATTATTCCAAGCAGTCTTTCCATCACCGCACCTTTTAATTCATTCCAATGTACTTCACCAGCTACCAACGTGGCAGGTGCAGTTGGAGTTACTTTGAACACAAAAAATACCCAATATATTTTTGCCAATGCATTCACATATTATAGTAAGTTATTACCTATCAATAAAAAAAAAAAAAGAGAAATTAGAATTAACAAATTCAAAAGTTCCAACAGTTACTTCAACAACTGGACCACTTTCAACACCTCAAGGAGGAGCTTTAACATTGACTGGTACAAAATTCCTTGAAACTACTTCTGTTACTATTGGTGGAACTTCATGTGTATTCACAGTGGTAAGTGAAACATCAATGATTGTAACTGCACCTCCAAAATCACCAGCAAACAACCCACATCCATTGGTAATAACGATTCAAGGAGGTTCAACATCCAATCCAGTCAACATAAATTATAATGGACGATCAATCACTTCAATTTCACCAACCAGAGGTTCAAGAAAAATAATAACTCCGATCACAGTTACAACTCCTACCAATCAAAACACTCCAAACTCTATTCGTTTGGTTTTAACAACTAATCCAACGACTATTGTCAATATTCCAACTTTCACTGTTGACGGAGCCACAAATATCAGATTTAATGCACCAGCTACAACAGTCTCTGGTATATACAGAGTGGAACTGATTCATACAACTGGCACAACTGTTGATCAAGTTACATTCGAATATGTTGGTCTTACTTGTAAAGGTGCTCGTCAAGCTGGTTCAACTTTCAATCCCGATGTACTTTGGTGGTTACAAATTTATTTACGTCAAGCACAGGTTCCCTATCACTACTTATACTATGACAACACAATGACTGATATGATTAGAAGTGTTGGATTCGATGATATAACATCTCCATTAAATGCCACTATTGATCAGAGGGAAGAATATTATTACATGGCTTGGAATGACAAAGAAAAAGGAGGCAATGCACACTTAAAGCAAATGCTATTTTATGATACAACTGAAACTGGTCAAGTTACTGAAGCGATCCACATAATGCATAGTTTTCCAGGATTCCCGAAAGAAAAAAAACGTGGATCTCGAGACCCTGATTGGGTTGTTCCACCTGCAGTGAATACTCAACATTTCTTCTGTTACCAAGTCACCGATATCGAAACCACCTCATTGATGATTGCGAGAACCCATCCAAAACTAACATTCTTCGCAAATGATGACAATCTAAATGCTGTTGCGTTTCCAAATCTCCAAATTCTGATTAATGAAAACACTAGGAATTATGGACAAGTAAAATCAAAATTTACATGCAATATACTTAAAAATTCTAACTTTTTAATAATTTTTTTTATAGACATGTGTAGATGGTTTAATGGGTACTACACCAACTCTTGATAATTGTAGATGGCGTGTTCCATTAGTAATTCCAGGAATAAATGCACCTCAATTTTTCTCGAGAGTTCAACTTCCAACTATTCCTAATCCAAACTTTAAAGCAAACGGTGTGGCTGCACTTGGAAGATCGATTATTCTCAACTCTGAACCACTTTTAAGGCGCAACAAAATCGATATTTACTTTCAATATGATGGATTTGATATGTGGCAATATGTCGCTGAGTTTTATGATAGAAATCTATTTGTTCAAACATGGTGTAGCTCAGAGGACAGACTATTCTCTGTGAATTCAAAAATTGTTAATGTTGAAACAACAGGTATGTTGTATCATATCACTGTCTATTTCTTCAAATAACTTACAATTTATTTTTAAAATTAGAATATCCTGTTCATCTCTCACACAATACTGGAACAGGTTATGTTGGTCACTATAATAAAATGCGTGGTACTGATCATTCGAAACTTGCTTACAGTATGTATCCAGTTTATGGAACAGAAGCAGAAGAAACTGATGCAAATGAAAATCTATTTTGTATCGGTGATTTGAATAGACATAAAGGACAAGTATGTATTTTGAATTCAATTAATTCAAACACAATACTAATATATCTAAATAAATTGATTTCATTATTATTATAGGCAAAAAGAGGAGGAACTGTTTTATGTTTCAACCATCCAAAACTCTCGAAACAATTCAACCAATTTGTTAAAAGTTATTCATCATTTGTATGTTTCTTTTATTATTGAATTTTTGAAGTTTTATTTTTATTAACTATCCATTTTGATTTAGGGATATCAACCAGTAGTTATACATGGTAAAAGCCGCGTGGCGCGAAAATCTAAAGTTAAATTTATTGTTAACAATAGGATTGTCTATCAAACACAAACAATTGTAAATAATATTGGAACTGATATTGTACCAATTCCAACCTTTTTACCTCAAGAAATAGGAGATGAAGGCGGAGTTGATGAAACAATAATTTTTAGAACACCAACAAGTAAAACAATTACAATTCAATCAACAGCAACAATTTCTCCAGTGTCAGCAGTTCCATGGACAAATCAGATCTATTTTGAGGTTCGTCAAGAATTGATTGGTGATCTTCAACCACCATACACACCAAGAATTATAAGACAAACAGCACTTTCAGCTGGAAATCAAGTCTTTTACAATGCTCTTCGAACACGAACAACTCCAATATTCCAACCTGGTGAAAATATTGCACCTTCAGTAGAACCCCCAGCTTTCGGACCACTACCCCCTTATGTTAACGGTGGTCCCTCTCTAGTACAAACTGCTTTCACTCGTGGACACAATACAATTGACAGTGTTGTAGGTTTAGAGGTTCCAATCGTAGATGGTACAAATGCAAATCCAATTTGGAGTTACCGTGCACAAAATTCATTGTCAGTTCACTATATGGCATATGATGATTTGGTTGCCAGAATATGTGAATCAAATGAAATTACACTGGCTAATGGTTGCAATGATATCAATTATGCATTATTCACAAAGATTAGTGTGGTTGTACCTAATGAACAGTTCCCACCCACAAGAGAAGTTCAGTTCCCACATATTGATGGTGATATGAACTATCAACTTCTTCCAGATATTAGGGAGTTTGAAATTATTAGATTTGTAAATCATTTTAAAACTCTATATACTCTTCCTACCAATATTTATTCATTCATTCTTGATACTACGCTCACAAGATCATACCCAACAGCAACTGCTCCATTCAATATCATGTTAAATAGAAGAAACTACTGTCCAGATGAACTCTCATATCTCCTTATTCTAAATTCGATTTATAGAGTAAGTGGAATTGAAAGTCCAATTTCATTCTTACCAACAGATCCACTCAATTGGGCAAATGGAATTGCTTTGGCACTTTCAAAAGTTGTTTCAAATCTTTATAATGATGGAACAATCGAATCAAACCCAGAATTTGGTGCATGTTTTAATTTGGTTCCAGCTGCATTCAATTTAGATACCTACACTGAAACAACACCAACAATGAACTCATATCAATGGACCGCTGTTGCCACTTGGAAATTAATGACAGAAGCTACCAATCGTGTTAATCATATCGATTTATTCAATTTTATTACAACATTGGTAAAGTCAAGAGGTATGACAGGTCTTGGTGATATTTTCAATCGTGATACTCTGATTGATAGAGCAAACAAAGAATTGTTAATTGACAACCACATCATCAAACGTGAATCAATGAAGAGAAAAAACACACTTTTAAGTTCTTCCAGAATCTCATCGATTTCAAATGACAACATTGTTCAATTGATTCAAAGTCAATTCTCAATCTTTGAAATTGCTTCATTGGATATCATTGACTTTAATTTATTATTGAATTCAATGAACAAATGGACAACAATCAATGGAGTCAATCAATTCATTTCAACATTCTTTAACCGAAGAACTGAAATGTCAAATGAAATTGAATTCATTTATGATTACTCTCTCTTGTCTGAAAACAACTTTGAAGTTTGTACGATATCTCCAACCAGTGAATATTTGACAGTTTGTGCACCAGATTCAATCAAATCAATCACAAATCAATTGGAAAGAATGATGATTGCATCAACCTCATATTCAGTTTCAGATGATTTTGAATTCTATTATCTCTCAAAACCAACAGGACTTCGATTCATCCAAGAATATCCAGATTTCACAGGACTTGTAATTTCAAAATTCAATTATCAACTTTGTGATATAAAATTGATAAACTTGGGTCAATCTGCAACTTTCGATCCAAATGATGCATCTTTATCTTCAATTTGTTCAGATTCTGGACCAATAATCAAGTCTATTTCCAAAACAAATGGAAAAGCAATTGGTGGTGATACCATTACAATCAATGGATTTAGATTCACATCAGATATGATCATTAAAATTGGTGGAATCGATTGTCAAACAACAAATGTTATTAGTTCCACTCAAATTAAATGTATTACACCTCCCAATATTGGATTCAATTTAGCAATTACCAGCAACATTCCAATCAACCAACAATCCCAATTCACATTTTCATATGATGAACCATTGGTTTATGAAATTTCACCAAAGATTATTAATTCCAATGGACAACAAATCTCTATATTTGGTGAGAATTTTGGACCATCATCACAACAATCAAACTCTTTGATTTCTATTGGATCAATTCCATGTGTATTTGGTCCCAATAGTTTCTGGAGTGATTCATTAATTGTTTGTTCAGTTCCATCTGGAAGTGGAATATTCAAAACTATTTCAATTACAATCAATCAATTTGAAATATACAACAATGTTTCAAAAAGAACATTCAACTATCTTGCACCAGATATTCAAAGCATTTCACAAAACCATGGTGATCCATTTGATTGGATATTGGTCAGAGGAAATGGATTCAATAACAAATCACAAATCTATTTTAATAATTCTCAGAGTGATATCATCTCTTTTGCATCTGATTATATTTATACACAGGTTCCACATGGTGTTGGAAAGAATATTCAAATATCAATTGAAAGTGGAAATCAAAAATCAAACAATTTCAAATTCGATTATGATCAACCAATTTTAGAATTCATCAATCCAAAGATTCTTCCTACAACTGGTGGTATCATCAGATTAAATGGTTATGGATTTGGAAATTCTTATTTCGGAAACATAACTTTTGGTATGAAAAACATAAGTTGTGTATTCTTGTCTGATATCATTGAATGTCCAATCCCAGCTGGAATCGGAAAAGATATTCCATTTAATTTCAATATTGAAGGTCAACCATTGATTTCATTAATTCCATCAAACTTCTCATATTCAAGACCAATCATTGAAAAGACTGAATTTAATTCTGGAAGTGTGACTATTTTTGGTCAAAATTTCATTCCATCTGGAATTGAATTAAATCCACTCAAGAGTTATGTCACACTCTTCAAAGATAATGTGATTTCAACTCAATGTAGTTCAATAATATTCACAAACAATCAACAGATCATCTGTAATTTCGATCAATCATTTATTGTCAGATCAATATTTGTTACAATTGGTGGTCAAACATCATCGATATATCATCCAACATTACTGATTAGTCTTTATCTTTACATTGACCAACAAATAAGTGGAATTAAAACAAATGTTCCAGTAACATCTGAATCAGTTTCAGTTGCAATTTCTTCAGATTCAAAATTGATCCAAAATATCAAAGTTGATTCAAAAGGATATATTTCATTCAATGCAACTCTGGGAACATTCAATTTGATATATTCGACAACATCACCAACATTAATTCCGATTATCAATGATATCACAATTCAAGTGACATCCACCCAACCAACAAACTACAATCATGCTTTCTATCAATGGAATTCAGGAACAACTTTATCACCAGTTAAATTCTACTCATCAACACCAGGAAGTTATCTATCACTTCCCGTTGGAATATTCAACAATATTGCATCGATTTTCAATTCAATTGGATCTTTCATATCAACAAGCTCTCTGAATGTAATACTCTATAAATCAGATGGAACAATTGTTTCTTCAAATCAACTATCGAATGGAGTTACAATTGATAAAATCGAAGTATCATCACCAAGTTTCTTCACACCATTGCAAAATATTAATTGTGTTGAACAATCGATAACATTCACAAACAACTATATGAATCAAACTCCACAATTGATTCTTTCAAATTATGGAACATTAACTTGTACTGCTGATAATCCACAAATTTCTTCTATGACCTGTTCCATTCCAGCAGCCACAGGAACAATATCGCTCCAATGGAATGGTTATACAAGTGCCAATACTTTTAATTTACAACCAAAAGGTAAGATTAAACAAATATTTGATTACCAATAACATTGCTAACCATTTTTATTCCCATCAGAAATTGTATTTGGATATGTTTATAATGATCTCAATTCAAACAATATATTTGACCAAAATGAACCTGTCATTTCAAATGCACAAATTACATTAAGTAAAACTACTGAAGTCTCAATAACTTCTACCAACTCACAAGGATATTATTCAATTCCAAACATTACACCTGGACAACAATACTTGATGTCTCTTGACCCGATTACAGGATACATTGCACCAATGGACAAGATCACTTTCCTTGAAAACAGTTGTCCATCACCAACTCAAGTCAATTTTGCAGTGAAACCACTCTCATCCAATGGATGTGTTGGTTACATTTCAAGTGCTTCATCAAACAAATTGACAATCCAAGCTGGATTAAATAGTCTCACATCATATGGTTGGTGTAAATCACCATCAATCTGCACAAATCAATTCACGTCAGTCACACTACCACCAAGATGTGTCTACACATATGACTCAACAAACAATGAAATCACAGTTTCGCTAGGTGGACAATCCAATATAAACCTTTACAATGATCCTTCTATTACAGGTGTTCAAAAAAATTCAGTAATCACCAGCAGTGTAAGTTTGGTTTTCAAACAAAGCAATGGTGTAGTAATCAGCACACTAACACCTGACAGCAAAGGAAATGTTTCAATATCTCTTCAATATGATTCATATATTGTTTCAGTGATCAGCACCAATACACAATTGTTCCCAATTTTAGACAATATTCCATTCCAACTCAACAGTGTAAATCCATTCTTCAATAGCTCCATTGGATTTATCACTTGGAAATATAACACAAACTACCCACTTGTCAAATTCTACCAAACAACAAATTTCTCAGGAATTGTACTTTCACTTCCTCTTGGTATTTATAACAGCACCACCTTGAATGCATTAAATTGGAATATGAAAACACTTTCATACAAATCTACAACCGATATCAATGTTTTTATCTTTAATGGTGGAATCTCACCCATTACTGAAAACCCTTTAATTGGAAATGTTCCATTGACAACCCCATCTGGTTCTCAGTTCCAAATTATTGATAATGGTAAATCATCACTATTATAATTTATATTTTAAATTCAATATTTTAATGCTTCATATATTTAATTTTTTTAGCAATGTTTAGAAAACCAATTTTTTCAGATTTCAAAAGCTCTGGAAATCCAGTTACATTTACAAATTACTATATAACTTTGCCAGTTATTAGGATTGGAGGTACTGTATTCTTTTTTATAAAAATTTTATAAAATTAACCATTTTATTAATTATTTTTTCTTATTTAAACTGGTTTAGATGTAAATAGAAATCCAATTGATTGTCAGAGTTCAAATTTAAATTCAATGTCATGTCAATTCCCATTATTGCCTGCAGGAGCTTCCGCTATCCTTGTATATCTCAATGGTTTTAAATTATATCCAAATATTGCTATCACATATGCAGGTAAACTAAATTTATAAAAATTCAAAACTCTTAATATTATAGCTAATTTCAATTTTTTAGCATCAACTATCTCTGGAAGAGTTTTTGTTGATTCAAATCAAGATAATCAATATAATAGTGGAGAAACATTGTTAAATAATATTGCAATCGGATTAAACTCTCCCACCACTACTTACACAACAAGTTCAGATGCATCAGGAACATATCAATTCATAGCATCACTGGATATCTTGTATACATTGATTATAACAACACCTCCAAGCTCATACATGATACCATTACAATCTCAAACAGTTTACGCTTCATATTCAACCCAAAATAACTTGGTTGTAAACATTGGAGTTGTTCCAATATCAGCAGCAGGTTGTAGTGGAACCATCAAAACAGCAAATGGTCAAACCATGAATATCCAATATGGTTCATTTGACTTGACTTTGTATGGTTGGTGTAAATCTCCATCGATCTGTAAGAATCCATTTACATCGATTACAATTCCACCGGCTTGTCAGAGTAAAATTGTAAACAATGTTTTGACCATTGGTTATCTATGTTCATACAGAGGATTTACATTTGATTCAATTGGATTAAATTCTTATAGTAGTTCAGGCTTCCCGGGAGTAAGTACAAACATTACATAATTAATAAATTCAAAATAAAAAAATATATTAACCTAATACTTACTATTCACTAGTATACATACTATTGGTCAGTTTGTGGGATCAATCCAACATGTTCTCCATATTCCAATACAGCACAATCTTGTCAAAGTGGATTATACTACAGTACTGGTAAAATTAGTAGTGGAACATGGTCTAAAAATGGTAAGAATATCCACTTTTCAATTTTTATTTTTATTAAATTAATTCTTTTTTTTTTCCATTCTTATAAATAAAGATACTGGAAGTGGAGTTCAAGTAAAATACACCAATGGAGAAACAATAAGCTGCACAACTGGTAGAGAGATGACAGTTCATATATCATGTGGTGCCACATCAAAAGCAATTTCCTCTTACGAATATCCATCAGCAAGTTGCAAATACCATTCACACATGACATCTCCGTTGGCATGTGGAAATTTCCCAGCCCAAGATTGTGGAGTTGGTGATTTACAATTCTATGCACTATCAAAGTTAGTACCATATAAATTTAATATCAAAGAAATAATTCCTAATATTTTACAAAAATTAACTTATGATTTTTATAGTAAAACATATACTATGAGTATCTCTGATACTGATACTAAATTTACATTTTCAATTTGTTCGACTTCAGTAAACAATGTTTGTACAAATGATGGTGGAGGTGATATTTCAGCATGCTATGGTCCTTACTACGTGAATAGCAATGGAATCAATCTTGGATACTATATACGTTATGGTAAATATTCAACAGCAACTTGGAGCGCTGTTACCAACTATATCGGTGCAAAGGTGACCTATTCATACTCTGATACTCAATTAATAAGTTGCTCAAATGGAAGTAAGTTTGCAATGGAAGTGAATTTAATTTGTGGAGATGATTATGAACCTTTGAGGATTAACAATGGAGCATGTAGTGAAATCACCTACTTGTATACACCTCAAGCATGTCCAACAGTCATTCCAAATTGTCAATTCAATGGAATGGACTTCTCATCACTTGCAAAGTAATTATTTACAATAACAGATGGCATCGTACTTTATCATTTTTAGTAATAGCAATTCTATAAGAACAACATACGGACGCAAAATAACAGGATATAATAATCAACCTGTATGTATGTATAATGAGGATCAAATTCAAGAAAAATAATTATTCACTCTTTTATTTACTTTTCAAATATTTAGAAAAATGTATTCTTCAAAATTTGTGGTACTCCATATACCTGTATATTCAATGGTATCAACACCCAAAGTTGTACATCATCACCTTCATCTCCAACAGTCCTCACAACCCAATCAACTCTCAACACCGGTGTTTGGTCAATTTTGAGTAAGATAAAGAAATCAATAATGTTTAATACATAAATATATTAATTATTTTTTGAAACAGAGCGTGGTCAAGGTGCCCAAGTTGTTTATTCTGGTGGTGCTTGTGAAACTGGTGGAACAACCAAAACAATAACAATTGAATTTTATTGTGGTTCCATTTTCACTTTGATAGGAATTTCTGAACCAGCACCATGTCAAGTAATTATTTCTTATTATACTCCTCTTGCTTGTACACCAACCAAAGTTCCAAACTGTCAATTTGGTGGATTTGATTTCTCAGCACTTTCTCAGTGTGTATATTAATATATTTCTTATGAATCTAATATAAAGAGAACTTTTTTTTAATCTCTTGAATGGTTCAATAATCAAAAATTATAACTAACAATATAAATATCCAAAAAAATATAGAACTCAATACAGTGTAATCGGATACACTGGTGCTGATAAATACACATATTCTTTTAGTGTTTGTGGATCTGCGCCAACTTGCACAACAAATTTGAAAACCAATGGTATTTCTGTTTGCCAACAAGGTACTGGTTTCTTTGAAGATATTGGTCAAACATTAAGTGGTGTATGGGCACCAAATGGTAAATATATTAAATCTATCCCAATCATTTAGTTAAAATGATATGCTTATTTTTATATAAAATAAAACAGCAACAGGAACAGGTGTTCAAGTTACCTACTATGGAAGAAAAGATGGAGCTTTATCAAACTATGGAAGACTAACAACCATTCATATTTCATGTGGTGAGACTCACGAAGCAGTAAGCGCCTACGAAATACTAAATTGCAATTATGATATCAACTTTAAAACACCATATGCATGCTCTTCTTCATCCAGTTTGATGTCAACTGAAAACAGAATGATTGATAACAGATCGTCAACACTCAACGACAACGTAATCAATACCGATTTCATTGCAATCGATCCATATCTCCCAATTAAAAACTCATCATTATTCGAACTCCAACTGATATTATCATAAAATTAAACAATCTTGAATTAGAAAGACTTTCAAAACTTAAATAAATCATCAAAATTACTTTTACCAACTATTTATCTTATTTCTGTTCTGTATCATAGCAATCATCTCTACCATAAACCAAACGATCGTCAACTCTATCAGTTTGTTGGCGACTGGCGCAGCAATGTTTTTGAGTAGCGATTGCAACACGTTCGACGCCAGCACTCTAAAAAAAAATTAAAAAAATTAAAAACAAAAATTAACTTTGCAATATTTCTGAAGTGATAAAATATATTTTTATTTATATACATTTAAATTGATTTAAAAGAAAACAATTAATAGGATGTCCAATAACCTTGGTTTAGGATTACTTGATTCAATCTGTTTGCCATTGATTCATATAGTGATTGGCAGTACTCCGGTGTCATTTCATATCACCACTATTAACATTATTTAAGAGCTCTATTGAGTTTGGAATGAATGGCATCTAGTATATATATTTATCTCAAGAATACCCAAGAATTTTAAAAAACATTCAGGTCCTGACTGGTTTGTTTATTGTTCTAAAATTAACATTTTAGAATTATAATAACCAAATCAACTGACACTTCAATAATTTATTAAGAATTCAACTATCACAATTCAAACAGTTTATGGACACGATTTCAAATAACTTAAATTAATAATCCAGCTGTTTAACAATAATTAAATATATTAGAATAATATCAACATACAGTGAATCAACAAAATATCAATCTACCAAAGTTAACATAAAGAAATAACCAACAAGTTAATCTACAATGAATACCAAACTAGTTAATCAAGAACAGATTTCTGAGATTGAGCAACTGCACTGGTCGAAGAAATCCAACAGTATAAATACCTTGGAAATCCATTATAGAAATGAATTAATTATTCAACATTATTCAACATTACCAAATATTATTCTTATCTTCAAATTGTAAAATAAATAAATTATTATCTTTAAATATTATACTGTAAATTATATCTCTAAACTTTATTACATTCATTAAATCTATATTCCTCGTACCAGAACTATTCCTAAAGTAATTCCTAATCTTATATCAAAGTTAACATAAAAGAAACAAACCAACTAAAAGATGTCCCACAGCAGATTCATCTTTTTTTTACCATCCCATATTAATTTTCGACTTCCACCACACTAATTTTTCAATTTCAAAATTTTTTTCAAAGTTAACTTGCTTCCACTCATATAAAAATTTCAAAACTTTGTGTGACAGAGATCACAAAACATGCATTTTTCAGCTTTTTTTTGACTTAAAAAAAAAATTTTTATACAATTTTATGTAAATAAAAAAAAAATAATAAGATTTTAAATATTTTTCTAAATAACTTCATATTATCTTATTTAAACTCATAAATCTATTTTTTTAATTTATTTTAAAATTTAATTCAATTATTTGTTGTATTTTTAATTTTTTTTTTTTTTTTTTTTTTTTTTCGAAAAAATTCGAAAATTAAATTGAATTTTTTTTTATTTCATTCATTTTTTTTAAAATTAAATTAAGATAATAATATTTTTTTTTTTTTTTTGAATTAAGATGAAATAACAGGGTATAGAATGATACAGCAAATAACGAAAAAGATATATGATATACTTTTTTTTTACTACGATTCAACAAAATTTAGGTTTCAAAAAAAAAAAAAAAATAAAGTATTTTACGGGCGATTTTAAATTAATATGAGGGAAAAAGGGGAAAATTAAAATTTTTATGGGGAGGGGAGGGGGGATTACTCCAACCCACCTTCATATTATCATTTAACCATTCCAAAATTTTGAATTGAAATTTTTTATTTTTATTTTTGGGGTTGGGGGGGGGTTTACTGGCGTCATTAATTTTATATGGGGGATAATTGGTAAAAAAAAGAAAAATTTCCTGTGCAATTAAACACATCCATTCCAACCACTAACGACGAAACTAACTCGGGTCAAATGGCTGACATTCCTCCAACTGAAAACCAAGCGGAAACCAATGTTTCTGACAACACTATGTCCATAACAAACCCACTCAATGCAACAAGTACGACCAATACCAATGCAATTGAACCAACTCCATTAAGCGCGTCCAGCGCCGGAGATATCCAAAGTGCGACCAGCACCAATGTAATCAATAGTGGTTCTCCAAGTTTAAACCAAAGTGCGACCAGCACCAATGCAACCAATAATGGTTCTCCAAGTTTAAACCAAAGTGCGACCAGCACCAATGCAATCAATAGTGGTTCTCCAAGTTTAAACCAAAGTGCGACCAGCACCAATCCAACCAATGGTGGTTCTCCAAGAACAACTGTCACCAACGGTAATCTAAGTACTACGAGTACCATTAACAATGTTCCAAACTTGCCAAGTATTTCAAATACCAACAAGAATGCTCCTAGCATTTCCAATCACGGAACAAGTCCCAACCGCAATGTGAGCACCAACTCCTATGATAAAGGACATCAATACCACCGATACGAATCCGAAGATTCTAATTCCGAATCCGAAGACGACTATGATGATGATAACAATCATCGTAGGAAAAGATCGAAGAGGGAGATTGGTAGAATAGCTTTCCAAGATCCATCTGATCCAGAATCATCCGACTCAGACACCTCCTCTAGAAATGAAATTTGGACAATACTAATGTCCAAATCGAAGAGCATATTAAATTGCACAAATTATGATCTTTTTAACCCATTTTTCAAGAATCAATTTGAAAAAAGATTTTTTAAAATTATTCAAAAAAAAAAACCCACTAAAAAAATTGTTTTGTTTTGCCGACACTCAAAGTTAATTATTATTTTTTTTAACTATGTCTTTACTAGTAGAAGTAAAAAGTATAAATTGAAACAAATGAGACTGAATATTCATTCTATTATACTCAACTCTTGTTTAAAAGCAATTCTTCATATTCTGTTTTTTATTTCTATCTTTAACTAAATTTATAATAGTATAATGAATTATAATATTTTTGACTTTATTTACACCCCAAAAAAAACCACACCACAAACACCAATTCAGCCCAATTCCGACAGTGGTGTTTCAAATTTATCATCTATTTTGTCTGTTACAAACACCCCCACAAAATATGTATCGAAAAATTTTTCAAATTTATTAGAAGATGAATGTTCCACCCCTTTTTTAAATTTGTTTCCAGATTTATTAGAATCAACTGATATTAATCAACAAAACGATCAGTGTGATCAGTCATCTTCTCTTAATGACACACCAGTAGTCACCCGTCCATTCGTTAATATGTTGGTGGACGGGAAGACATATCACAGAAAATACAGAAATTCGTGGTATAGCGGAGTGATAGTCAGTGTGAATCCAACAGAGAAGTCAGCCATTATCGAATACGATGAAGGGCTGACGAAAGAGAAACTTTCATTCGACCGCTTGCGACTCCATAGAGACTCTGAGGAGCGCGATCATTTTAATCTTGGAGAAATGGTCACTGTATACGATGAGCGACCACCTTCAGCTCGTGCCAAGAAACAATCAAAAGGTGTTCAAACAAAAAAAAAAACAATAAAAAATAATAATAATAATAATAATAAACAAATCAAATCAACAAAAACAACAAAAGCAATAAAACCAACAAAAACAACAAAAGAAAAAAAAATCCCTGGTTTCCTGGTTGACGGTATTATCATTGGGTCAACTGTAGATAAAACTAAAGGTATTGAATATGAGGTGAAATTATTAGACTCACCTAGTAGAGGAGTAACAAAAAAATTTTCATATAAGTTGGTATACTCTTATGAAAACTTTTCTCAACAAGAATAAATAAGTTTAATTTATCAAGTTTTTTTAATTATTATAAATAAAAATGTTCTAAAGATATATACAATTTCTCAAGTTTTTTTTTTTTTTTTTTTTTTTTTTTTTTTTCTGATACAACATCAATTAAAATTATTTTAAATAATAATAATTATATTTTGATAAATTTATAAAAATGAGTAATAAAGTTACATGTGCAGACTGTAACAAAGAATTTTATAATTCTAAGTTTAACCAACATTGTTGTACTGTATTATCGGAGATGTACAGAGAGTTAAAGGAAATTAAAGATGAAGTTTTAGTAAGACCTAGTTGGTTGAATATGAATAAAAATAGCAATAACAATAACAATAACAATAGCAATAGCAATAGCAATAGCAATAGTGAAGTTGGATCTCGAGATCCTATGATTATTGAAAATGTTATAGATGATATCACAATGGAAGATTACAATAACGATGGAATGATTATGAATAGTAATGATGATCCTTTAGAATCATTACCAACCCTACAAATTGAACCTTGTGATAAGAAGAAAAAAAATAAATCAAAACCAACAAATTCAACAACAATAGAAAACAATGATTTCACCGGTTTAGCACAATGTGTCATCCAAAAAACACCAGCAATAAACATAAATAGTCAATATAAGAACAACAACGAACATTTTCATTTTAAATTAATTGATTATAGAAGTATTTTCAATATAAATGATAGACCTCACTTGTACGGAATTAAAGATCCTTACTCTTTAACATTTAAATGTTCAAAGTTAGTTGATGCCTACCTCTATAAAGGTAAGATATATTAATCATTATTCATTCTTCTATCACAGCTGTGATTTATTTATTATTCAATCATCCACTGAGAATGATTGCTCTCTATCTATTTATTTATTTATTTATTTTTTATCCACCAATTATTCCTTAATTACTTTTTATAGGTCTATCAAGAGAAACAGTCATGAGTTTGGCAAGGGATCTTCTCAACATCGATGTCGATTTCGACCAGATTCTTGAAAAAGTAGAATTGACCTATTCACTAGTATGGAATAATGTTTAATTGATTATACACTATTGGACACAGTTCTAACAATATTTTTATTTTATACATTTAGAATATTAAAAATACAGCAATCGAAGGTGAGTTAAACTTAAATGGGAAAATAAAATATTTTATAAGACCAGAGATTCTTATAGATATAATTGTATCAAATAAATATTTACTTTCCCATTTTAAATTTAATAACTCTACAAAACCAAACGTATTATTAATTGATGTGTTTATGGATTCTTTTGTATACTCCTTTAGTGGCAAGTCGGCCATGGGAGTCTATATCCAAATTTCATCAGAATCGATGAACCGTTCGGATTTAAAAAAATTTAGGTAAGTTCGCACTACACAGAAAGCCCTACAAAACATCATTGTTTTTAACATGCCAAAAAAAGCAAAAATAATGAAAAATTTAATTTAAATTTTATTTATTTCGATTTTTCTCACTTTCAACCTCGATAAGTTCACTATTAACATTGAATCTAAAGATTTAGGATAGCTTCTATTACAAAATCAAATTTGAATATGAACAACAAGTGTCTAACACAAATATTGTTGAAAATAATATTTGGACTACTAAGAAAGATGATAAATGAAAAAAAGAATTTCAAAGGTTGGGATTTGTTTACAAACACTGATATAACTGTATTGGTTGCATTTGGTTTGGTTATTGGAGATACTTTGGGTGTTAATGACATGTTAGGCTTATTAGATCCCAAGCAATCTAATGCCTGTCGAAGATGTTTATCTCCATTAGCGCAACGATTCTTGGTATCGTTAGAAACAAACAATTTTAAATTCAACAAGAATGGTAGTGAAGTTGACATATCTACAATAGTCCCATTCGATAGAAAGACTCCAGATACTATAAAATCATCAAATGATTTGGCTCTGGTTGGTGCTTTTAAAGGTACAGTGTAGTGTAAAACAAAATTTTTATTTTAGAGTCAAAACAATTTATTAACCAATATTATTATAATTCTATAAATATAGTACAAGATGAATTTGGATTTTTTTTAGATATCGATGGTTACAACCAGTTTGACAATGCTCCATACGATTCTTTGCATCTACTTTACCTTGGGTTTGGAAAATGGTATATTAAAAGTTTATTCTTGCTCTTCAAATCATGTGGATCTTATGGCGAAGAAATTCAATCACAATTTAATTTATTTTATGATAACCACCCAAGCGTTGAAGGAAGAAGACCTAACATCGCATCATATGCAAGCTTTACCGGAATGGAGTACAAGTCTCTTTTTCATACTGTGTCAATGACAATGACATTGACTCTTCGCACCATGTTATCCAGAGAATTTAACACAGCAACTGAAACTGGAAGGAATGAGAAACACAAATTTTATTTATTTTTAAATAATTTCATTGTATGTAATAATCATTATTAAAAAAAACAGTGAATTCACAAAAAAAATTTTTAAAAAAAACTCTGAATTATTAATTATTTTTATTTATAGAAATTAACATATTTGGTTGTTAATTTTGAACAGATATTACAGATGATCAACTCAAGCGATTTAAAATCTAAATCTGATATAGATTTTTTGCAACTTTTAGTTTACGTACACCAAATTAAATTCCAAGATTATCACAGTAAAAATTTGTATGTTTAAATGTTAAATTAAAAACACTTAAACAAAACCCTTGTTTAAAAATGCATTTTGATTGACAAACCCCATCATATCTTTGAATATTTGCAAATATATATTTTTTTATTTTTTTTATATGGATGATCCCTTCGTTTTTTTACAAAAGTGTTATTTGGATTTTTTTTTTGTTTTGCTATAAAAGCAATCAACTTTGCATCACCCACACTTTTTCTGAAACAACAATAAAAATTAAAAAAAAAACAATAAAATACAAAAAAACACTCCCAACATATTAACCCCATGATTTTTTACATAAAAGTAAATTGTTTTGTTTGAACCATGTATTTCATTTGCAAAAAAAAACTAGTTTTTAATCAAACGAAAGTTCTAAAGATCATATTTTACAGTTTTTGATTTAAATTTGATTTATTTTAAATTAAATTTCATTTTCTGTGTTTTATTATTTGTAATAAAAAGTCTTAAATTAAAAATTATTTAAATTGATAATATTATTAAATGTTGTTTTTATATATTAAAAATTTAATTTAGAATGAAAGTACAATTCTATTTGATCTAAATCTATCTATCACTTTGAAATTTAAATTTAATAATATTTTTTTGAATCAAATGCTTTTTTTTTTTTTTTTTTTTTTTTTTTTTTTTTTGTAAAGAAAGTAATGATCATGCTTCGCAGACATTAAACTATATTTTTAAATATGAAATATTCAGATTTTATAGGATTGACTCAAGAACAACAAAGAGTTGAGACAGATAATCTATTTGGTAGATTCCCAATAGCTTCGAGAAATAATGACATAAACAGATTAATAACAACTCTTAATACAACAGAAGCTATGATCAATAATACTAATCATATTATTCATATGTTAAAAAAATACTTCGACACCACAATAAAACTTCACACTGACATATATAACCAATTTTGTAGAATAGAGTCTTTTATAACTGGTATGCATTTCAACCTACAAGACTATATTTCCCTAACAAATAAACTAGTTACAGCGCATAGGGAAATGGTTAGTAGGCCATCGGTTGTTAGTTCAGAGAGAATAAAATTAATAAAAACACTTACGAAAGAATTATCTGAAAAAGGAATCATTCGTCCAACCCCTCTTTTAATGAAGATAATATGTTTCCGAACTGGAAATAATAAAACTAATTTAAAAAGAGAGTACCTTCAAACAACAGTTCGTTCAATGAGGAGTCACCCAAATTATATAAATAATGATTTTGTTAGAGACAATTCAGAAACTATATTGACAATGGATGATATGGACACTATTTTAGATACATATCTTAGAGATTTAAAAACAAAAGTTAGAAATGGTTTTACATCAAATACAAATACTTATATTCGAAGAGAAAATTATTTTGTAGATAATGGTAAGTAAAATTGTTTTTTTTTTTTTTTCCCAAATACTAATGTTTCAACTGTTTGTTTATGTTGCAGGTGGACAATTATTTATTGTTGTAAATGGAAATCATATTGCAGCAGTAAATTTAACAACAGCCCATATAGCGAATGAAATAAAGAAATTTTTCTGTATTGTCAAAGAACCTAATGCCTTTCAAATAATAGAAGACGAAAATCTCCGTACAGGTGTGTGATTTGTAAATATATATATTTTTTTATCTAATCTGAATATTTAACATATGTTTCATTTAAAAATAATACAGAATACATGGAAATTTTTGCCAATGTAGCGGAATTCATATTATATTTAATGAATGGCACCGCTGAACAAGGACAACAAGCAGCTACACCAGCACAGCAACCAGCAACACCAGCACAGCAACCAGCAACACCAGTACAACAACTAGTAAGACAAACAGCTCGACGACAAGCAAGACCAGCACGAGAACAACCACCAAGACCAGCACGACAACTACCACCAACAACAGAACAACTGTTACAAACACAATTACAATCACACCCACCACAATCACCATTGCACACACCAATACAATCACCAAATTACTTTATTTACAGCCCATCCTACCAACAATCACCATCACAAGTACGATCACCAAATAATTATAGTCAAAGTCTATTCTACCAACCACAAACTACACAACCACAAGCCAACCAACAACTACCACCAACAACAGACCTACAATCACAACGACCAATACAAATACAATCACCAAATAGCTATAGTCACAGTCCATTCTACCAACCACAAACTACAACACCAGCTCTCCAACAATCTCTACAACTTTCTCACCAACACCAACATCAAAGTGGTGAGCAAAATAATAATAATCTTATACCTCCCCACAACATCTTTGGAAGCAACACAAATATCAATACTCCAACTTTTAATGATATTTCGATAGTTAGAGATTTAGATATAGGTATCAGAATGAACCTAGATGAAGCACCAAATTCATCCCAACGAACCCAATCGCCACCCGTATCACCAGTTATACCGGTACCTTTTGAAACACCTATGCTACCAACTGGATCATCGTTATTTAGGAATCATCAGTCTCAGACCATTTCACCAACACCATACTCACCCTATGCCCCAAGATACTCAAATCAATTTAATAATAGCTATAGTTATTATAATCAATAAAATTCATTATATTTGCTAAAAACACATCATATCAATTGTAGTATTTAATAAATTATTATTTTGTGTTGTGGATAAAGCTGCTTGTAATGTTTAACAAATAAAAGCTTTTGAATAAATATATATTTATTTTATTTATGACTACAATGGTAATGGTCCACTATAAACATGGAAGTGGCACTCCTGCTACTGCTGTTGTTGTTGTTGTTGATTGTTTGGTGATTGTCAGGGTGGTCGATGCTGCTGCTATTGTGGTGGTTGGGATACCTTTTGTGTTGATAAGAATCTAATATAATGGTGTGCTGCAATCAATATCCATAAATAAGCCAGTTCCTTTTCTCAAATGTCCCAACGATGGTCTAATGTTTCTTATTTATCTTGGTGACGAAACCTTCTCTGAACTGAAACAACAGTTATCTAAATTAAATCAGGAAATTAAAGAATTAGAATCAAATAATAATATATTCATTTATAAAGATAGATATTACCATGGATGACCAGTCCTTTGCAAATAGACTTACTCTACACATTCCATTTGAAATGTTGGCTCACGGTAATGGGTCTTGGCGGTCTATTTCATTGGAACTCGACATTCAGGTGTCCTACTTGCTTAGGTACTGGTTCATCTGGAAAAGTGGATCCTGACACTCAAGAGAAGATCGACCATTCTACAATTGGGAATGTTGCTGGTTTCTTTGAGCCACGTACTAGAGAGCTTATGAGGAAGGAAGGACAGAGAGTCAAGAATAAGCCAGAAAAGTCAAAAGCCAAAAACCCCGCCGTGCCAAAGGTCGAAATGAAGAGCTTCTCTGGTATGGCTGCAGAACCGAGTCTTGACATTGATCCAACTAAAGTTCCACCAGACACGTTACACATGATCATGTCCATTGTTATGACTGTTTTTAAACCGATACTACTGCTATGTGACACCAATGAAACCTTACGAAAAGACATCGAAGACTTCCTCAAGTGTACGGCTAAACTGACATTGATAACGGTCTCACCAGGTACACTCTTGCATGGACAGCCTTATACATTCTATGACCGATTCAAACAGTCAGCTGTTAACTATATGTAATATAATATCTTGATCAATCAAGATATTCTTATTAAGACCTTGTCGAATCATTCTGTATTTAATAATGATAAGTTAGAATTGGTAAGATGTTTAGTTTATTAAAATAAAAAAACAATTAAAACTAATGTAATTAATTAAAATATAGATAAAGAAATATTGGAAACAATTTCATTGCTTAATATCTTGCATGATATCTGATGAACCTGTCAAATAGAATATCAAAGCAATTTACAACAAATAGTTACAAGATTAAAATAAACAAGCCACAACAACAAGAGCAACAACAAGAACAACAAAAACAGCATCTATCAACCTCATTTCCACCACCAATAGTAAGAGATGTCAGAGAATCTAAAAGAAGAAAGATGTTTGATGATAGAATAGATGAACTAAGACAAACGATACAGCAACAATCATCAACATTGTATACTTACAATTGTAAAACTGATAAAACCCATGCACTAGAGTAACATGTTTTCTATGCTGCTGTTATAAACTCTATAATAACTAAGAAAAAAAAAAAAAACTAATGAAATAATTGAAAATGTTTATCGAAAATCAATCATTAAAAAAAAAAAAAAAAAAAAATATATTACAAAATTAATTAAATTTTATTTATTTCGATTTTTCACTGACAAACTAACTTCCAAATATAGAATAATTTGTTTTTACATGACTTTCACTCCACAATATTTTAGGAATGTAAATGCAAATGATTTTTTAGAGGGTAATGATTTTATTTTTTAATGTTTTCGTGTTTTTATAATTTCTAAATGAGTTTTTATGAATTGTAACGATAATGTTACAGAGGGTGACGATGTTCATGTTTTCCCCAATTCAATTTGTTTCTATTTCGTTATTATTGTCAATAATCATGTATTTATCTCCAGTTTTCCAAAGATAAACTCTATTTCTAATGTCTTGAGCATTAACATATTTAGTTGTGTTTGATGCACAATACAATTTCAAATACTTTAAAATATTGATTTGTAGTCTATATTTCAACTCATCTGTATTTATATCTATTCGATGATCAAATTGAATATTACATTTGGATAGAAATTCTACAGAGTCTGTATTAATAGCTTTGTATGGTAATACCTATGTAATTAAAGATTATTTTTGTTAATAAAAATTTTTTTTTTTTTTTTTTTAAATTAAATATTTATTATTTAAATATATTGTGTCATTTGTTACCTCTAAAAATATCTCTGTGGGATGATTTTCATATTCAAAGATATAAATCTTTTTAATATTACCATATTCAATTGGACCATTGTTAGCTTCTCGGTGTGGGTTGTCGTGGTAGCTTACGTCTATTCCGTCTTCTGAATTGTTATCCACTTCACACTGTAAATGTTCATTAAAGACAGTCACACCCTTAAAAACCACATTGTCAATGTGAATAGTTTTAGCTTGCCGGATATTCTTAATCGATCTCACACCACCATTTACCAAAGCAATGAAGTCTGTTGGAAATTCAGAAACTTTCTTCTCAAACAATTTATGATTTGATATATATTCCAAAACAACTATACAACCATCGTGTTTATCGCTATGACTTTTAGAATTTAATTCCAAATTCTTCTTTTTCACAGAAAAACTCAAAAAAGTTTTTTCTCTACTAACTCCATTAGAAGTGCCCTATAATTTTAATTGTACATTGACAGTGATTATAAGTATTTTCGTATAAATTAATTGTGTATTTATAATTACCTCTTCTTTATTTGTAAAAACTTGGTGTAGGCCTTCCATTGGATTAACATTGATTATACTTGATTTGTTAGGATGACCAAAGAGTTGTATATCCTCTATTAAATGAGAGAGTAAATGATGATTGGGGAAAACATTGCCATAAAGTTTTTCTAGACGTTTCTTCTCTTTTTCTTCTTCGCTGATAATGGTATTGTTATCATCGCCATTATTTTCATCTCCATTGTTATCATAACCACTGTTATTATCACAACTGTAATCATGACCACTGCTATCATGACCACTGCTATCATCACCGCTAATATCATCACAACTGTAATCATCACCTATGTTATTGATGTTGGTATTGTTATTGGTATTGGTATTGTTGTTGGTATTGTTGTTGGTATTGTTGTTGGTATTATTGTTCGAATTAGATTTCAAATGTTCTTTGTATGAAACAAACCATCGATAGTAACTATCCTGGTGGTCTTTGATTAGTTTGGCCAACTCTAATATTTCATTTTGATTATCCAACATCTTCGAGTTGATATACATGCAGATAGTCTGAAATGATATAATTATATCGAACAAATCCTAAAATAAAATAATTTTGTAAATTAAAATAATTAAACATTTTTAAACACAGCTAGTACATACAATAAATAGAATCAATTTTTTTGTTGATATAAATCCTTTAATTATTGGGCGAAAAGATAGCATTATTCCCTTCGACAAGCTCAACACTAATATCTTTTGTTCATAAGCCTTTAAAGATTTATTTTTAGAGATCGCCTTCTTCAAATTCTTACCCTCAACTGTTGGGTGTGTTTGAAAGATACAATGAAGTTGATCTTTTTGTTCAACATTAAACAATGATAATAGACTAAAAAAAAGTTTTAATTAATATACACAAATATTTCACTGTTTTTAATTATTTCATACTTTTTTACCAATGTTTTCATAATACCTAGGTATAACAGATGCATCGGATCTGTGGCAGATTGAAGGAAAATGTTCATCTTTCGGTTTAAGAAAACAGCTAATATATATATAAATTAATTTAAAACAGATAAATAAATAATATTACTAAATATAAACTAAAAATACCTACTCCACTTGGGAACACTATCAATTTGATCAGAGTCATCCTCACAGAACAGAGCATATTGGTCATGTTGAGAATTCTGAACTAAGGTCAAGGCTCTTTCTGGTGTTTTAACACTACTACTTATAATTGAAACATATGTAACTGGGAAAGTGTTGACTGTACTGGTTATGACCCTTGGGATGCATGTGGCATGTCTCTCATTAAACAAACATCCACATTTCAGGCATGCATTTTTTTGCGTGGGAGCACGCATTCCAATACTATCATGAAGACCAAGTGAGTCACCAGTATTTACCCCAATTTGAATAAAAATCTTGGTTTGATTGTACGCCACTATTGGTTTGTTGGATATAATCATTTCCACTATATCTTTAAATAAAAAATTTATAGTGCGTAGTACCAACTTTTGGTTCGTTAAAGAACCCTTTCTTTTTTCAATCACTGTAATAATGAACCTAAAAAACATTAATAAAAATGAATATATTTTTAATAAAACAAACTTGTAAACAAAGTGTTTTTTCAAAGAAATTTACCTATATCTACTTTTTTTGGAATATTGTAGTTGTGGTGTATACAAACTTATGTATACACCCAAGGCAGATTTTGTTTTTTCAAATTTAAATCCATCATTGTATAGGTCGATTATTAAGAAGTTGTTACATGTATCTTCATTGAGACCCAAAGTGTTATATTCTTCCTTGCTGTTGAGAATGATTGTCACCAACTCCAGGATATCTATATAATACATTGAATTTCCATTAAAATTGGTTGATTTTATCAACGACTCTGGAATTTTCTGAAAATACTATTTTAATAATAATTATTTTAAAAAAAAAACAATACACTTACTATTTTAAAATAAGATTCGGTTATTGATTCTATTTGTGAAAATGAAATATATTTCATATAAGGTAAATGATCCGGGTATGAAATTTGAGGATTGAGTTGATCCTGAATTGTGGTTTTTGATGTATCTAAATAATTGTGTTAACTATATACAGTGTAGTATCTTAAATTAATCGGATTATATATTATTATTTACATTTAAAATATTGTGAATAAACAGCATTGAAATAATAAAAATGGTCTTGAGGGATTGGATTTATTATATGATCTAAATTTAAGCAAATATTATTTGTTGGTGCTCGATTTAGGATATGAATTGTTTTTAATTTAACTGGAGTGTTATTATTATTATTATTGTTTCTATTGTTATTATTTTCGTTATTATTACTATTATTGTTGTTATTATTGTTATTATTTTCCACACTAATACTACTATTATTGTTGTTATCATTGTTTTTACGTGTATTATTATTATTATCAAGGTTGTCACTAATTTTAACATATGGTTTAAAATAGTAATAGTTATAAGTTGAATTAAATAATAAAATATTGTTATCTAATAGTTTGTAGTTAAATTTATAACTACCATCAAAGACTAATTTATTCTCATAATAAATAATTTGATTATTAGAGTTAAATGTTGTATCATATTCATCAGTAAAATCAGGTATCACAATTGAATCTTTGTTGAAATAATGATATTTTAATGTATCATTTTCAAAATAATAAATTTTGTTTGAACCTTCATCTTCACTATCTGAATTATTATTATCCATTTAATATAATCTATAAATCCTTAATAAATTTAAATTATGTTGATCAACATAATTTAAAATAAAAAAATACAATAAAATAAATCTATTTTTTGATCAAAAAAATTTTTTTTTTTTTGAATTTTATTTTTATTGAAAATCAAGGAAAAAATGATTTGACTTGATGATTTTCGACAAAGAACGCACAACATTTTCAATTATTCATTCATTAGTTTTTAATATTCTAATGTTAGAGTTTTTTTGTTTTTCTTAGTTATTATAGAGTTTAGAAAACATGGGTTTATCAGTTTGTAAGTATACAATGTTGATGATTTTTGCTGTATCATTTGTCTTAGTTCATCTATTCTATCATCAAACATCTTTCTTCTTTTAGATTCTCTGACATCTCTTACTATTGGTGGTGGAAATGAGGTTGATAGAAGCTGTTTTTGTTGTTCTTGTTGTTGTTGTTGTTCATGTTGTTGTTGTTCATGTTGTGGTGTTTGTGGTTGTTGAATCGAATGATTTGATTTTATCAGAGATTGGAGATGTCTTTAAATCATTCGATGACAAACTAAAGAATCTAATTAAAGATATGCAAGACACTCATATCACTACACAACAACTATCAAAAGCACTATAGTAAATAGAATGTTAGACAAAGATTTAATATCAAAAGTTTTTAAAAGATATTGATACCACCTGATATTATTAGGTAAATATAAATATAGGAATTTTAATGAATACTATCTATCTGATTAAACTAACAAACTATATCGATTATTATTATCATTAGTGGTATTAATAAAGATGATATATATGAAGATTATATCAATTATATAGAAGCATTAGAGCATAGAATTGAATCATTAGATGACTTTATGTCGAGTGAAGCTATGTTTGCTCAAGATATGGCATATGAAATCGATTTATGTAAATATCTGCATTCACTTGGAATGGTTGTGACTTTTCATTTCATTGGGGTGCTTTTCTCTCTTGTGCCTATTGAGTTTGGTAGACTCTGGTTGCTCCAACTTAAACATATAGTTTTCCATCTTTTAAAAAAAAAAAAATCATAACTAGAATAATATATTATATTCTGTATACAGGTAACAATTAAAAAAAAAAAAAATTATTGAACGATTAAAAAAAAATTTTAACATTCAAATAAATAAATAATAGAAAAGTCAATTAATTTTTAAAAAAAGATATTATAATTTTTATTTAAATTTAATTTTAAAAATGATAATAATAAAAAGTCTTTTCTTCCGCAACTGAAAAGCATTTTTTCAAGTGTGGAATTCTTACTCGATAGCCTTTTTTATAAACTTGCACGACCAATCCAGTGTAATAATGGGAACCAATGTTTACAATGACCATATCATCTTTGCGGAATCTTATATTGATTTCGTCTTCATAAAATGGTTTTATTCGATTCAGTGGCAGATGTTCCAGAGAGCTATCTTCCAGATATTCAAGTGTTGCCATTTGATTTGGCGAGTCCACTTGAACAACTCTGGCAATGTGCCAAGTATTGAGATACTTTTTAGTCTTTGTCATTCCCTCCACAATCTTACCATTCTTAATGGGCGAAATGATATCATTTTGAATATTAAAAGTTTTGCTTGGTTCAACACTATCAAGCTCATTGAAGCTTGGTACCAATTCCATTTGTCTCTTGTTTTGACGAGAGATCTTTAAAGAAATAGATGATTGACCATTGTCCAATGGTAAAGAGTTGGTAGCCAAAGATGATTGACTACCATCCTCCTTTTGTGGAGCGTTGACAAATGATGATGAGGTACCATCCAACAATGTCAATGGTTTCAAATTACCAAATGATAGGAGTGCACTGTCCACCAATTCCATGATGTCGTCTCCATCCAAATATGAAAAACTTAAATCTTTGTCAAGAAATTGTGATGAATTTTCCATTAATGAGTTATATGTTTAAATAAATAATTGAATATTACTGATATGACTTTACTAAATGAAACTTAAGTGAGTATTTATAGATTTATTTTTAACAAATATTAAAATTATTAAAAAATTTAATTTAATTAATTATTTTTTTTTTTTTTTCATTTGATAGGCAAAAGTGATTAATATCCCCTTTTTTTTTTTGAAATTTTTTTATGCAAAGATATGAAAAAATAAAAAGAATTGATCATCAATCTTTGCAAAAATATTGGGGGTGTGTTGTTTTAAACAAGCTTTTTGTTTAAGTGTTTTTTTTTTAACAAAAAATTTTCGCTGTGTTATTTAAAATCTATTGACAAGTTTGAAAACAAGGTATTTCCAAACTACCATTGTCTTTCTCATTTTGTTGAGGATGTCCAAATGCATGGACATCCGACCAAAAATTCCCGTTACTTTATGAATCCGTTTGAGGAGAAACACAAAGATTTTAAACACAACGAAAAAGTAAGTATTTTGGTCCATTGATTTCATTGATTTTAACTTCTTTTACTAACAAAAAACTCAATTATAAGCATTCATCAAACCACAAATCAACAGATAAATCCTACAATGAGAAGAATATCAATATGATCAACAATCAATTTAATTCTAACATTTATAATAATCCAACAGGAATTATATTCAATCAAGCCGTGGACAATAGCAAAACAATACTAGTCAATTTACCGATCAATATCAAACCTACAGAACTCGATAATCCCATCAAAGTGAATAGAATAAAAAAAAATAATAAATCATACAAGATCAACTCAATCGTTTGTTTCTCACAACAAAATGTTGGACCATTTTATGGTAAAATAAAATCTATTACATATCAAATAAACAAAGTTAAAATAGAAGTAAGTTTAATATTAATCTGATATAATAATCGATCCACTAATTTAAATTTATATATAGGTATGTGTATTCGAACCTTTACCATTGGAATTCAACACCAAAGTCATAACATCTAAAGGAAACCTCATCAATGATCGTAAATTTGAACCATTGAAATCGAAAATAGAGGAAATGAGTCAAGAAATGGTGACATTATATGAAGAAACCAATAGATCTATAGAAATTTCAATCAACGATTTGAGAAACAAAGCTATTAAATGGGTGCCAATTATACCATTGGATAAAAGTTTTTTGATAATAGATAGTTATTCTAAAAGAATCACAACATCCGAACACCTTACAAATTTCACTGTGCTTCAAAAAATTCAATAACATGCTATGAAATAAAGATTTTGGTTATATAACTTATATATATATATATAATATAACTAGCTTTAAAAAAAATGTGATATGATTCAAAACAAAATACTTGTGAAGAGAATAACTTATATATTTAGATTTCTGTTATTCTCTTCACTAGTATTTTGAATCATATCACATTTTTTATAAAGATAGTTACTAGTCTTTAACTTATATATATAAACTAACTATAATACTATCAAGTGAATTATTTAAAAAAAAGAGAAGATTTTTTTTAGAATTTTTTTTTTTTTTTGTTAACTTTAATTTAAAAAAAAAAACTACCAACAAGAGTATTGAACAAGAAAAAATTTAATATCTTTATCTAGTGATTCAAAGTTTGATTGCTATAAAATAATATAATTTAATTAAAAATGATTTCAACCACTGAAACTGATTCAATCCCAACTCGTGTTTCAGATGTATTTCAACAATACTTTAAAGAAAATAATAATATACTCATATCATCTATATCAAACAGTAATTTTGATCAAGCAGAGGATAAAAATAAATCAATAATTAAATCATTTTTAGCATATATTTTACAATCTGAGAACAGAACCAATGAACTTGAAAAAATAATCAAGAGTCAAACTCTAGAAATAGAGTCTATGAAGTCACAATTACAATTGTGTTCAGACAATATAGCTCACCTAAAGAATTTTTTTACAATGTACTACAATCGATCAGCACCAGCACCAACAACTAATATTAATCAACAAACAACAACAAATGGAATAGCAGCAACTCTGCCACCTCAGCTTGCACCCCTTCTAATCGCTATGCCACGTCAGGTACCTTATATAGATGATGTCCCCATCGGTGACTCCAGAGACATAATAGAAAAGGAGTATTTTAAATTCTTTACAAAAAATTTAAAAGATGATTTTTTTATTATGGATCTTGAATATATTAATAATCTTTGTTGTAAGTTTATTATATGCCCTAATGTTCGAGTGAATAATATTAAGAATACTCTAGAGTCTCTATTAACATATATAAAATTTATTTTTTAAAACAGCTAAAGTTCTAGATAAACAATATGTTATCAAAATAATTACGAAATTTAGAGAGGAGTTTCGTTCTAATTTCAGAACAGAGTTAGCTTTAAAATATAAAAACGATCCAACCGTCTACAGATTGGATTATGTTGAGAATGTAATAATGTCCAAATTCTCACAAAACACAGTAATTTCTTTGATTTGTTGGAGTTTTAAAAACAAAAAGAACACAGCGCGAAATAGGATTAGAGAAGGACAAGAGAAGTTCAAAAAGAATAACAAACACTTAATGGGAACCCATACTGAAATTGAACTCAATGTAATGTGTACCGAAATCCCCAAAGAATACTATAGGCTCGATACTGATCCCAAAACCAAATCACCGGTCATATACCTTCACAACATGAATGGCAACAAAGTAGAACCAATTAAACCATTACTTGATTTGGTAAATCTTTGTTTTCAATTAATATCCCCCCAACAGAATAAAAACTCCAACGCACACTTTACAGTCGATTCGGACCCCAATTACTTCATGCTCTACAAAGAAAACGAACTCCCTATTCAATGTAAGTGTTTTTATTTACCTAATCTTTTTAATCATCTAATAATTTTACTTTCTAATATATTACTGTAGGCAATATTAAATTGTTTAAATATATAGAACACTTCTTAACAAAGTTACTCTTGAGAAATGACTAAAAAAAACACCACGGAAGCTAAAAAAACAAAAGATTGCTAGACGGAATTCAAAATCATAACAATGAAAGAATATCTCGCGTGAGATCAGAGTTCGCAACAACTACAACTACTACTGGTCCATCTTCATCGATAGCCACTACAATTATAATTCCTCCACCTCCAACAGTACCAGAACACCATGAAGATATTCCAACGAGTTCAACTACTACAACTACTACCACAACCTCTACTACCACCACATCCTCTACTACCAACCAATAGATATTATATAACATTTGCTTGAATCTAAAAAACCTTGATAACATCCACCTATCTTTTAAAATCAATTTTATTTTGCTTCTTTTAATTAATTAAACAATTTTATTTAAATATTTATTGAACAATATTAATTTTAAGCGCCTTTTTTGATCACTATTTAATTTTTTTTTTTTTTTTTTTTTTTTTTTTTTGATTTCAAAACCAATTTGATTTATTTATTTTTTTTTTTTTATTTTGGCATTTTGTATTTTATTTTAATATATATAATAGTCAAGGTATATATTACCCTACCTAGCAGTCAAAGGTATGTTATATTTTAAACACATTTCAACTATTAATATTATAAGAAGCATTCTAATTATAATACTATTTATCTTTTCTAGAGTAATCACAGCTGTAATGAAACAACAATGGTATGTTTGAAAATAAAAAGTTCATTATTAATAATCACTAACTTAGTATTTAGTATTTACTACAGGTGCTAGAATATTCAAGAATATTTACCCAGCAGTCAAAGGTATGTTAACATTATATTATATTCTCAAAACTTTTTTTGATCAACTATTAATTAAAAATTATCTAAATTAAAATATTTATCTAGTCGTGATTCAGCAACTAATACAGTGTGATTAAGTATGTATAATGTAATCAATTCATTTAAGAAAAATATATGTTAACATTTATTTCAATATTTTTTAATTCTAGAATGATAGTTCCCTACATTCAGATGAAACTCTAGAGAATCATTCCACTATCATTAAGCTCTGTTCGCGTCCTGCTTCTCGAAATGCGCCAGTTGGAAACGAGTATCAAACTTTGGCGACCAACGATGTGGCATTGCCGCGAGCATCGACTGCTTGTAGCTCTTCCAACTGACCTCACCGATGTGCTCTAACAGCGAATACACATGTTGGTGCATGCACCAGTGCCAGATACCTGCAGAATTAAGTTCTAATCAAAAAAATAAAATAAAATAAAATTAAATAAATCATATTTTAAATTATTAAATTATTATTTTTTTAATCAAATAAATATATAAATTTATTTTTTGAATTTCGCGCCAAATTGAAAGAATACATGTAGATATTTTTATAATAATATTATTGATTGGCTTCGGCATAATTGAACATAATATCTTTTGTTTTCTTTATGCCGAGAGGTTTATGATTCTTTGAAGTGGTGCACTGAGGTTTATGATGTTTCTAATAGATATTTAAAATTAACAGAAAAACAAATGTGCAACAATGTCCAAATGCTTTTGAACATTGATATGTCCAAAAGCCTCTTAAATGTCCAAAATTGATTTCTAGAGTCTGATCAGTCGGATGATGAAACTGTCAAAATGCCCATTGATAAGATTAAATATACACGTAATACCACTCCAAAGTCTGCAAGATCCAATAGAAACCGAACTGTGGTAGAATTCTCTAGTCAAGCTTTGAGAGATGCAAGAGCAAGAATTAGAGCTGTCTCCTTCAACGACATGCTGTTGGCATCAAACAAAGACTTGATTGAAAGAGCTGCCCAATTCTTGGTATCGAACCCACTACTTGGCGACGAAGGAGCATTCGAGGCAGCAGTCACCGAAAGAGTTGATCTACTCGGAATCCAATCTCTGGTCTCTAGTCATTTGAGAGACCAAGTCAAAAACTATACTGCCAAGATTCCATTATTCGTTCCAGATATGAGCGACACCCAAACATTCATATCCCAAGTGGAGAACGTAGTACCAGAAGATAGGTTACGCTGCGTCATTGCTTTAAGCAAACTCTCAGAGGAAGCCATCACTTCGGTTTCATCAGCAGAAGATGCAGAAATCCTAAAACGTACAATGAAATGGAAAGAATTTGCCTCTATTCTAACCAATACCTTCGGTACAAAACGAGAATCCGATGAATACGTTACCGATCTTAAGAATTTGAGACTTGAACAATTCGAAACCACTCACAAGTTCATTATCAAATTCCGAGAGATCTATAGTAAATCACGTCTTTCTCAAACTGACATCGCCACACAGCTTTACCACTTTGATTTCTTCGTATTTTGTTCCACCCACACTAATTTATGCGTAAAAATACTCGACTTAGATTTTTTTCGAAAAAAAAAAACTCATTCTAGGTTGACCACTTTAAATTTAAAAAAAAATGTTTTTTTTTTCAATTTTGCCAAGGTTACCAATATTAAATTTTCGATCAAAAAAAAAAAAAAAATCGACTTAATATAAATCATTGAATAATAATCATATATATTGAATAATAAAATAATTTTATCGCTCCTTACATACTTATACTATTAGCTAATCTTTATATTTATATTAATAATTAAATCGTTATCATTATTAAATAAGTGTATAGTAAAAATCAATAAATAAAAATAAAATAAAAAGAATCATAATTTAATAAATAAGGTAATTTCAACGATTTTCACTTAACATTTTAATACAATATAATTTCATTTATTTATCTATAAGATATACTACATCTAACTTCACCTTTTCCATATAACTTCTTTCTTTTCCTTCTCTATACGATATAGTTCTTTTGTTATTATCATTTATTGTATAATCATCTTCTAAACCTTCACACATTACTTCTACAAGTGCTCTGTGCACTTTCACAACTCTACCTTTATAATATCTTTTATCAATGCATATCAACACCTCTTTATCTATGATATTAGCAGTTGTTTTTATAGTATCTAAATATTTTAACTAATTATATAATTATCCAAAGTGGGTTGCACAGCATAACCATTAGTAAGAAATCTGATATTATATAATCATCTATGGGTCGATCAAGGATGTCAATGAAATCATACAGCTGATAAGCATCATGGTCCAGCGGCTACCGAGTGGCCAGTGCATAGGTGACAGTGGATCGATCTGTTTCTACCTGTTCAAGTTGATTCCGTTCCTCTCGAGTCAGCAGCACGTTCGAGACGCGCAACTACTTGACAACCTGATAAACACCATCCGATCGATTCTCTACTTGCTGGTCAACGATTTTAACATGCTCTCGATCTTCATGCATAAAACACTACTTATATTCCAAGATATCCAAGAGATATATGAACAATTGAAAGATAACAATAACAACAACAGCTTACAATTCTCAATACTTTTAAAGACATTCTGTGAGTTATCTTCAATGTTTACCAATACGAAATCAATGTCATTCTTGGATATTGAAACACTTAAAGTTAACAACAACAACAACAATAACAACAATGAACAACACAACAATTACAAACACCAGAGATGGAGTACTCATTACTTTGACATCGTTCGATATGGTTATTTCATTGATGAGTGGATTACAACAGGTAATTAGCTACATTTTCGAATCGACCAGTCTATTCCTACCGGAGGTGATCACACTATTTTGGTTCACACTATCATTCATATTGAAATCAAACATTACCACCACCGATATAAAGCTATTAAATGTAAGTAGAATAATAACATATTATCATCATAGAATAATAGATTACTAATTCGCATATTTATTCTAAAGTTATAGGTAAATAAATAAAATAATTTATAAATCACTAAAAAATTTTTATTTTAGATTAATAAATGGAACAAAGTACGATTTTAATGAGAAAGAAACGGCAACTACTGTTTTCAATTGTATTATAGTCCGTTCAGTTTTTTTATTTTTATTTTTTTTAATTGGGGTGTTTCATGTTACAGTATTTGAAAAAAAAAAAAAAAATTTCAAAAAATAGATGGACAAAAGTACGAAAAAATCACAGTGAGTTTGCTTCCTAGCAACATTAAAGCAGATCCAGAATTAACCAAGGCACATCGTAAGAAGAACATCAATGCTTTGACCAAAAGATTAAATGATTTAGGTCGAAAGCAACTCGACGATAAACTTCGGTTAAAAAGGGAGGAGAAAGTGATGCATTTCACCACTCGAAATCATCACAATACACCTAATGTACAACCAAATCTTTCCCAGAAATGGTCACCAAACAATACCAATAAAAGATCTCCACCACCAAGTGTCGGTCAAAATAAAACCAAATTCACCGTAAAGAAGTCCAAGATTGGTACTTGCTCTATCTGCAATAAGGGTAACCATCTTCCAAATGAATGTTTCTACGGGAAGTTTGGAAAATTCCGAGATATCGATCCAGCCACTGGCCAAAGAAAGCAAGCTAATGCATTCTTATGTTCGATGCCTGGAACCATAAATAACATGTATGTTAATATTTTTATTGACAGTTGTAGTAACATTAACTTACTCTCATTTGATCTATTACAGGAAAGTGACATCAAGAATCTAACCGATGTCAACATTACCTTAAATGGGATTAATAAAGACAGTTCTACATTATCAAAACAAATAAATAAAAATATAACAATCAATAATAAAGTATTTAAAATACCATTTTTTATAATCAATTCTAAAACAAACTTTATTCTTTTGGGAACAGAGACGTTACAAAATTTAAATTTGAAAATTGATTTTAAAAATAAAATTATATCTTTACCTAACGCTGATAAAGAAAACAATATTAAAGAACTAGCTATCAAATTCAACACTCTAAACGATTCTATTCAAACTAATTTAATTGAAACTAGAAATTGTTTAATTTCGCAAAGCGAGAGTGATAATGATGAATGTTGTGCTTTAGTATATTTAAATGATATTAGTGTAGATGAGAATACAAATAAATCAAACACACACGAAAAGTTGGATGAAAGTAAAAATTCTAACCACACTTTTGAATCAAATCTTTCAAAGAAAATAAAAAATCTCATTTTAAATAAATACCCTGATGTGGTTAAACCTTTTGACAAAGAATTACCCCCATCTCGCGGAGATTTTGATTTTAAAATAAATTTGACGGTGGACCAACCCCCAAAACCAAAAAATTATCCAATCCCGCATTCATTTTTAGATGAATTGGAAAAACAAATAAACACTTATTTGGAAAATGGTCAAATCACCCCATCTCAATCCGCATTTGCGGCACCCCTTTTATTTATTAAAAAGAAAGATGGAGGTTGGAGACTCTGTGTAGACTACAGATCTCTAAATGGTATAACTATCAAAGATACATACCCATTACCAAACATCACTGAAGTTCTTAACAATACAAGAGATGGTGTTCTCTTCTCTAAAATTGACCTACTCCAAGGTTACCACCAGATTAGAGTTCATGAGAAGGATCAATCTAAGACAGCATTTCGAACTTCATTCGGTGTATTCCAATATATTGTATTACCATTTGGACTCACAAACGCACCAGCGTGTTTTCAGAGACTCATGGACAGTATATTCCAAAGACATGTAATTGCAAAAAAATTACTTGTTTACCTCGATGATTTGTTAATCAAAACAAACATTGATGATGAAGACAAACACATTCAAGATGTTTTAGAAATTGTTGATTTATTAAATCAAAACAAATTAAAAATAAAACTAACTAAATGTATTTTTGGTCAATACTCACTTGAATATCTCGGCCATATTATTGGTCATAATAAATTGATTCCTATAAATGATAAAATCTTAGCAATCAAAAATTGGAAACAACCTATCACAAAGAGAGAATTGAGAGGATTCTTAGGTTTGACAAACTACTACCGAAAGTTTATCCCCAAACTCTCTGAAATAGAAGCTCCATTAATTGATATAGCTAGAAAGAATAAATTATTTAAATGGGAAGATATACATACAGAGACATTCAATTTGATTAAAAACCAAATAAGCGATAGTAGTTTTCTTTTTATACCTGATTATAAGTTAACATTTCACATCGATTGTGACGCCTCCAATGATGGAATAGGTCATGTCATTTATCAATACAAAGACAATATTGAACAAGAAGATAACAAACAAATTGTTCTTTATGGATCCAAGAAGTTTAACACAACCGAAAGGGATTACCATGTCTTTGAACAAGAGGTTATGGCAATCAAACATGCTCTCGAATCTAACTACCACATGCTATTAGGTTATAAGATAGTTATTCATACCGATCACCAAAATATACTTTTTATAAATAATAAACTTAATGACAATACAAAACCTAAATTAATTAGGTGGTTACAATACATTTTCTCTTTTAATCCAACTCTTATTTATAAAAAAGGATCTGATAATGTAATTGCTGATGGTTTAAGTCGTTACACTTACTCCACCACCATTTCCATTGATGATAATGATCTAATTGCAATGATTGAAAATGGATATATTGAAGAAGAAACACAAATAAAGAATAAAACAATACACACATCAAAATATTATAAATCTAAATCTGTGAAAACAGAAGGTAAACTTAAATATTTTGAAGATAAAATAGTAGTTCCTCAAGTTCGCTCTATTATTAAACGTATTCTTTTCATATACCATGATTCATTACTTGCAGGTCATCATGGAATAGAACAAACTTTAGAACTAATAAGTAGACATTTTATTTGGGAAGGAATAGCCAAAGATGTCACTAATTATGTCAAAGCTTGTCATACCTGTAACAAAGCAACTGATGCTCGTGGACAATCAATTGGTAAACTTCAACCACTTATTGTTCCAACTAAATGTTTTGAAAGCATCAGTATGGATTTTATTCCATTAATTGATACAGAATACAAAGGTATTAAATATAATAAAGTCTGGGTAATTGTTGATCGTCTATCAAAGATGGTACGACTCATACCAGTTCATTCAACTTACACTTCTAAAGATTTAGCAGAAATCTTTATGAAAGAAATATTCAAACATCATGGCATGCCTGTTGAAATTGTCTCTGATAGAGATTCAAAGTTTACTAGTAAATTTTGGAAAGATCTGATGGATATATTAAATTGTGAAATCAGAACTACCACTGCAGAAAATCAACAGGCCAATGGACAAGTGGAAAGTATAATCAGATACTTAGGTAACTTGTTTCGTAAAGCTATCATTGCAACTTACAATGAAGAAAACCATGATGAATGGATAACTTTAGTTGATACAATTGAATTTTGTGTAAACAATTCCATCCATCACGGATGCGAATACTCTCCTTTTAAAATATATACAGGTGAAAATCCAATAACACCACTCTCTCTTATTCAATACAAATTGAAAATGAACTCATCAAAAGTTGATATCGAAAACATGATCAACTCAAAGAGAAATCAACTCAAAATTGTTAGAAATTGGTTATTCGATAATCAATATAACATGAGAATTCAATATAATAAGAATAAGAAAGAAATGGATATTAAAGTAGGTGATAGTGTTTATCTAAGAAAGTTTAGATCAAACCCTAAAAACAAAATCAAATTAGAAACAAGATTTGATGGTCCATACGAAGTAACAAATGTCAATGGATTAAATGTCACAGTTGCCAACGTTGAATCTGGTACAAAGAGAAAGAGAATCAATCCATCTTTCACTAGACACGCTAAATACTTCAAGAAACACAACTCTTTAGACGATGAGGATGATGATAATATTGAATTTGGCGAAGTTGAAGAAGAAGATGAAATTGAAATCGATTCAATTACTCAAAATGAACAAAACAATCAGAATAACAACAACGACGACACAGATGACACTGAAGCCATGGACATTGATTCAGAATTAGATTTGATAACAAACAACAATTCAACTATAAACAACAATCCACCTATCAATACACCAGATTCAAATACCTTAATTTTGGATAATATTCCAAACTCAACTACTACTCATCCAATCATTCATAATACATTGACATTCCACAATGAAAGAGGATTTTCAGAATCTTCTGAAATCACTAATTTCCAGAGAATATCTGCCAAAGAAATCAAAGAAGCATTCGAAAAGAAGAATAAGTTAACTGTCCTTGAAGAATACATCCAATACCACAATTCCCATCCGAACCATCCACCAACCAAACAAAGTGCCAAGATACTCATAGCCTTGATCAACGCCAATATCATTCGTAAAGATACAATGTTCGTCACAAGAAAGAGAACCTTCAATCTCACCAACAAGAGAGATGCCAAGACCGAATATCTTTTCAATATAGGAGGAGTCCAAGGATGGATACTGGATAACGATGTTCACCAATCATATAAGTCTTTAACCGGAGACTATAGAAATTGGTTGAAAACTAATTCAAACTAAAGACAGTGTTCTAAAATTAACATTTTAGAATTATAATAACCAAATCAACTGACACTTCAATAATTTATTAAGAATTCAACTATCACAATTCAAACAGTTTATGGACACGATTTCAAATAACTTAAATTAATAATCCAGCTGTTTAACAATAATTAAATATATTAGAATAATATCAACATTCAGTGAATCAACAAAATATCAATCTACCAAAGTTAACATAAAGAAATAACCAACAAGTTAATCTACAATGAATACCAAACTAGTTAATCAAGAACAGATTTCTGAGATTGAGCAACTGCACTGGTCGAAGAAATCCAACAGTATAAATACCTTGGAAATCCATTATAGAAATTAATTAATTATTCAACATTATTCAACATTACCAAATATTATTCTTATCTTCAAATTGTAAAATAAATAAATTATTATCTTTAAATATTATACTGTAAATTATATCTCTAAACTTTATTACATTCATTAAATCTATATTCCTCGTACCAGAACTATTCCTAAAGTAATTCCTAATCTTATATCAAAGTTGTAAGTATTATATTTATATGTTTATATGTATATTATAATATGATATTATTACCATTGTAAAATAACATTTATATATCAAATTTAGTTAAGAATGCATTTTAAGTAAAAAATATTATGAGTTTTAGTATATTGATGACTAGTGAGATGTCTTGTACAGTTGTGGAATATACTAAAATTAGTTAGTTAACATTTTATTTGGTATCATTCTTATATATAATATAATTAAATATTTCAAAATAAATTTAAAAGTACTATAATAAAAAATATTTTATTACTTCAGAAATATTGCACAAATTAATTTTATCTTTTATTTTTTTTATTTTTTTTTAAAATGATAAATGATTCAATTTCTTTTTAATTATTAATCATTTACAAAGATCTATCTTAGAATATATTTATTAGTTTCTATAACAAATAAATGTATTACTGTTTGATATTTTGAAACCTCTGTCCGGTTTCACAGATTTTTGCTGTATATATACAGTAAAATTACTATTTTTTTACCATCTAGTACCAAACTTAAAGATTAGTATATATCTTTTATATTTTTAATTTATTAAAGTTAAATAATATATTAGGAATAAGTACAAAGTAAGATGTATTCAAATATATAAGTCTTAATTTAAAAAAATAAAAATAAAAAATAAAAAAAAATAAAAAAGAAAAAAAGTTATAAACTCAAACATGACAATTATTTAGTACGGAATGGTGACAGTTGATGTTTTGAATAAAAAATAATTTTTAAAAAAAATAATTTATTTAATATATGGTCCATTTGCCTTTTGTCTGTATAATAGCATCCATTCGGTTTGGAAGTGATTCATATAAATGGTCAATTAATTGTAGGTCAATATCCTCCCATATCTCATAGATCACCTCCATCATATCCGCGCCAGGGTGACTGTACATGTGATTCTTTACTTTCTTTTTAACTATTCCTCATAGGTTCTCGATGATTTTAATATATGGTGAGTATGCCGGTATGAATAGATTTTTTAAACGTCGAGCTCTCATAAAGTTGACCACATTATTGGCGGTATGAACTGGACAATTGTCTTGAACTAAAATATATTGTCGTACGTTTCCACGATAAAGCTGAATAGAATCGATGTTTTGATTTTGGAGAATCTCTACACAGTAACTAATATAATCGCGTAAAAGCTTAGCATTATGATTTTTTTTTTTGCGTATTAGCAAAATACCTTTTTTGGATGTATGGGGAGTCTTTTTGATTGATTCGTTGAAAGAAAATTAAAAAATCAAAATACTTTTTTTTTAAAATATTATTTAGGTGTCACATCCCATACAAATGCTAAAAATCATTCAAACCCCCACAAAAGTATCATAATATGAAAGAAATTGATGGGTGTTCAATACAAACGACATCAAAAAGTAAACTGAAAATAATTTTTGGATAAAATATTCTTTATTTTATTTATTTAAAAAAAATTAATTTAAATTGTGATTTATTTTCTATGTTATTTTTAATAAAATATTAAAAACAATAATTAATTTTAATAATTTTTCATTTTTACTAAAATAATTTACAAAGTTTATGCAAATAAAAATAATAATATTAAATATTTACAAATCGTTTCAACCCTACAAAATATCATTGATTTTAACATTTAATTCCAAAGATTAAATAAATGATATATATATTGATCTTTTTATATATTGAAACAAGATTTCTTATTTGTGGATTAAAAAATTATTAATTTAATAATTTAAAATTAATTTTTAAAAATAATTAAATTTGAAAAAGTTCGAGTACAAAAAAAGGAAAAAAAAATTCAAATAATGGCTATCCTTTAAGAATGACACTCATTTTATTTAACTTGACATATTTGGTTAAATTAAAATTTTATTTAATTGAAATCGTTAATGATATATTTTTTAAAATAGATAATAACATATTCAAAAGTCTAAATTTTACACAATGAATAACTTAATATCTCTAGCAGACACAATGTTGGCTGCTGATGATCTGATCTCAAATAACAATAATGAGATGAGAAATAGTGGAACACAACCAATAGTTATTAATAGGTTGCCTGCTAATAATATGCAAATTACACCAACCAATTTGATCCAAAATCCACTACACCAATTACAGTCTCTCCCAACGATGGTCTAATGTTTCTTATTTATCTTGGACGAAACCTTCTCTGAACTGAAGCAACAGTTATCTAAATTAAATCAGGAAAATTAAAGAATTAGAATCAAATAATAATATATTCATTTATAAAGATAGATATTACCAAATAGACTTACTCTACACATTCGATTTGAAATGTTGGCTCACGGTAATGGGTCTTGGCGATCTATTTCATTGGAACTCGACATTCAGGTGTCCTACTTGCTTAGGTACTGGTTCATCTGGAAAAGTGGATCCTGACACTCAAGAGAAGATCGACCATTCTACAATTGGGAATGTTGCTGGATTCTTTGAGCCACGTACTAGAGAGCTTATGAGGAAGGAAGGACAGAGAGTCAATAATAAGCTAGAAAAGTCAAAAGCCAAAAACCCAAAGGTCGAAATGAGGAGCTTCTCTGGTATGGCTGTAGTGGAGTCTTGACATTGATCCAACTAAAGTTCCACCAGACACGTTACACATGATCATGTCCATTGTTAAGACTGTTTTTAAACCGATACTACTGCTATGTGACACCAATGAAACCTTACGAAAAGACATCGAAGACTTCCTCAAGTGTACGGCTAAACTGACATTGATAACGGTCTCACCAGGTACACTCTTGCATGGACAGCCTTATACATTCTATGACCGATTCAAACAGTCAGCTGTTAACTATATGGAATATATAAATATCTTGATTGATATTCTTATTAAGACCTTGTCGAATCATTCTGTATATAATAATGATAAGTTAGAATTGGTAAGATGTTTAGTTTATTAAAAAAAAAAAAACAATTAAAACTAATGTAATTAATCAAAGCAATTTACAACAAATAGTTACAAGATTAAAATAAACAAGCCACAACAACAAGAACAACAACAACATGAACAACAACAAGAGCAACAAGAACAACTACAAGAGCAACAAGAACAACAAAAACAGCATCTATCAACCTCATTTCCACCACCAATAGTAAGAGATGTCAGAGAATCCAAAAGAAGAAAGATGTTTGATGATAGAATAGAAGAACTAAGACAAATGATACAGCAACAATCATCAACATTAATGCAACAAAATGTAGATGCTTTACAAAGAGTGCTTGAAGAACAAGAAAAACAACAACAACTATCAGAAGCAAAAAAAAATAACAAAAGATCTAACATATCAACTAATTGAACGATCTATCAACATGTTTTTCATCAACAACGAGGAAGATAGTGGTAACGTTAATGAAAGTGATCATACTGCACTGAGACGTCAATGGGAAGAGTTGAGAAAGATAGAGAAAGATAGACAGCGAAATCAACATTTCAATATGTCCAATTTTGATTTAAATAGTTTATTTGGAATAGAGTCAATTGAAGTTGCTCCAACAGATTTCAACTGTAAACCAAAGTTTCTTTTAAATCAAAGAGTATCTGTATTGTATGGTGTTGACGAAGATATAGATTGTGCTTATTATTATTCTTGGTGGGATGGTCACATTATAGATTATAATAAGAAAGATAATACATATAGAGTTGCATTCAAAGAGTAAGTAAAAATAACAAAATATGTTTTATAACTAATCTAATGTTTAATAAATTTAGTGAAGTAATTGCTAACTATTACAGTGTTGATTATATTACAAGACAAAGTGCAACAGAAAGTATTTCGAATGATAGAATGGTAGAAGGTAGATATGTATTGTATACCTACAAAGCTGATAAAACCCATGTTTTCTGTGCTGTTATAAACTCTATAATAACTAAGAAAAACAAAAAAACTCTAACAATTAGACTATTAAAAACTAATGAAATAATTGAAAATGTTAATCCTGATGCTTGTTATGAGTTCTTTATCGAAAATCATCAAGTCAAAGCATTTTTTCCTTGATTTTCATTAAAAATAAAAAAAAATAAAAATATATTACAAAATTAATTAAATTTTATTTATTTCGATTTTTCACTGATAATCTAACTTCCAAATATAGAATAATTTGTTTTTACATGACTTTCACCCACTTTCACCCACGATATATTAGGAATATGAATGCAAATGATATTTTAGAGGGAAATATTTACAAATCGTTTCAAATGTATGTGGGTTCGCAGAAAAAAAAATTGAATACTACAAATCATAACCATCTCCTTTTCATAACGTTATGAAATCACATTTTTTTTCAACAGATTTTTTTTTTTTTTTTTTTCATTCAAATAATTGAATATTTATATAAATGAATTAAGTGAACATCACAAATCGCTGATAGTTATAAAATATTAAATAATTAGTAAAATGGATATACCAAAGACATATGAGGAATTCATTATTTGTGATGAGGTAATGAAACAAAGATTATTTGCTGAAATCACAGGTAAACAATTTTCAACGGACAATGAGTCTAGAGAAAATTTGAATAACTCGTTGTCTGAGTTAGGAAGTGTAGAAACCAATCAAATAATAGGAACAGATTCTGAGAATATTCAACATCTATATCTAATCATAAAAAAATTAGTAGACACAATAATGCTTCTAAGCAAAAGAGTATCTAAAATAAATAATTATGTATTTGAAAATATCAACCAAGTAGCAATATTTAGTTTGGAGAACTATTTTTCTCTAAAAGATTGTGTAAAAACAATTAAAAAAATTAATAAAACTTCTCAACTACGTTTTAGTGTTAGTCATATTTCTAATGAGAGAAAAGTGAAATTATCTGATTATCAAACCCATTTATCCAAAATGGGGGTGCTATCAATTAACAATTCACTCATTAAAGTGATTATGGACAAAACCAAGAGAGTTGCAACCTCTGAATTCAAACAGAATGTAGATACCAAGATTATACAGACCCCAGCAGTAAATAGATTAGAAAATGGAATGCAAGACCATGAGTTTGTTTTTATCTTTCGAATTTTTCGTAAAGCTTTCATCGAAAAAGGCAAATATTTATACACTTCGAAAATAGTAGAGTCAGTATTACAACCTGCTCACTATCATTATAATAGTAAATATTTATTCTACAATAATAAATAAATTTTAAACTAATTAACTCACCTAATTATAGAAGAGGATAAAAGAGCATTGTTAATAAAGAATGGTAGAGCAACAGAACCTCACGAATTAAGCACACTAGAGCTGAAGAATGAAATATCAAAATTTTATTGTCACTATCAAAGTGCGGATAAATTTAATGGAAATGAAGATGAAGCTAATAGACAAGGTAAGATCAATGCTATACATGTATTTATGTAGATAATTTTTGAATTCACTTGTTGATTTTTATATAATATCTTACCATCTGATAAATTGATTTTTATTAGAGTATTTAGGATTGTATTCGAACATTGCACGATTTTTGAAATATATATTATTTTCAAAAAAAAACACAGTGAATCCCCCGGCCGTACCTCAGCGTCAACATGTACGTGCTGTTGCTCAAACTCTTCAGCCTGCTGTCGTTCAAGTTCTTCAGCCTGCTTTGACTCAATCTCCTCAGCCTGCTTTCCCTCAATCTCCTCAGCCTGCTTTGACTCAATCTCCTCAGCCTGCTTTCCCTCAATCTCCTCAGCCTACTTTCGATCAATCTCCTCGGTCTGCTGTCGTTCAGGTCCATCATCCTATTGGTGTCAATGAGCTTTACCAACTTCCTGCTAACAATGGAAATACGTTATACTCACAACCAATGTATTCTAATCAATTTGATCCAAATACATTTAGATTAGTTGACCACTCTGTTTACACGACCAATAATAGTTTATACATATCTGGGCAACTTCAATCCCAGCACCCTCAATATAATAGCATTGGTACTGTACCAGTCAACAACTCTAATAATACAGCTCTAATTCAACAATCACCAGGTACAACAGATGATTTCGATTCATCTCAGTCTTCACAAGAGAACTATCATGGAGTGGGAGGTTCGACAATTGTAACAACACCTAGATTACCAAATAGACAATTTACATTCCATCCATACCAACATACACGTTATTAAAATGAAATCTTTGTTTCTTATTCATGACGCGTATGTCCACCGACAACATCGCTGACATTCACCAGGAGTTGGTTAGTCCTGCGCGTGACTCCAAGGATCATTACCGTCGCGCGTATCGACTACGATCACTATATATCTCTTGTAAGAAGATTTTAATAAAATAATTATAATAAAAACACAATTTTTTGACACCATCATACTAGTTAGATATTAATATATTTATTTATTCACAGTGTTTATATATTTAAAAAGATCATAATTCAAACTTTAATTCAATTAAATTAATCGAAACCAATTGGAATTTAATTGTAAAAAAAAAATTTATAAATTTTAATATTTAAGTACCGTGTAAATGATACCAAAGTCGATTTTAGTTTATTTCTTTTTTTGCATTGTTATCAATAATAAAAAAATAATCCTTTCCATATCCCAATAAAATGTCATTCCATAATTCGATCTTGTTGCGGAGTTGTTGTGCACTTATAAAAACTGTCTGGTCAGTTTGTTGATAAAACTTCATATTCTTGTTTGTTAAATCAACTATCTTGTCGATGTATGAAGAACTGTTTTGTTGGATCTCTTGTTGCGATAGGTTTTTAAATAGATTGTTGTGTAAGCGTATATTTCTAGTTTTCATTATATTAGAATTTAAATCCTCTACTTCTCTATGGTTTTTAACCTATTACAAAGTATATTATACAGATTTGTTGTTAGTTACATTTTATACAAATTACAAATTTGTTGGATTTCACAATTAATTAAGACATACCTCTAAGAAAACTTGCTCTTTCTCACCAAAATACTTTACTATCCATATGCTAACTATGTTACAATAAACAATAATTGTTTGAACATCATTTGCATTCCTCCTTATGGTAGTGCACGTGTAAGCACAATGGTGACCATTTGGGTGTCTATTGGAGTTTGGTTTATGTTGAGGTATACCATATACTTTAACACCTTTCAATACTTGGTCACCATTGATATGAATTGACTTTCCTTTTGTAATAGAGGTGATCAGTTTACCATTTGAATAGTATGTAAATAGAGCCTGTATCTGAATTGGGAATTCACTTAATTCTTTGGATAAAGATTTGTTCGATATTACAGATTTATAATGATGAACAAAAATGTCACTACGATCATATTTCCACAAGTTGGATGTACCGCTTAACAAAAAACTATAACGTTTTAACATAAATAGTAAAAAGAATTTACTTCGATTTTTACCATTGGATGTATTCTTTAAATTTTTAAAGTTAGTATCTAATTTTTAATTTTCACAGTTATTATAAAACCATACACCTTCTTTTTCTTGCATACACTGGTGTATTTGCTCCATCACATCTACATTTATAATACTGTCCTTAGTTGGATGACTAAATAGTTGTATATCTTCATACAGATGGGTTAGAAGGTGGAAGTTGGGGAAAACTTTACCGTGTGGAAAATCTATTTCTAAATTTTCATTAGCATCATCTTCATCTTCGTCGTCTTCATCAAAACAAACGTCATCAACATCTTCATCTTCGTCCATAACAACCACCTCTTCAGTTTCTTTAGTCTCTTTCACTGATTTAAACGATTATAATTAATATTCCTTTGTGATATAAAACCAGTGAATCATTTCTCTTAATTTTAATTATAAACATACTTTTTTTTTTTTTTGAGTATCCAGAGTCTTTATATTTAACATACCATCTAAAATATTGTTGCTGATGATCTTTTATCATAGTACCTACTTGATCAATATCTGCTTGTATCTTAAGATCTGAATAGTTCATAAAACAACAGAGTTTCTCAAACAATATTATAACATTAATCAATTCCTAATCATATAAATTATAATTGTTAGTGTTTATATATTTTATTAATTAAATAATTTTATTATATAAATACCAAAAATAAATTCAGTTTATCAATAGAGCTATATTTTGGAATGATTTTTGGTAAAGCCAATAATATTCCTCTTGATAGGGAAAGCACCAATGATTTGTGCTCGTATCCCCTAAATGATTTGTGTACATATACAAAATCTTTAATTCTGACTCCATAGGCTGGTGGATGACTACGGAACACCATATCCAATTGTTCCCTCTGCCCTTTATTCAACAAAGATAAAAGTCTAAAGAGAGTATTAATTAAATTGCATTCATATGATTAATATACATGTTATACATACTCGGTAACATGTCTTTTGTTTATACCAAGATATAACAAATGAAGAGGATCGATAGCACTCTGCAGAAACATATTGATCTTTTTATTTAGAAAAATAGATGCTAGATGATTAATTATTAATTAATATTTCCTTAAAATAATGCATTCACATGATGTATTTGATATATATTTACAATTATTTTGTAACAAACCATATGATTCTCGTTTATCATTTGATAAACGTAATGCTTGTATGTTTGTTTTAACTGTACTGTTGACGTATGTTTTGTATTCCACCTCAAATCCATTTATATTGCTTTCAACTGATACAGGTTCCTCTAAAACTTGACATCTGCATTTATATTTGCATTCCGCTCTTCTGCAAGCATTTGCCTGTGTAGGTGATTTCATGCCGATAGCATCGTGGACACCTGGATTATCGCCTGTAATTACACCAATATTTAAAAATATTTTTATATTTTTATTACAAATAATGGGTGTATTTAAAATTACATGAGAAATTAAATCTTTGAATATCTCATTAATACAAAGAACTACCATGTCTTGGTTTTTTATTTTCTTTCTAACTCCTTTAATAATTACAGAGATAGCAAATCTAAGAAAATATTAAAATAACAAAAATAATTAATTAAATTTACACACTACATATATATATGTAATTATCCCATACCGATATAATTCTTTTTTAGATTGTATTAAATTTGGTGAGTCTAAATTAATGTAAACTCCCAAAGCAGACTTGGATTTATTAAATTGAAATGAGTCTGAAAAGACGTGGATCATAATAAAATTGTAAGATGAGTTCAATCCAAACGTTTCGAAATGTTCTTGATCGGAAAGTACAGTTTGTATTAAATTTACGATATCTAAATAAAATATCTTACCGATACCATTTACAGTTGATTCTTTAATAATTGATATCGGTAATTTCTAAATATTAAGTCTATGTTAGCAAACATCTCAATCTTTCTAAATCTTTGTGTTCAACATACCATGCGATAATAACTCTCACTAATGGTTTCCATTTTGGCATATGTGATTTTATCATAGTTATCTTCATCGTCTCCGAAATGTGGATTAAATAGTCTCTCTATTTCTTTAATAGATGTATCTATATATATTTGTTAACAAATCTACGAACTTAAGCACAAGATCATTTCAAATTGTAATACTTACAATTGAAATAATGACTTCTAACACAATTTAAATAATATTGATGAATCCCTGGCATTCCATTTCTTTGTTCTTGTGATATATTCAAGTATATCTCTTTTTTGATTATTTTATTTTTAACATATACTGTCCTACTAACTGCTACTGTGTCTTTAGTTGGGTAGATATATTTATAATTATTCTCTATTGATTTAGTTGTAACTTGAAAATATTTATTATAAATTTCATCCAATTCTGGGTCATCAACTGTACTATAATCCATTTCAGTATATTTTCTTTTTGATTTTGTATCTAATAATAGTATTCCATTGATTATAAGTAAATTAGCATTATTATTATTATTATTATTATTATTATTATTATTATTATTATTATTATTATTATTATTATTATTAATATTACTATTCATTATTGTTTAATTCTGAGCATAGATATAATTAAGATTAAAAAAATTTAATAAAATTAATAAAATAAGCAACATTTTTTTACGATCATTTGTTGAATCATTATTTTCCATTATTTATTTTTAAATAGTTCTTCTTTTTATATCACATGTAGTGCACTACATATGTAGAGTTAACTTTGTTTGGGTTCATGTTACTGCTATAAGTAAACCATCATCTTTTGTTAGTTAGCAGATCGATACTTTTCCACAGTGATATCACAATCACATCATTCACAAGTTATAATTATTTAATTATTTATTTATTTATTAACTATTTTATTATAATCAAATTAAATAATTGTTTAATATAAGTTTGTTTATTTTTATTAATAAAAACTGTGATTTATTATTATCATCATCGACAACATATCTGATCAAATAACAATAATGAGATAAGAAATAGTAGAACACAACCAATAGTTATTAATAGTTTGCCTGTTAACAATTATATGGAATTGGTAAGATGTTTAGTTTATTAGAAATAAAAAACGATTAAATGTAATTAATTAAAATATCGATAAAGAAATAGAGTATCTCTGTGCACAAAAGTAAATAGAATATCAAAGCAATTTACAACAAATAGTTACAAGATTAAAATAAACATGCCACAACAACAAGAACAACAACATGAATATCAAATAGTATGTCATTCCAGTGTATATTTAATTGATGTTTAGAATGTGAACTAACAAAAAAAAAAAAAAATAGATGGTGTCGATATAGTGAAGAACAACAACAAGAACAACTACAGCAAAAAGTCCAACAAGAACAACAACATGAATAACAACAAGAACAACAAGAACAGCATCTATTTATTTATTATTTTAAATAGTAAAGGTTAAACGATCTATCAACAACGAGGGAACACAGAAATAAAAATAAAAAAAAATTATTAATAAGGTCAAAAAAAAATATTTTTTTTATTAATTTTATTTTAAATTTTCTGGTTTGTATTACCAAATGTGTAATAATATTTACAATGCTTTGGTTTGACATAAAAACAAGCTCTAAGATACTTAGAATGCACCTGGTACACATTTCTCAATTTTCGAACAAACCGACCATTGAAGTAGTTGGTTCCAAGTTTGAAGATAATCAAACTATTCTTTTCCAAATCTTCAATCGTTCTTTTTTCTTTGTAGTAGGGCTTGAGCTTATCGAATTCCAACGTTTCGATTTCATTGCCATCTTCGTATTGGATATCTGCGGTTTTTGATTGTTCATCAATACTCAAGACAGTCCCCACATGCCAAGTGTTAACGTGTCCTTCAATAGATGTTAGACCCTCCACTCGCATTTTCTTTTTGATTGGTGTGAGAAATTGCGGTCTACATTTAATGACTTTCCTTTTTAGATTGCTATCATATGAATCCAATGGTTCTTGACAATTTGATAAAGATGGAGACTCCACAGCTGTGTCTAATGAATGTTGACCAATGTGTTCCATACGATCCATTTCCAATTTCATTTGTGAATTTGAATTGATAGAGTGTTCATCAAAAAGTGGGTGCTGTTCCAATTCCAAATGTGAAAAGGAATCATGATATGGATAATTTGATTCCATATCATGATTGAAATCATTGGAACTATCATTGTTGTTGAAAAATGATTCCAAAAGAGATTCATGAGAGTTTGATAGAGTAGATGGTTTAGTTGGTGATGTGAAAGAAAATTTTTTGGTGAAATCCGGTGTGGGTGGTAGGTTAAAATATTGATTAAAAAAAGACATTTTTGATCAAAAATTTTTTTTTTTAAAAATAAAAAAATTAAAAAAAAATAAATGATTTACAAATAAAAAAAATAAATGATTTACAAATATAAATTAACTATATTTGAAAAAACATAAATAATATACCTCGTGTATTTGACTTGTTGAAATGAAACAAATGAATTCAGTTGTTGCTGCTTTTATAGTTTTTAAGATGATTTTGTAAAATTTGCATTCTTTCTATTAAAGCTCGTTCACGCTGTGTTTATTGGGGTACATTTCCTTTTTTGATCAAGATATTTTTTATGCAAAAACTCAAAAAAAAATGTTCAAAAAATATGGTTTTAGTTTTTACTGTGTATATATTGTTGGTTTTCCAAGTTCCTTCGATTTCAGCAAGATAGCCTGTTCCAACTGGTGTCACACAACTCCAAAAATTAAACTTCCTTCGCAGGTATCTCCTCATCCTGTAAACTCTCTCGAATCTGTTGCAACCAAGTCTGTTCCATTCATATTGATTGTAATTCTTAGGATTTGATTCGATTGTAGACTCATCGGTGAATATACAGTGCTTCCATTGGTCGACTGTCCAGTGACGATGTTCTTTGGCGAAAGCCAACCTTGCCTTGATTGCAGCCGGTGTCAAATCATGTTTTTTCGACAGAGGTTTGTATACAAGAAATTGTTGATGGATTATTTTCTGTGAATCTGGCTAATAGAAACGAGCCTATTGAATCATCTCTCGATACATTGTTGCACTTGGGGAACGGTCATACATTCTCGAATTAACAAAAATCTGACTATTGCTCTTCTGATTCTGTCACTGAATATTCTTGGTCTACCTGTTCTTACTCTATCTTTCAAAGATTCTATTTGTTCGAATCTTTTGATTCTATTTACTACTGTTCCTCTACTAACTCCAAAAGTGCGAGCTATCTGTGCTTGTGAGTCACCTCTATTGAAACTATCTACTATTCTTTGTCTAAGTATCTCTGTTATAGACATTATAAATGTATATATAATATTTCATTAAATTTATTATTTTTAAAGAATAAAATAAAATAAATAATTATCTTGTTTTCAAACAATACTAAATAATTGTCATGTTTGAGTTTATAACTTTTTTTCTTTTTTATTTTTTTTTATTTTTTATTTTTATTTTTTTAAATTAAGACTTATATATTTGAATACATCTTACTTTGTACTTATTCCTAATATATTATTTAACTTTAATAAATTAAAAATATAAAAGATAAATACTAATCTTTAAGTTTGGTACTAGATGGTAAAAAAATAGTAATTTTACTGTAGAATCGTAATGTGATGCTTTTAAGTAGTTGCCTGTCTATAAACGTGAAGCAGCGTATCAAATAATGAAACACTACCAAGCAGTGACCACGACACCGTCTCACCTAATAAAGATATAATAACTATAATAACGATAATACATTATTTAATCTCCAAATAACATTGAGAGTAACAATAATAATGACAGACTCTATTGATTAAGTTCAATGATGCAAACAATACTTATGCCAACGTTCTAAACACTGATCCTGCTAAGTGGAAGTTTCAAATCAAAAAACTCTGGAAAGTCTATATAGATCTCACTTTAGTAATTATTACTGTTGCTTCTGATGAAGACGTTTCTTTCTTTTAAACGGAGTCTGCGGAGTTCTTCCTTCAAGATCTTGGAAGGTAGTTGCTTCTTGTCGTAGGTAGTGAGAACACCTGTGAAGAAGCGGACTATTCCCTTATATTAATCAGTAAACAGAGTTAATCAGAGAGCTCATAACTGTTCCATTTGAAACTACATTAGTATTCCATTACAGAATCCACATCACACAACTCACTACTTATAGTACTTTACTACGATTGTACTCAACTCAAACCAACTCAACCACACATTACCACTATGATGCAATAGTAGATACTCTACTTAAAAACATCAACACATCACATCCAATGCGGTGGTTCTCACTGTAGGCTGGAAGGACTGGTAAAGTGTCTACATAAGGTCCGTCCTTGACTTCAAAAGAATTGAATTCGGTAACTACTTAATCTATTTCTATAATGAACTGATGGTGACCGCAAGGATAGTAGGTTCAGGAGGTTTGGCTGTGTTTGATGAAAACCAATTAATAAAACTAAAACATACACATTTTCATTCAGTTATCTTAAAAAAAAAAAAAAAAAACAAAGAAATCACCATTTAACTTTTAAATCCTACTTTAGTTTTTCATTTGTTAGATCATTTGCGTTCTACTATTTTGAAACATAATATATATAAATCTTTTTTTAACATCAGTATTCATCCTCGAAGAGGATATTTGGAAGAAGTAGAACAGCAAGACGAATTAGAAGAGGAACACCAATTAGATACTACTCTTTGAATCAATTGATAAGCAGCATTTCTCACAGTTCATTCTGAAGATTATCAACACTACCGAGCAGTGACAACGACACTAATAGCGCTAGCTACAAGATAATAATAATAATAGCGATAATAGTAACTTTAATTAATAATAACTACAACTACTGATCATCACATAACAACTGACGACAAAGTTAATAACAATATTAATAACATTATCATATATATATACATAATCGTTTCGTTCCTGTCGATCACAACAAATGCAAAAGAAATATGGATGACGAATCTGAATTTTTAAAGTATTTCACCGAAGCATCCGAAGATTATTATTTGAAGCTTCCATTGAGAAGGATTAGATCTTAGGTAGTCGGTATAAGCATTGTTTCCCGAGGACATGAGAATATGGTACGAGCAACTTGCCTTGGAAGGATCGCAACCTACCACCATCTCTGAACTAGCAGATGCAGTAGATAAACATTATATGATTTCCAGTAATAATGAGGATACCTTTGGTAGGCTCACGCAAGGTGATCTCACATTAATCAGGTTTGCCATGCAGTTCAATTCGCTACTTCCTGCGAAATACAAAGTAACAATATCGATGACATGAAGTGGATAGTCGAAACGTTCGTGTCAAAACTACGAGATGACTATCACGATCTCTATCTATCATTCTACCAACTGGCAGGTCAAAGACCTAACTGTCATTAAAATTGCCATCAACCTGGAGAGACTCACTAATAACGACATCAACACACAGTGCAAAACTACGGTACCGAACGCATCCCATAGAGCAGTGCAATTGAATAAGCCAATTCAATACAATCAATACAATAGTTTCTATAATCCAAAAACATCCACTGAATACCTAGAAACACTCTGTCTATCAATTATAAGTATCAAGGTGTTGCAAAAATAAAAGAACTTGAACTTCAAAAAATTAGTTAGTAATATTACTTATTTTATTATTTAATAAAAAATAATATATTTATGTAAATAATAGCCAAATTTGTGAAAAAATATAACAAATCGCACAATTAATTAAATTAAATAAAATTTTGATTCGTTTTTTTTTCATCAATTTTTTTTATTTTTATTTTATTTTTTTTAAAAACGAGAGTTCTTTTTTTTTTTTTTTTATTTTAATTATTTATTAAATCATAAATTATATAATTTACAAATAATATAATAATAATAATATATCTTATTTTATTTATAAATAACAAATTTATTGATCATTAATATTTTATTATAAAGAAGAATGGGACAGAAAAAAAAGAAGTTGGCCAAGGGACGTCTTGATAAGTTCTACTATTTGGCTAAGGAACAGGGTTATAGATCCCGTGCCGCTTTCAAGTTGATTCAACTCAATAAGAAATATAACTTTTTAGGTTCTGCTAAAGCATGTCTAGATCTTTGTGCTGCACCAGGTGGTTGGTAAGTAATACAAAATATACTCTCAAATTCAACAACATGTCATGTTGGTTGAATCACAAATCAAAAATACTAATAATCTATCAAACTACTCTTTACTTTTATATATACTAAATTAATAGGATGCAAGTAGCTTCAAAATATATGCCAGTACAATCTTTGATTGTCGGTGTCGATCTCGACCCAATTCGTCCAATTAAGAACTGTATTGGTTTGCAAGAGGATATTACCACTCAGAAATGTAGAACTGAAATTAAGAAATCTTTAAAAACATGGAAAGTTGATATGTATGTGTTTTTTTTTTTTTTTTTTTTAAATGTTATAATATAATAATAATCTAATCTATTTTATAATTATTATTATTTATTTTTAGTTGTTTGCATGACGGTGCACCTAATATGGGTACTTCATGGATTCAAGATGCTTACCAACAGGCAGAGTTGACTTTGCACGCTTTGAAATTGGCTACTGAGTTTTTGGTTGCTGGTGGTTGGTTCGTTACCAAGGTGTTCAGAGGACCAGATTACAATGCTTTGCTCTGGGTTTTCCACCAGTTATTCAAGAAGGTCGATTCCACCAAGCCACAGGCATCTCGTAATGCCTCTGCCGAAATCTTTGTTGTCTGTCAGGGATTCTTGGCACCAAAGCACATCGATCCAAAGTTGTTGGATCCGAAATACGTTTTCAAGGAGATCAAAGAGGCACCAAAGCACATCGATCTCGGAAAGACAACGACCAAGCGTAATCGTTCCGGTTACGAAGAGGGTATCACAGAGATTGCAAAGACTGCAACCGTCAAGGATTTCGTGGAGGGTAACGATCATTTGAAGATTTTGGCATCGGTCAACTCGCTCCAATTCGACGTAGAGAGCAAGATGTACTTTGACCATCCATCGACCACCACTGAGATCAAAGAGTGTTTCAAAGATATCAAAGTTCTCGGTAAATTCGACTTTAAGGTGCTGATCAAGTGGAAGAAGGAGATGTTGGAATACAAAGAATCATTAGAAGGAAAGAAAGAGGAAGAAGCAGCTCAAGTTGAACAACCAGATACCAATCGTTTACTTACTCAAGAGGAATTAGATGAGAATTTAGATAAATTGGTAAGTATTTCTATTTTAATCTATATATATATCAAAAATAATTATATTTACTTATTGTTTATTAAAAACAAAACAACAGTTGGAAGAGAATCAATCTAAATTGGAAAAGAGAAAGAAGAAGGAAAAGAAGAAACAAAATGAAAAGAAGAGAGTACTCCAACAGAGATTACAATTGAATATGACTATTCCAGGTGATTCCATCGATCAGATTGACGATAACAATCTTTTCGATTTACAAAAAGGAAAGGATGATCAATTTGAAATCGATGCATCTGCAGATGTCGATCCAGATGAAATTGTAGATTCTGAAGATGAAATGAATCAAGGTAATTATAGAATATATTCTATTTTTTTATAAGTAATTTAATTTTAACAAAACAACGATTATTTCTTATTTATTAATTGTAGAAGAATATGAAAATGATGAAGATTTTGAAATGGATAATGAAGAGTTTATGGAACAACAATTGGATGAACAGTATTCACAGTATTTAAAGAGAGTCAAAGGAAAGAGTGGAGAAGTCGATGTAAGCAGAGTAACAAAGGATAAGCTATCGGATTACAGCGGTAAGGGAATGGACGATCTCGAGATTGAAGACGATGAAACCATGGAGATGAAGCTGAGTGATAACAAGAGTAGTTTGCTTTACGACGGAAAGAAGAGAGCAACCTCTGAAAAGTCAGCATCAATGTGGTTCAACCAATCTCTTTTCAGAGGTGTCACTGGTGACGACGAAGATACCGCCGCAGCAGAGGAAGATCCCGAACTGGACAGACCAATCAAACTTCAAAAGACATCGACCGAATCGAAATCGACAACCAAGAAAGAATCAAAGAAGAGTAAGAAAGACAAATCATCGTCGTCGTCCTCTAAATATCAATCGGCGCCAACCGGACAATTGGATGACAGTGACGAAGAGCAAGAAGACGCCAAGCAGGGTGAAGACAATCAGTTTGAAGTGGTTCCAATGGAGCAGGATATCGAGTATGAGAGCTCCGACTCTGAGGACGAAGACTCACGTATCAAGACACTGGCAATGGGAACGATGATGTTGAGAAAGAAGGTCAAGCAAGATATGACTGACGACGCTTTCAATAGATATGCGTTCAACGACGACGATCTACCCGATTGGTTCACCCAAGACGAAGACCGTCACAACAAGCCACAGACACCACTCACCAAGGAGATGGTAGAGGAGATCAAGCGTGAGATTCGTGAGATCGACTCACGTCCGATCAAGAAGATCGCCGAAGCCAAGGCCAGAAAGAAGTATAGAACTGCCAAGCGTCTCGAGAAGCTGAAAGACAAGGCCAACTCTGTCGTCGACAACGAGGAGATGTCCAATCGTGAGAAGACACGTGCCATCGAGAAACTCTATGAAAACAGTAACAAGGCTGGTCACGCCAAGCAAAAGAAACTCGTTGTCATCTCCAAGAAGTTCAAGACCGGTGGTGGTAGCGGTAGTAAATACAAGGTCGTCGATAAGAGAATGAAGAAGGAACTTAGAGCAACCAAACGTGTTGAAGCCAAGAAGAAAGGTACAAGAAAATAAAATAAATAAAATCAACAATACAAAACAAAATAGTTAACAAAACAAAACAATAAAACAAAACATTTTTTATATATTTACATAAAACCTCTCTCAATTATTATTCTTTATTGCAAAATAATTATCTTTACTTTAATTTCCATCTAAATACTCTGAATACAATCTTTCAACCAATTCTAAAGCTTCATTATATTGTTCTAAACTTTCAGTTTTATCTTGATTATCATCCTGTTGTTTTACAAAACGATATTAATATAAATATATAATAATAATACAATGTTTTTGTTGTTATTAATAACATACCAAAAAATCTGTTAAAATATTCACTGAATCTGTTAATCTTTTCACAGTATCTATAATCATTGTTTTATTTTCATCTAATATCTCAACCTATTTGAATTCATTAAGAAATACATTATTAATAACAACTAAATATATATATATGTATGTTTATTATATTATTATTTAATTACCTGTTTCTTTACATCATATTCATCTTTTGTGCTATCATTCTTAAATTGTTGTACTGTATTCTTTTGCTCTTCCAATTCCTTTTGATAATATTTGTAATCTTTCTCTAATCTATATAATATATAAATGTGATTAAATGATTAAAAAAAAAACGAATGAGCTAATCTCATTGTAATATAATTCTATAGTTCGATTGAACTTCTCTGTTTACTTTCATACCTTTTCAATGAATCTATCTTTACTTTTAAATTTCTATTTAAATCGGAAGCTAATGTACTTGATTTAGATACCAATACCATTTTTTTATTTATTTAAATATCAATAATATATTATTATTATAAGGTAAATTCAATGAGATATTAAAAAAAAAAAAAGATTTGTTAGTATGAAAAAAAGTAAATTTAATGAAAATAATACGATTTCTTTTCCAAATATGGAAATTAAATTTAAAATAGAATAAGTTTTATATATATATAAGTTTTTATACACTTTTCAAATGCTTCGAATATGAAAACTTATATAATAATACTATTCAAGTTATAAATATTCTCATTATTAGATCTTATATAAAAAAAAAATAGTCTTCTGTTTAGATTTGGGAACTGGATCTGTTGGTACTGAAGTTTAATTATGGATTCAAATTTTATGGATTAGTAAGGAATCAAGAGAAAGATGTCTTCTTACTTGAGAAAGAGAGTAAATAAAAAAAAAAAGATAGATGTATGTGGTATTTCTCCTCCAACTTTTCTTTGTCACTGAATTCCACAAATGAATTATTATACCGAGAGTTCTCAGTTAGATGATCGTAGTTGCTTGAACCATAGAGTACAGTGCTAGAGGTAAAGATAGTCAACAGGTGGTTCGGTCTTCTCTATTCTTTTGAGGAGAAATACCGTTAGATTGGTGGCGTGTTATCCAACCTTCGATTGTCTATGGAAGAGAAGGCTGTGGTTCTCGTTTCTTATATCAATTGGCAAACTCCAATCAAAAGGATGGTGTTCTTCAGCTTTTTGGAACCCCGGGTCAGAATATTTCGTTTGTTCACAACTACGACTTGGCACAGCTCTACCTATTGGCAGCGGTAAAGTCATCGGTATCCAGAGGTTAGACCTACATTGCATCAACCAAATCCTGATGTTGTCAAACCAGCTGGTAGTGGTCATATGTAGATAAACATTCAAACACAAATAAAGAGAAATACAAATTTTATGTTATTTAAAGTAGAAACTATTAGGTCTCTCTTTCTTTCTTTTAGTTTATTTTGATTCGATTGAATTGTTTGTTGTTATATTTTATATTATTTTACATTATTATCTTGTATTTATAGATACATGGTTTCTGAAGTTATATTATTATTGGTTGTTTAAAAAAAAAATCTAAATATTAAATATTAAATATATATTATTATTCTATTTGTTTGTTGTTTGTTTTTACTATTATTACAAAAATACAGTTGTTGAAGAGAATGGTTGACGACTATTTACAAGGAGAGGTGATGTGTTGTTTGGTGCCAAAGCAGAGTTTATCGTTGGCATTTCACTATTACTAATACGACGTTGTAATATTTTAGCATACATGCTATTATTGTTGGAGTTGTTATTGTTGTTGTTGTTGTTATTGTTAATGTTGGTTGATTGTTTTTGTTGTTGGAATAGTTTTTGAATGGTTTGTTTTCTTTCTTGTTGTGTTTTGAATCTTACAAAGAGATAGACTTGATCCATGTTCTTTAGGCAGTCTTTTACTTTTGAATTTACAGGTAGTGCGATATGATTACCATCTTTAATAATCAATATCTTAAAATGTACAGCATAGTTGGAGAATAATTCTTCTTCTAAATCTGTTTTGTTATGAAAAGAATGAATTGCAATAGTTGTTTTTGACTGTTAGTACTACAGTCGTAAATATTTTCAAGTTATTGTTGACTTACATTCATAGAGAGATTGAATCTCAAGGTTAATATCGTTAATGCATGTTAAAAATCTAAAAGTTCCATATATTTCAACTTGAAGACGAAGTGCAGAACACTGAGAGTTTGAATGCATATAGATATTTATTGTTTTACAAAAAAAAAAAAAAAAAGGAAAGGAAAGGAAAGGAAAGGAAAAAAAGAGCAGAGGAAGAAGAGGAGCAGGAAAAGTAAACAAATAAGTTAAGATAATGGAGATTTAAAGTCAAGATTAAGATTAATGGGTTATTAAAATTAAAAAGAAATTAAAAGAAACGAAAGATAAAGATTAGGAAGAATGATTGAAAGAAAAAAGAGATAAAAGAATAAAAACACAGAAAATTGTACAAATAATGATAAATGATGTTGTTTAAAATGCTTTTTGATGAACTGGTGTTTGTTTACTAGTTACCACTGAACCACCTCTCATCAAAAAAAAAAAAAAAAAAAATTTGGTGTCAAGTCACTCATTGTCTCGAAAAAAAATGATCATTTTCGAAAAATCCAAAACTAAAAAAAATTACTGGGGTTTAATGTGCAACAGCCATATTTTTTCACATCGTCAGGGAACTAGTTTTTTTTTTTAGCGTCTAGATCAATTTAAATTCCACCTTATCTCTTATCAAAAAACAAAAAAAAATCTAAAATTATAAAAAAACAATACAAAAAATGAACCATCAATGGTAATCTTTTATCTGTAATTTTAGAATTTTTCAATCTTTTGAATATTCTTTGGTACCTTTGCATAAATCAAGGTATTTTTGCTATGAATGATTTCTGCCAGTCACCATAGCAAATGATGTGATGATATTATTTTAATGAGAAGTTTCGTTATCCTTCCTGTTTCTATTTTCTTTTCAAACAAAACAAGACAGATATCTTTATTTATTTTTAATTTAATGATTTTTTTTTTCTCTTTTCATTGTAAATTTATTTTATTATATTAAAGGTCTTGTCTTTAATTTATTATTGGGAAGTTATTAAACAAAAACAACCATCATTAAAGATCTTTAGTAGAATCGAATTTTTAAACAAAAAATAAGCAACAAACAACAATGTAATTGATTCAATAACGTATCCACCATTGCCCATTTCTCTCAATGTTGTAAAAAAGATATTTCAAACCAACAAACACACAACAATTCCAAAAAGAAAATTACCAAAAAAAAAAAAAAAAATAAATCAAAAAAAAATCAAACAGAAAAAAAGTATCTACTAAATCTATTAAAGGGTTATTGTAATAGTTTGGTAATCAATTGTCAGGTTATGTACATCCATTTCAAACTCTTTGACAACTATAACCTATTATATAAATATGTAAAAAAGATTATTTTTATTTCTGTTTCGTGTTTTTGTGTGTCTCTTTAAAGAGTGAAAGTATTATTAACAAAAAAAGATCAACAAACACAAAAAGGAATTTTTTTTTTTAAAAGAAAAAAAAAAAAAATCTCCACAATCATGATTTTGTTGTATGGTCAAATTTCGAAATAAATTGACCCACGTACTTGTGAAGCAATCTAAAAAACTGAAATTTTATTGTTGGTGACTTGATTTCTATAAAAATAACTATTTTGTTCATTTTTTAATTTAAATCGTTGAAATCCCAACCAAACGGTAGGATCTGAAAAAACTATAAAAATTCTGATCATCAACCAGATTTTCTTGTTGATTGATTTTCATTCTTATCAAATCGTTGAATTCACATAATTAATAGGTACCCCCTCTCAGTGACAACAGTGTTTAAAAAATTCAACTAAGTCTACATTCGCTTGTTTTTATTTAACTTTGCTCTTAATACTCCTACCATGCATCTATGATTTACTATTGAGAATCTTTTAATTATAAAAATAAAAAAAGGAAAAAAACAAAAAACAAAAACAAAAATAAAAACATCTGATCCTTCACACTATACTTTGAATTTGTGTTGTGGTTCAATGATCAGGTCTCCTCGTATTTGATGTCAAATGGTTATTACTGGTTGGTTGATGTTTGTGTGACACAAGAGATGAGGAATTGACAATTGTTTTGTTTGTTTTGTTTGTTTTTTTTTACAATCACAACATTCAGACAGAAGAAGGTCTCATTCACTTTTAGTAAAATCGAAATCAATTGTAAACCAACAATAATTATTTATTATAAAATAATAATATTATTTATAAGTTTTTTTAACAAACCTTCAGCTCATCATAATTAAATAGTTTTTGATTAATGATTGGATCATAGTTGAATTGAATTGTGTTTCTCATTCACACCCACACACCAAGCACCACCACGGCAATTTTAGAAAAGTACACTGATACACCACGAATCATTCAACTCAGTCAACAAACACCTTTAGTGTAAAAACAAAACACATTTAAAAAATTAAAACCAGTACTAAAATAGCAAGTCGTTTCTAAATAATCAATTGTAGGTAGGCTACCCACATTTTTATTTCATGATCACAAGTCTAATCACCATAGCTAACCACATTATAAGTAGTTTGTGTTTTTTCTATATTTATATTATTAATTAATAACTAGTACAATACACCAATTCATATTCATCCTCAAGATTGATTGATTGAATGTAATATAATTAATTCACAAGTCAACATCTAAATCGGTTTAGAAGTAATTTCAAAATAATTTTACATTCATTCAGTAAATAGTGAAGATGGACATTAATAGTAATAACAATAATGATAATGATAATAACAATAATACTTTTATCAGTATGAGTGGAGAAGAGAAGATTGCTTATTACAATAGATCAAATGAGGTTATTATTATTGACCAAAAGCCAACTTTCGTAGTGGTAAATGATGATTATGATATTGGCGTCAATGAATTAAATAATAGTAATGTGAATGGCGATGATCTAAATGGTAATATAAATCTTGGTAAAAGTTTGGATAAAAGTTTGGACAATAGTAATAACAATAGTCTTAAGAATAGTAGAAATAATAATGAATTAAATAGTAACAAAGATAAGCAATTAAATGAAAGCGATGAAGAAAAGAGATATCAGATTCCACTTCCAAATTTCATAAAGAATAGCAAGATGATGTCTCGTTACGCCGATAAGATGATTCCAAAGTTTCCGAAGTCAATCAGAGATCGTATTAATCCATTTACATTAATATTTCTGCACAGAAATAAAGATGTAAGATCGTGTTTTGGGTTACCAAAAATTGGTTGGTCAACCGATATTAAACCCTCTACTAAAACAGCTGCAAAAAAAACACAAAAACTATTACAGGAACAAAACCTACCCCCGCACTTCCTTCATAGAAATGATCCAGTTTTAGATAATTTATTAACTGGTAAGTTAATTTAATACTTTTAAAAAAAAAATGTTTATTTTTAAATATTAATATTTAATTTTATTTTTTTTTAGAAGGACAATTTGAAAGATATTTTAATATTATATGTAAAAAGAAAGTTAGAGTATTAATTAGCGTGGCTATACTAATGCAGATATTTCTATCGCTTTTCACATATCTAAAGTTTGGAAACTATGTTTTCAAGAGAGACGTTGGAATTTCCACTGAATTGGTTGTTACATTGATTTGTGCATTTGCAGTCATTGTTTTTCCAAAGACAACCAGTCGAGTCGAAGTTGTATATCTTCAAATTCTATTATTAACGAATAACATAACAAGAATTTGGTGGGAAGATTGGGTAAGTAATTAAAAATCATTATTATTATTATAATTATCATTCCCATTTTTAGAATTTTCAATTTAAAGTTTTCCATGTTTATTTGTTTTTATGAACAATCTTATTAAAACTAATAATTTATTTGTTTATATTCTATTATTACTTTTTTTTTACAATAATTATCCTTTAGTTTCCTCCTTACGAGCCATCTTATCAAATATTTTTATGGATCAATTTCTCGGTACCGACTGCCAAGTTTTGGAGATCTTCAATCACTGGATTCATTGGAATCGCTTGTTTGGTGACGATCCGTTTGGTACAAAAGTACGATACCGTCACCAATATCATTGTCTCTCAGGGAGGTAGCTATCTGCTCTACCATATCGCTGTTGGATTTGGAACACGTCTCAATGAGATTGCCAACAAAGCTCTGTTTGCCGAGATCGTTCAAGCCAATCCAGCGCTACCCGCACACAAGACCTACTTTATATTCGAGCGATACTACGATCGTATCAGTAATCGTTTCACTCAACGCTTCCGTGACAAAGAGATGGAGCAAGGTTTCCTCAAGTTCTACTCGTCCGAGTCGATTGTCGAGGTCGGTGTTGTCGTGTCGACACTGGCTACCTCGGTCTACTATGTGATTCAAGACATCCGTTATCACAACCCCGGAATGCTCTTGATGTTCTTACTCCTCAGATTCCTTGTTATCGTACCGAGCACTCTCGGTCTAATGTATATCTCTATCATTCGTCGTCGTGATCCACATCGCGCAGATCTGTGTGCGCTCGTTGTGTTTTGCGTGCAGGTTGCCGTGCAGTGTCTGATGTTCAAAGAGGTCAACACCTGGGAGGGAACACTCTACTATCTCGGAGGTGTAATGCGTGTCTTGACACTAGGAACATCTCAAATGTTCTTCCTCTATCTCATCGTATTGCTCCCAGTTAGTTTTGCAATTCTGCCGATTGCCATCGTTGAATACGGTAGCTTGAACACCAACTACACACTGTTTTTCATCATTTTCGCAGCGATCATTGCTTGTTTCTCTCTCTTGAGAGAAAAGAATCAGAGACTTCGTTATCTTGTGCAGAATCATGCGCATGCCATTCTAAAGGATGCACAACTGCAACAGGTTGTCATCACTACCGACGACTCTAACAACAAAACAACAAATCCAGATGAGATTGATATCGATACCGATAACAACAACAACAATAACAATAGTAAAAATGATATCGAACTTCATAGATTCAATGATAACTCTAAACAAGAATTATCAATTAACAACACTTGTAATAATAGTAATATTAGTAATAATAATCCATATACATTACGCAATAGTAATAATAGTAACAATAACAATAATAATAGCAACAACAGATCACACGATGACTTGTCGTCTTCATCAAATTCATCATCATGTTCAGTTTCAACTTCTCCCACTCAGCACAAAGGAAAGAAGAATATCTTAAATTACCCACAACTTTCAAAGTCAACTAGTAGTGCTGGTGCCAATACAAGTACTGGTAATCTAGGTGGATAGAGATTGTCAATAAAACTTTAAACATAAACAAAACTACTTTTTTTTTTTTTTCATTCATAATTATTTGACAATCTTTTAAATAAAGAGAGAGGTTTCAAAGTCGCTTGCACATGATTATTTATTTTTAGTTGATTGATGGCTTTCATTGGATTATCAATATATTCCTTACAGTAGAACTAATTCTTAACTTTCTACTACAACAATAATTAGATTTGATCCTCTTCGAATCTGTGAATACAATGTTGGAAGATGGTATCTCTAATAACCATATTTAATATATATTAAAATGATTCTCTTTCATTACTAATTTAAGTGTAAGTCACAATGTTTGCAAATAGATAGGAAAGCTTATAATAATAATAATAATAAAAATAGCATTGACATATATCTATAAGTGAAAATATTCTATTCTGATGTAATAAAGAACACTCATTCTAGAAAGTATCTTTTTCATTTTAAAGTACCTATCATTAATAAATGCAATAAAGCAAAGATAATTACATCCATAAAAGTCATGTTTATTATAAACAAAAAATGTGTTGTCATAGCTTTTTTTTTTTTAAAATTACACATTTTCGATCAGGTGTGTGTTGTGGTCATCTTTTAAGAACATGGAATTTTTTTTAAGAATTAAATGAAATTTGCATATATGCAAACAATATAAATAATGAAATTTCAATTATTCCTAAAATCAACAAATAAATATTAAATCAAATAAATATTAAATCAAATATATAAATCAATTCATTCCTATTTTAAAAATAAACTAATTAAATTAAAAAATGTCTCAACCTATTTTCCATTATGTAAGTACAAAATACAATGTTTTGCACAAAAATATATAATTAATTTGTACTTTTTTTTAATATTAGTTTGATGCCAGAGGTCGTGGTGAAGAAATTAGAATCTTATTAAATTATGCAGGTGTAAAATACACTGAAGACAGAATTGGACCATTAACCGATGAAATTCGTTCGAAATTAACCTTTGGACAACTTCCATGGTACCAAGATGGATCTCTCAGTATTACTCAATCGATGGCGATCGAGAGTTATATTGCAAGAAAGTACTCATTACTCGGTGCCAACGAAGAGGAGAATGCAGAGATTTTCAGTTATGTATTGTCGGTTGCCGACATGTTAGATTCATTCATCAAAGCATTTATGGGTGGTCCCGAGCAAAAAAAGAACTTTGACGATGTTGTTGCACCAAGACTCATCAAAGCATGGGAATCAAAGATCAACTCCAACGGTCATCTCTTTGGAAACAAGATATCATGGGCTGATTTGGCTGTTTTCAATAGTGTCGATTATTTACTATGGGCCAAGAATGATAAACTCTTCACACAATCACCAAAGTGTCTTGCACTTCACAAGAAGTTGGCTGAATCTCCACAATTGAAACCATACTTGGAATCAAGACCAAAAGATATTAAATTTTAAATTATCATAGTTTGCTTTTTTTTATTATTAATAATAATGAAAATAAACTTTATATTATAAAATAGATACTTGTTTTATTCTAAAATGTTTATCGCATTGGAGAGAATTCTAAAAGTATATAATTATCACTAGTTCTGAATCAACACAAAAGATTTTATTACAAAACAAAACTGGCTCCCAAAAAATTGGTGGGGTTAATGTGATCTTAGTGGTTTTTTTTATTTTATTCGATTTATGGTTACAAGCATGAGCCTGTTTTGTTTTGGTTTTTATTTAAATTATCAATTGGTTATTTTTAAATGCTTTTAGTTTTAGTTGATAGATGGTTTTCGTTGGATTTTCAATATATTCCTTAAAGTAGAACTTGTTGTTGTAGATTTGATCTTCCTCTTTCGAATCTGTGTAGACAATGTTCGGTGATGGTATCTCTAGTAGCCATGCTATTATATTATAATGATTCTCTTTCATTGCTAATCTAAGTGTAAGTTTACTGTAGTCTCTAAGTTCTTTGTGTTTGCAAAATAGATATGATAGCATTTCGACGTTGCCCAATACAACCAATTGCGATACCATATCCATCGGTGACCAATCATTAAATTGATAATAATCAAGTAGTATTTTAAATTTCTTTACATCTTTAAGTAAAATACATTCAATAATATCATCTTTTTCGACTCTAATGCATCTATCTCTGAAAAAGAAGGTAACCATGTCTATGCTACCATATTTAACTACTTTGAAACTGATCTCTTCTAGTTTTCCAATTACTCTTTCCGATGGCACCAAATCCAATAGATATCTCACTATATCCAAACTACTATTTCTAATTGCCATCTCGATACCAACGTTAAAGAAATGAATGGGATCTACTTCATCTTTCTTTCTTTCAACTAACCATTTCAACATCGTTAAATTATTGAAATAAGAAAGAACCCTAATTGCCATATCGCTGTATCCCTCTGTTCGGTTCTCCATCAACCATTCACACATTTCCAAATGACCACCGATAAGAGCTTGATCCATAGCTTTTGTTGAACATCCTTCACTTCTCTTCTCATTCAGCCACTTCACTACTTCCAAGTGATTGTTTTCCGCTGCAAAATCCATAGCATTAATTGAACATCCTTCACCCCTTTTCTCATTTAACCACTCTATTATATCCAATCTTCCGATTTTAGCTGCATAGTCAATAGCTTTGAATGAGCATCCTTCATTAACATTAAAGTGAAACCATTGTAAAATTGAAAACTTTCCATTTCGAGCTGCTTCATCCATTACATTGGTCAGGTAGAGTATTCTAACATTGGAAATCAGCCATTTAACAAGTTCTAGATTCCCACTCTTAATTGCATGGTACATTGATTTCGAAGTAAATTCCACTCCCATACTATGAAGTGTCTTTACTATATCCAAATCACCACAACCAACTATTTCATCATATCGATGATTCTCCTTCTTAAAGAATGATGGTGGTAGACGTGCAAGCACCGATTGTAGAACATCGAATTGTTTATGTCGAACCAAGTCTGCTATGTCATATCCCCAAATCGGTTCACCATGAGCAACCAACCATTGAATTACATTGTAGTGATTATGAAGAATTGCATAGTGAAGTGAGCTGGTTGACTTGGCTTTGGTATATTTCGACAGGTACACTACCATTTCAAAATTTCCAAATTTAACAGCCATCTCCAACATTCTCGGTGCCATCCAAATGAATTTCTCCTTACTAACCAATCTCTTAACCATCCATTTCAAAAGTCTAACATTTCCAGACTTTGGAATTCTCAGTATTGCTTCGATGTATTCTTTTAATCTAAAATGATTAACCAAATAAACAGCTATTTGATATCTTCCAAATTCACATGCCACAGTTAGTATCCTGTTGAAATCGATATGTTGTTCTTTTACTATTATATCAGAATGAATTGATGAAAGTTGAAGAATTATTGACTTTAGAATTTCGAATCTATCTAATCTAACCAATGATTCTGCAATAGATTGAATTTGTTGTTTTGTAGGTCTTGGTAAAATTTCTAATCTATTGTCATTTAAATATTTAAAATATTTATATTCCACCATTAATAAAGGGTCTTCCAAGAGTTTGTTCCAATTATATAGTTTTGTTTCTTTTTTATTTAAATTCTCTCTATGTATTGATTTAACAAAATTAAAAATAATATTTCTTGTAATTTTATTATTTATTATTAATTTTAAAAGTTGTTGTTTATTTATATATTCCATTTTTTTATAACATCTAGTATAAGTTTTGAATTTAATAAATGAATAGAATAGAATTCGTTTAAATAGTTTATATAATGTATAAAATAAAAGAACTAATAGTAAAAAGAAAGACGTTTTTATTTTATTTTTTTTCGATTGATTCTTCCAAATTAGGAATAATTTTTAGATTTTCCGTTATAAAAGTTGCAAAATTTTGACTTTCACCTAATCAATTTGTTTTTAAAGTTTCTTTAATTTTTGAATCATTTTTTTTTAGTTGAAGTTTGAATTACAAAAATCTATGATAACAATAAAAAATATTTAAAATTACTAATACTTCATCTCAGTAAGGAGGAGAGATGCAGATGATTATAGAATATATGGTGTTTTGATTTTAGATATTTACAAATATCGCCAAGTAGTACCACAATATTGTAAAGTATCATCCATCCATGGCTTCATGAGAACACATCCGATTCTAAACAGTCATACAATGCGAGCAATTACCAAGGGTCGTAGTTCAATTGTCAGTGGAATTCCCAATAGAACAAGCATATGATTTATAGATCCATCGAAATAGAACTGAATCTTGCACTATACAAAAACAAATTCGTTTTAAAAACTGATACCATCATCATCATCAACAATATCATGTTTATTGGTTACTACTCTTAACATGATATTTCTAATATTACATCCCTATCTATATAAAATCGATAAGTTCAATTTCAAATTTCAAAATAGAATTCGCTGGAATAGAGCCAACTCTTTTGTTACCATATCCATAATCTACAATAATTGAGAATATAAGTATATATTGTTTTTGAGTAGGTTGATAACTGAAAAGAAATGAAGTTAATTAATTACCTGGTGTGATTGTCAACATTGCTTTTTCACCTGGTCGCATAGTTAAAATAGCTTCTTCCCAACCTTTAATTACTCTTTTGTTGTTTGGTTATATATTGGTTAGTATTATATAAAATTGCTAATAGATAACAATTTAACACATACCTTCCTTCACCTACAGTGAATTGAAACGGTCGTTTTGAGTTTAGTGATGATTCAACTACTTGACCGTTCTCCAACATCAATGTATAGTGAACGTTTACTATTGAACCTGTAGTGGGACAATCATAGTCTTCATCTCCTTCGACAATGATTACTTTCTCTACACCCTATAAGTAAATAGATAGAGATTGATTCAATATCATATCATACCAACAGCACAACAATTCATTGTTTGTTAATAAGATATTATTTTTACAACTTTTCTTTGATAACATTTTATAATACCATTTTATTTTTGTAAATAAAATAAAATAATGATCGCGATCATGAAAATTAAAAACACCAGTGTTTGTTTTTTTTTTTTTTAAAACAATAGATATTATGATTTAATCTATTAACTACATTCTGAATACAGTTTTAATGAATATATATTGTGTTCTATGATCAAAAAATATATTGGGTGAAAAATTTCAAAATAAATTAGTATTATTAAATTACATAATTTAGATATTATAAATATAGATATTAGCTTTTAAATCGTTTTTGATTCTCTACCTCTTTTCAATGACAAAGTAGATACCGTATTAGATATACCACCAATTGTATGACTTGAAAGTGAATTGTTAACATTTAGTGACGTTGATGATGAATTATTATTATTATTATGTGATGTTGATGTTGTTTTTGTTTGCAGATATTCAACAACAACAAGAAGAAGAAGCAACAGTCGAAGATAGAAAGAAAGTAGTTTTTGAGAGTTTATTAAGTAGATCGATATCATCTTGGAGTGGCAGTAGTACTTTCATTAGTTTTAAAATCTAATTAATCCACAGTCAACAACAAACACAACACCATCATTATCGACATCAACATCAACATCTAATCTACAACCAGTTTCATCGTCATCAACCATTGTTGATGCACAATCAAGTAATAATAATGTAGAAAAGGAAAAAGAGATACAATTGAAACTACAACAACAATTACAATCGGAACAATGAACAAAGAGTGATGTAGGATGGAGTTGGGATCAGAGATTTAAATAAGTACACTATTTTATACAAATATATATTACTTATTCTAAAATTATTATAAAAATTAATAAACATACCTTTTTCTTTATAATTTGTATCTTCTCTATTCAACCAAATTCTTAGGTATTAATTTGGTAGACAACAATGATTCTGAAAAGCAATACCTGATGAACGTAATCTTTTAAACAAAATTATATTTGAGAATTATGGAGATATCCACAGTTCAATGGAGATGTATCTATTCGCCTAGCTCCACACAAGAAGAGATTTGATTTGATCTTTAAAGACACCTTCTTTTGAATTCCAAAGTCACTCTACTAAATCTAGAAAATTATTGAAGAGCTACTCACACCAATTCTAGTTTCTCTGGTATTATTAATTAACTCTTAGAACAACCAAACTAAACTAAAATCTTTTATTGGAAATTAAATCAATCTTGATTGCGATGAAATAAAAAAGTAATATTAGTACTAATATTCTCAACTTTTAAGTTTATTCAAAAATACTTATATTTATAACAAAAAGATGACAAAGGTAAATTAATAATTAATATTTATTCGAATCACGTTCATTGAATTGTAATTTATTAATAAATACAATTTTTTTTATTTTTTTTTTATTTTAGGGAAATAGATCTTTTACTTTATCAAACAATCATGTAAGTGAGAACAGTTATGCCAAAAAATATACGAATAGAAGACTCAGTCCAGGATCAAGTGATCGAGAGCCAACAACGACCGAGTTAAATCCACCTACACCAGTTGAGTCAAATCCACGAACCGTTAGTACAACGCATTCCGAAGCTCATCCAAACGCTATGACTACAGGTGTACCAACTTCCCCAGTAGCGACTGAACCATATCCTACCAGGGGAAGAGGTAGAAAAGGAATAGTGCCAGATGGAAAAGTCCAATTTAGCTCAAACAAGACAATCACTGGTGTGACTAAAGATGGCTTTGAAACATCTCCTGTGCAATTCATTTCACAACTTTCTCATTCACCTCAAGTAATTCCGTCTATTTCTTTTGATAAGCAAATCAATTCCGATCAAATTTCGAGAGCGATCTCCTCCACACAAGAACCTCTATTGGATTTTGAAAGCAGATTGCTTCCGATTGAAATAAGAGTGTTTCATCAACTCTCATTTGCTCAAGAACCGAAATGCTTTCTACGTGAGAATGAAAATCAAAAACTCAAGCGTCTATCTGCCAACATATGTCAGGATGGTCATAGTGTTAAATTACCATTCAATTATTTAAACAACTCCAATCATCATGAGGAAACTAAAGTCATGCTCCTCTCCACACCAAGCTATATTTTCAACAAAAACCATGCTCTTTTCAATAAAGAAGACCTTACATTCCACAATGTCGATTCCACTTTATTAATGAAAACAATAGCTGTTGCAAAATTAAAAGAAGTTTTGCATAACATGGAATTCTTCATTAAAGATCGACTCATGGAATCATCCGTAAAGAATGTCAGACCATACTGTGTTGGATCTATCTCACCTGGTATTTTCAATGATCACTTGATGAATCAATTACATGAAATAAATTTTCAATATGTAATTGAAAACGAATCTTACTCGTCGAATGATACCAAAATGTCAGTTATTATACATCACTACAAATGCACTCTACTTGACCCAAATGGAGAGAGAAGCTTCAAGTATCCAAAATTGATTACCAACGACTGGTGGTTCAGAGATACCTATAAATCAGGAGTTGCTGCAAGATTTGTGGTTGAATCAATTAGCTTTAAAATCAACTCACTTTTTAACACTGTGACAGTAGAATTTGAGTATGGTAAATATGCTATCTCAACAAAAACAGTGAATAACGAAGTTTATTGTAAACTCGAAGAAAAAATGCCATAAAACCAATAATACTAAATAAAAATTTGTTTTTTTTAATAAAATTATATTACTATCTACATGATTTTGGAATTTGGTCATCAACCTTTTATTATTCAAACAATCTGTTTCGAACTCATTTGATGTGAAACAAAAGAGATTGACCACTTGAGAAAATAAATTTATTACTGAATTGCATCTGTCAATCTTTGAACTATTTGATTTTAGTTCTTTATATGGATCCAAGCGATTACATATTTGAAGTACGTCATTTACTTCTCTATGAAATGCGAGGCAACTGGCATAGTGACGAGGAAACCGGCATAACTACAAGAGGAAATCAGCATAACTACAAGAGGAAACCGGCATAGCTACAAAAGGAAACCGGCATAACTACGAGAGGAAACCGGCATAGTGACGAGAGGAAACCGGCATAGTATCAAACAGCAGAGAAACGAGAGAGAATTGGCATAATGACTAGAGGAAACTAGCAGTACTACGAGAGGAAATCGGCATAGCAACGAGAGGAAATCTGCATAGCTACGAGAGGAAACCGGAATATCAACGAGGCTTCACTCATAGTAAGGAGGCAACAGGCATAGTATAAAGGACTTGGAAAAGAAGAAAGAGATATTTTTACTTGACCAGCTGCAGAAATAGCAAAAGTCACTGCCTTTACTCGTAAATTTAAATCTAATTCCTTTCAACTACTAGCCACTTTACTGACCTGCAATTGACTGAACATGAGTGCTACGAAACAGCATATTCTGGCTGTTCTTACACCTTCTTTGATAAATTTAATAGAGATTTAAATAAAAATTTATTTATTGATCTTATTTTATGGTAAATGATAACATCTAATATCTTTACCACTAAGTATTTTTATAACATTGAATCTGTCTTCAAACATTGATTTGTGGAAGAGGCCTGCCATAAAGTATCGTCTGTGTGTTTGCTTGCCAAACAAAATGTAATATTGATCATCAAGTTTTCGAATCGAGCACTTATGATTTTCATAATCTTTGAAAGAAATATTGTCAACCAATTTAGTAGTTGGAAAATAAGCAGTTTTCAATTCAATGTTTTGAACAGAATCTGGTAAAATTCCTTCTTGTAAAACAATATCTTTACCTTCTCGAATGATAAGATGATTAACAGAGTTTGGAATAATTCCTTGACGTTTGAAACAGTCCATATTGTGAACATTGAGTGTTTTTGTTATTTTACAATGGTAATAATATCATATTATAATATACATATAAACATATAAATATAATACTTACAACTTTGATATAAGATTAGGAATTACTTTAGGAGTAGTTTTGGTACGAGGAATATAGATTTAATGAATGTAATAAAGTTTAGAGATATAATTTACAGTATAATATTTAAAGATAATAGTTTATTTATTTTGCAATTTGAAGATAAGAATAATATTTGGTAATGTTGAATAATGTTGAATAATTAATTAATTAGTTTTTATTTCTATAATGGATTTCCATGGTATTTATACTGTTGGATTTCTTCGACCAGTGCAGTTGCCCAATCTCAGAAATCTGTTCTTGATTAACTAGTTTGGTATTCATTGTAGATTAACTTGTTGGTTATTTCTTTATGTTAACTTTGGTAGATTGATATTTTGTTGATTCACTGAATGTTGATATTATTCGAATATATTTGATTATTGTTAAACAGTTGAATTATTAATTTAAGTTATTTGAAATCGTGTCCATAAACTGTTTGAATTGTGATAGTTGAATTCTTAATAAATTATTGAAGTGTCAGTTGATTTGATTATTATAATTCTAAAATGTTAATTTTAGAACACTGTCTTTAGTTTGAATTAGTTTTCAACCAATTTCTATAGTCTCCGGTTAAAGACTTATATGATTGGTGAACATCGTTATCCAGTATCCATCCTTGGACTCCTCCTATATTGAAAAGGTATTCGGTCTTAGCATCTCTCTTGTTGGTGAGATTGAAGGTTCTCTTTCTTGTGACGAACATTGTATCTTTACGAATGATATTGGCGTTGATCAAGGCTATGAGTATTTTGGCACTTTGTTTGGTTGGTGGATGGTTCGGATGGGAATTGTGGTATTGGATGTATTCTTCAAGGACAGTTAACTTATTCTTCTTTTCGAATGCTTCTTTGATTTCTTTGGCAGATATTCTCTGGAAATTAGTGATTTCAGAAGATTCTGAAAATCCTCTTTCATTGTGGAATGTCAATGTATTATGAATGATTGGATGAGTAGTAGTTGAGTTTGGAATATTATCCAAAATTAAAGTATTTGAATCTGGTGTATTGATAGGTGGGTTGTTGTTTGTAGTTGAATTGTTGTTTGTTACCAAATCTAATTCTGAATCAATGTCCATGGCTTCAGTGTCATCTGTGTCGTCGTTGTTGTTATTCTGATTGTTTTGTTCATTTTGAGTAATTGAATCGATTTCAATTTCATCTTCTTCTTCAACTTCGCCAAATTCAATATCATCATCATCCTCATCGTCTAAAGAGTTGTGTTTCTTGAAGTATTTAGCGTGTCTAGTGAAAGATGGATTGATTCTCTTTCTCTTTGTACCAGATTCAACGTTGGCAACTGTGACATTTAATCCATTGACATTCGTTACTTCGTATGGACCATCAAATCTTGTTTCTAATTTGATTTTGTTTTTAGGGTTTGATCTAAACTTTCTTAGATAAACACTATCACCTACTTTAATATCCATTTCTTTCTTATTTTTATTATATTGAATTCTCATGTTATATTGATTATCGAATAACCAATTTCTAACAATTTTGAGTTGATTTCTCTTTGAGTTGATCATGTTTTCGATATCAACGTTTGATGAGTTCATTTTCAATTTGTATTGAATAAGAGAGAGTGGTGTTATAGGATTTTCACCTGTATAGATTTTAAAAGGAGAGTATTCGCATCCGTGATGGATGGAATTGTTTACACAAAATTCAATTGTATCAACTAAAGTTATCCATTCATCATGGTTTTCTTCATTGTAAGTTGCAATGATAGCTTTACGAAACAAGTTACCTAAGTATCTGATTATACTTTCCACTTGTCCATTGGCCTGTTGATTTTCTGTAGTGGTAGTTCTGATTTCACAATTTAATATATCCATCAGATCTTTCCAAAATTTACTAGTAAACTTTGAATCTCTATCAGAGACAATTTCAACAGGCATGCCATGATGTTTGAATATTTCTTTCATAAAGATTTCAGCTAAATCTTTAGAAGTGTAAGTTGAATGAACTGGTATGAGTCGTACCATCTTTGATAGACGATCAACAATTACCCAGACTTTATTATATTTAATACCTTTGTATTCTGTATCAATTAATGGAATAAAATCCATACTGATGCTCTCAAAACATTTAGTTGGAACAATAAGTGGTTGAAGTTTACCAATTGATTGTCCACGAGCATCAGTTGCTTTGTTACAAGTATGACAAGCTTTGACATAATTAGTGACATCTTTGGCTATTCCTTCCCAAATGAAATGTCTACTTATTAATTCTAAAGTTTGTTCTATTCCATGATGACCTGCAAGTAATGAATCATGGTATATGAAAAGAATACGTTTAATAATAGAGCGAACTTGAGGAATTACTATTTTATCTTCAAAATATTTAAGTTTACCTTCTGTTTTCACAGATTTAGATTTGTAATATTTTGAAGGATGTATTGTTTTATTCTTTATTTGCGTTTCTTCTTCAATATATCCATTTTCAATCATTGCAATTAGATCATTATCATCAATGGAAATGGTGGTGGAGTAAGTGTAACGACTTAAACCATCAGCAATTACATTATCAGATCCTTTTTTATAAATAAGAGTTGGGTTAAAAGAAAAAATGTATTGTAACCACCTAATTAATTTAGGTTTTGTATTGTCATTAAGTTTATTATTTATAAAAAGTATATTTTGGTGATCGGTATGAATAACTATCTTATAACCTAATAGCATATGGTAGTTAGATTCGAGAGCATGTTTGATTGCCATAACCTCTTGTTCAAAGACATGGTAATCCCTTTCGGTTGTGTTAAACTTCTTGGATCCATAAAGAACAATTTGTTTGTTATCTTCTTGTTCAATATTGTCTTTGTATTGATATATGACATGACCTATTCCATCATTGGAGGCGTCACAATCGATGTGAAATGTTAACTTATAATCAGGTATAAAAAGAAAACTACTATCGCTTATTTGGTTTTTAATCAAATTGAATGTCTCTGTATGTATGTCTTCCCATTTAAATAATTTATTCTTTCTAGTTATATCAATTAATGGAGCTTCTATTTCAGAGAGTTTGGGGATAAACTTTCGGTAGTAGTTTGTCAAACCTAAGAATCCTCTCAATTCTCTCTTTGTGATAGGTTGTTTCCAATTTTTGATTGCTAAGATTTTATCATTTATAGGAATCAATTTATTATGACCAATAATATGGCCGAGATATTCAAGTGAGTATTGACCAAAAATACATTTAGTTAGTTTTATTTTTAATTTGTTTTGATTTAATAAATCAACAATTTCTAAAACATCTTGAATGTGTTTGTCTTCATCATCAATGTTTGTTTTGATTAACAAATCATCGAGGTAAACAAGTAATTTTTTGGCAATTACATGTCTTTGGAATATACTGTCCATGAGTCTCTGAAAACACGCTGGTGCGTTTGTGAGTCCAAATGGTAATACAGTATATTGGAATACACCGAATGAAGTTCGAAATGCTGTCTTAGATTGATCATTCTCATGAACTCTAATCTGGTGGTAACCTTGGAGTAGATCAATTTTAGAGAAGAGAACACCATCTCTTGTATTGTTAAGAACTTCAGTGATGTTTGGTAATGGGTATGTATCTTTGATAGTTATACCATTTAGAGATCTGTAGTCTACACAGAGTCTCCAACCTCCATCTTTCTTTTTAATAAATAAAAGGGGTGCCGCAAATGCGGATTGAGATGGGGTGATTTGACCATTTTCCAAATAAGTGTTTATCTGTTTTTCCAATTCATCTAAAAATGAATGTGGGATTGGATAATTTTTCGGTTTTGGGGGTTGGTCCACCGTCAAATTTATTTTAAAATCAAAATCTCCGCGAGATGGGGGTAATTCTTTGTCAAAAGGTTTAACCACATCAGGGTATTTATTTAAAATGAGATTTTTTATTTTCTTTGAAAGATTTGATTCAAAAGTGTGGTTAGAATTTTTACTTTCATCCAACTTTTCGTGTGTGTTTGATTTATTTGTATTCTCATCTACACTAATATCATTTAAATATACTAAAGCACAACATTCATCATTATCACTCTCGCTTTGCGAAATTAAACAATTTCTAGTTTCAATTAAATTAGTTTGAATAGAATCGTTTAGAGTGTTGAATTTGATAGCTAGTTCTTTAATATTGTTTTCTTTATCAACGTTAGGTAAAGATATAATTTTATTTTTAAAATCAATTTTCAAATTTAAATTTTGTAACGTCTCTGTTCCCAAAAGAATAAAGTTTGTTTTAGAATTGATTATAAAAAATGGTATTTTAAATACTTTATTATTGATTGTTATATTTTTATTTATTTGTTTTGATAATGTAGAACTGTCTTTGTTGATTCCATTCAAGGTAATGTTCACATCTGTTAGATTCTTGATGTCACTTTCCTGTAATAGATCAAATGAGAGTAAGTTAATGTTACTACAACTGTCAATAAAAATATTAACATACATGTTATTTATAGTTCCAGGCATCGAACATAAGAATGCATTAGCTTGCTTTCTTTGGCCAGTGGCTGGATCGATATCTCGGAATTTTCCAAACTTCCCGTAGAAACAATTGTTTGGAAGATGGTTGCCCTTTTTACAGATAGAGCAAGTACCAATCTTGGACTTCTTTTCGGTGAATTTGGTTTTATTTTGTCCGACACTTGGTGGTGCGGATCTTTTATTGGTATTGTTTGGTGACCATTTCTGGAGAAGATTTGGTTGTACATTAGATGTATGGTATTCTACCGGTTGATGATTTCGAGTGGTGAAATGCATCACTTTCTCCTCCCTTTTTAACCGAAGTTTATCGTCGAGTTGCTTTCGACCTAAATCATTTAATCTTTTGGTCAAAGCATTGATGCTCTTCTTATGATGTGCCTTGGTTAATTCTGGATCTGCTTTGATGTTGCTAGGAAGCAAACTGTAAAGCTGTGTGGCGATGTCAGTTTGAGAAAGACGCGATTTACTATAGATCTCTCGGAATTTGACAATGAACTTATGAGTGGTTTCGAATTGTTCAAGTCTCAAATTCTTAAGATCGGTAACGTATTCATCGGATTCTCGTTTGATACCGAAGGTATTGGTTAGAATAGAGGCAAATTCCTTCCATTTCATTGTACGTTTTAGGATTTCTGCATCTTCTGCTGATGAAACCGAAGTGATGGCTTCCTCTGAGAGTTTGCTTAAAGCAATGACGCATCGTAACCTATCTTCTGGTACTACGTTCTCCACTTGGGATATGAATGTTTGGGTGTCGCTCATATCTGGAACGAATAATGGAATCTTGGCAGTATAGTTTTTGACTTGGTCTCTCAAATGACTAGAGACCAGAGATTGGATTCCGAGTAGATCAACTCTTTCGGTGACTGCTGCCTCGAATGCTCCTTCGTCGCCAAGTAGTGGGTTCGATACCAAGAATTGGGCAGCTCTTTCAATCAAGTCTTTGTTTGATGCCAACAGCATGTCGTTGAAGGAGACAGCTCTGATTCTTGCTCTTGCATCTCTCAAAGCTTGACTAGAGAACTCTACCACAGTTCGGTGTCTATTGGATCTTGCAGACTTTGGAGTGGTGTTACGTGTATATTTAATCTTATCAATTGGCATTTTGACAGTTTCATCATCCGACTGATCAGAGGTGTCCGAGTCGGATGATTCTGGATCAGATGGATCTTGGAAAGCTATTCTACCAATCTCCTTCTTCGATCTTTTCCTACGATGATTGTTATCATCATCATAGTCGTCTTCGGATTCGGAATTAGAATCTTCTGATTCGGATCGGTGGTATTGATGTCCTTTATCATGGGAGTTGGTGCTCACATTGCGGTTGGGACTTGTTCCGTGATTGGAAATGCTAGTAGCATTCTTGTTGGTACTTGAAATACTTGGCAAGTTTGGAACATTGTTAATGGTACTCGTAGTACTTAGATTACCGTTGGTGACAGTTGTTCTTGGAGAACCACCATTGGTTGCATTGGTGCTGGTCGCACTTTGGTTTAAACTTGGAGAACCATTATTGGTTGTATTGGTGCTGGTCGCACTTTGGGTATCTCTTGGAGAACCACTGTTGGTTACATTGGTGCTGGTCGCACTTTGGATATCTCCGGCGCTGGACGCGCTTAGTGGAGTTTGTTCAATTGCATTGGTATTGGTCATACTTGTTGCATTGAGTGGGTTTGTTATGGACATAGTGTTGTCAGAAACATTGGTTTCCGCTTGGTTTTCAGTTGGAGAAATGTCAGCCATTTGACCCGAGTTAGTTTCGTCGTTAGTGGTTGGAATGGATGTGTTTAATTGGGACATCTTTTAGTTGGTTTGTTTCTTTTATGTTCTATATAAATAGAATAAAGAAAAATTTAATTAGTAAATATTTATAGATATTTCTAATTATAATCACTTGGTGGTGATGTGTATATATTGTTCACTTGGTGGTGAAAATCACTTGATGGTGATGTATATATATATATTGTTCACTTGATGGTGAAAATCACTTGGTGGTGATATATATATATGTATTTCACTTGATGGTGAAAATCACTTGGTGGTGATATATATTATGCACTTGGAGGTGCTATGGTCGATCGGTGCTTTAAAGAGCAGATGCTACCATGTTATTTTACAATGGTAATAATATCATATTATAATATACATATAAACATATAAATATAATACTTACAACTTTGATATAAGATTAGGAATTACTTTAGGAGTAGTTTTGGTACGAGGAATATAGATTTAATGAATGTAATAAAGTTTAGAGATATAATTTACAGTATAATATTTAAAGATAATAGTTTATTTATTTTGCAATTTGAAGATAAGAATAATATTTGGTAATGTTGAATAATGTTGAATAATTAATTAATTAGTTTTTATTTCTATAATGGATTTCCATGGTATTTATACTGTTGGATTTCTTCGACCAGTGCAGTTGCCCAATCTCAGAAATCTGTTCTTGATTAACTAGTTTGGTATTCATTGTAGATTAACTTGTTGGTTATTTCTTTATGTTAACTTTGGTAGATTGATATTTTGTTGATTCACTGAATGTTGATATTATTCGAATATATTTGATTATTGTTAAACAGTTGAATTATTAATTTAAGTTATTTGAAATCGTGTCCATAAACTGTTTGAATTGTGATAGTTGAATTCTTAATAAATTATTGAAGTGTCAGTTGATTTGATTATTATAATTCTAAAATGTTAATTTTAGAACAGTTTTCAACGATGATGGAAGTGAATCCTGTTTGATATCAAAGGCAAACCTTACACTAATTTCAAGTGTTTCAACACCGAATGGAATGACTCTGAGTATATGTGAATTCTCATCATGATAATAATCGAGAGACAACTTCTTGATATCCAAACCATCAAGTGATTCTTGTTTGAATGCCGATTCTTGTAGACTTTCCAAATGATAAAGTGTGCGATCTGGGAACAATTCGTCAATGTCATAAACAGAATCGGCAAGACTGAGATGTCTAATCGAGGTAGGTAATGCCGATTGTAATGTAAGTGAGTGTATAATGTGCAGTGTTGTCAGTGATTTCGGTAGATCTCTTAGATCTAATAAACCAGAACCATCAGTCAACACTATAGATCTAAGATTCTCGAGATACTTTATTGACTTCATCCATGACAAAGGAACATTATGTAGTGTGATTAACGAATTTGGTAGTACGTTAGAGCCAATAAACACTTCTTTGCCATTGTGAACGAATTCTTCTAGATTTGGAGGTAACGATCCAACTTTGAGATAGTTATCGAGTGTGGGACCAATGACTCTTAATATCTTCAGTGATGTCGGTAATACTCCAGGTTCCAATATTTGGTTGAGTGTATAAATCTCTAAACTCTCCAATGTATCAGGTAATACACCTACTTCGATCACCTGATTGAAACCGCCAAGAAATTTCAATCTCTTCAACTTGGGTGGAAAACAACCTTTGAATAACTGTTCATTAAAATGAAAACCAAATTCCAATGAGGTGATATTCATTGGTATTCCATAATATAAAGTTTGACAATCCTCTATACTTGTTACATTAGATTTACTAATCAAATCATAAAGTTTTGTAAACAGTTGATCTGAATCTTCTCTATTTTGCATATCACTAGTTTCCGTTACTTCTACTATATTTTGATCGATTTCATCTGTACTTTCAATTGAATCTGAAGAAATATATAAAGATAAATTAATAATAATAGTATTAAAACAATCAATCAACAATTCTAAAGATATATTTACCATAATCTATAACATGATCAACAAGAAAAGTATAATTTGTATCTGGTGTGACGTACATAGTACGTTGTTTCTTTTTGTCAAGTGACTCTAATATTAAAGATCGATATGAATTCAATGTGATCCTTGAACTATCTTTATAGACACAATATAAACTATCGGTATCAAACCATAGATATCTATTTCTATCATCAAACCATCTTTTACAAACTAAACTAAAACAAATCTTGTCGATATTATCTTTCAAATTATTAACAATGTTTGATAATAGAATATGTGGAAGATTTACTAATTTATGTGTTGAATTGTTAATGTTTATTGTCATTTTAGCTGGGATGAAATGATCGCAAATCAAAAAAAATTTTGTTTTAAAAGATAAAGTTAATAATATATTTTTAAAAATAATCATGATCAATCAACAATTTTTAAGATATATTATGTATCTATCTAGATTTTAAATTTGAAGAAAAATTAAAAAAAAAATTGTTTTAAAAGTTTTTTACAACGATCTATGTCATTGCCCACGATCTCTGTCATTTTTCACAATCTCTGTCGGTCCATCCGATCTCTGTCATTGCCAACAGCCTCTCTCCGTCCATCTCTGTCTGTTGATCGAAACTCAGTTTGATCCTTCAATCATTGTCTGAATTTACCTTTTAAAGAGATCTCTCTTTTAATGTTGATTAAACTCACTAAATAAATTCGTTAATATTAATATCATTAGAGATTTGCGCTATGAGAATTTAATAATCTCAACGTTCAACTTTTTTAATTTTATTTAATCACTTTATCTTGTTAATCTTTCTTTTCTATCAATAATTTATATTTTTGTTGTTTTGTATTTTTATTTGAGAAAATAGATTTGTTCTTGCAGTTGATATTTGTTGTTGTTCGGAATGGTGATCGACTATTTGTGTGGCAGGTACTTACTACATAAGTGTCTTTTGTCCTATGTCATTGTTGAAGCTTGGAATAGCTATACTGAAAATGTTGTCATCGTTGTTTGTTGTTAATTATGTTGGTTCAGTTGATAATGAATGATTTGAACTGATGATTGTACTGTTGATGGATTCAACCATCTCGTACTAGTGGTGCCACTTGAAATAGCCATAGTAAGCCAAAAATCTGCAAGATCAGATTGACTATAAACAGATGAATGTGTTCTTAACTGGTTTACCAATGCATCACAACTAGCTTCTATTGTACAATACGTTTGGCCAAAGTACTTCTTAATAATGAATTATCATTATTAATAATATTCTATGAATTAAGAGAATTTAAATTTAACTTACCCTTTCTATAATTCATTCTTTTACAAATAAAAATAATAATTAGTAAATATAATTTCATTTAAAAAATATTTCTCAACTAATGATGTCCAATCAACTTACTAAGCAATCTTCGATAAATGAAATCGCTTCCCTCTTGTTCCTTCCAAATGACCATCCATTTCGAAAATTTTTAGAAGAAACACACTTTATTGGCAGCTATCTTTTAACATCAAGCCTAACATTAAGAAATATTCCTCAACATTTCCCAAAAATCCCTCTTCCGTTGGCAATGATGCTATATGATCTCAGAAGAGAAACTCTTGACAAACAATCAACAACAGTCAACAATTCCAACAATTAGAAAAAGGAGATTCTTGGCTATAAATAAACTATAGTTCTATCATTTTTTTTAGTATTTTTTTTTTTTTTTATTATTTACAAAAGAGTTATAACCCAATATTATTAATAAATATTTATTTTTATACATTTGCTTTTATATGATCAGCTATCTACTTTTTTAATTGCAACCACTACTCTTATTAAACAAAGAGTTCAATAATCCTCTACCTTTTCTAAAGATTTAATTAATTTAAGAATAAAAATTGATTATGTGATCACCAATTTATTAAAAATTTAATTTTTATTTTTATTTTTTCTTTCCCACCTTTTGTTGTGTTTGTGAATGAATTATTATTATTGTTATTTTTATTACTATCAGATAAGAAGTTAAGATAAGATATTAATGACAAAGTAAAGCAATAGTTGATCATGGTTAAAGTTAAAAGAAGTAAAAATGTATGTATTGTTTAACTTTATGTATAATTAAATTATATATATATTGATTATTTTATGAAAATGAAATGAAATGAATGATTTACTACACAGATTAATGTCAATGATGGTCATGATGATAGATTTGAAATTATAGATTTCACAGTTGCATCGGAATGGGAAAAGTTGATATCGAAACTAGAGAGTCTAATCAAGAAATGTAGAGCATCGAAGCAATCATCATCCGATGACTCTGTTACCTATCATTCACACACCTATCAATTCATCTATGTTGTACCATCTACATCATCACAATTAAATAATGGTAAGTCAGTAATAGATCTAAAATATATTAGTATAATATCAATTTAATATAAACTAATTAGTTTTTTATATTATATCAATTATTATTTAAATAAAAGCATTTATGAATCCAAAGAATGATTTCGAGATATTCCCAAATACAAGTGGATCTACAACTTCAAGAAGAATGCATCAGCAAGAGAACTTCTTTCATTGGTTCGGTGTACAAGAGTATTTTGTATTGTTAGCACTAAAGGATACAGGTCCTGAGATATCAGAGTTATCGACAATGCTATCGGCATTTACCATTGCTTTACACAATGAAAATTGGTATGTAGTTTTATTTATATATAAATGTTATTAAATTAAACTAATATATATATATATATATTTATATAGTTATATACCAGGATTTGTTGGATTTGATGAGAAGAGATTAGAGAACTTTTTAGGTTATATGTTTATGCCTATAAAGAGAAACGGTGACGATCATTTCATTGTTAAACTTGCAACTGAATCGATCTCTACCAATACTCTTAATGCTCATCAGAATATCGCTGAATCTATTGAGAAGCAACTAAAGATATTCTATTCAAAATTAGTATGTAGAGATTTAGTTATAATTATTTAGTGTATATTATATTAACTATTAGTTAATTTAGACAACTGAACCAGACGACAGAAATTGGGATCAATTCTTATCGCTTTCGACCATATCATCAAAGTATACCTATATTAGAAATGATTGGAATGAGAATGAGTGGAGATATATCGATGATGAGACACCATCCGTTCAGTTAACCGCTTCTGGAAACACAATTGATAATCAACAACAACAGCAACAACAACATAAATCAGTTTCAGACGACAGCGACGATGAAGATGATATAAGATCACCGAAAGTATTAGAAAGTGATTTATTTAGATGGGGATATCCAATGGATCCAATTGAACGTAAGTTGTTATGTTATTTGTTGTTGTTATTAAACTCTATAGTAATATTAACGAATAACACATTATTATAGAGTTACAATTATGCGTTATGTATCCACCTTTGGCTAGTATTCATGTATTAGAGAATCAGCTTGAGAATATTCAAACAAAGAGTTGGTTTATTAAGGCTGTTTTTAGAAAGTCACATGGCTCGCTGTTCCAGTTGTCACTCGGAATCATGAACGTATTTAATACAATGATCGAATCATTAAAGTCAGAGTCAATCTATCAGGTTCTCACAGATTACAATATAAAGAATAGATATACATTATCTAATAACTCTGCACATATGTCTGGCGATCAATCATCAACTAGTTTATCACCTCAATCAACATCATCATCTTTAAGATATAGTAATGAACAACAACAACTACATGATAATAACAACAACAATAATAATAATAACAACAACATTCAAAGTAATAGTAGTAATCCAAGTTTAATTAGAACGGTTGGTTCATTAACAAAGTCATTGGCATCATCGCTGAATGCACCACTGATTCCAACCGAACGTGAAATCGATTTGGTATTGAGAGATCTCTTCTTTGAGAAGCGAGACATCAACGATCCAAAGCGTTTCAATAATATTCCAGAGGATATATTAAATGCACAACCATTACCAAAAGTAAGTAGCTTTATTTAGTTAGTTTGTTTTTATTAATATATAGTTAAATTAATATATTTTTTCAATACATTCAGAGTACATTTGTAAAAAGAGCACCAGTTGATTCATTATTCTTTTCATTTTGTTTTGTTTGTCTTAATCTACAGAGTTTGGTAGGAGTATTGGTGTTTTGGTCAGAGTTTGTAGAGGAGATTAAATGGCATTGGGAACATTCACTTCCAATCCCAAGAACATTCAATTCTGATCAGATTAATATGAATCACACTTTGGTCTATCAAAAAATGCAAATGGTAAGTGAAAAAATTAATATATTTTTATTTAAAGAAAAGATTAGTTAGCTAATTATTACTTATTATTTATTATTATTATTAGATCAATTATTGTATTTCAAGAAAAGTTAAACAAAGAAGATATGGAAAGAAAAAAGAAGAATCACCAAAGACTACATATAAAGCTCAGCAAAATGAAGGTTGGGATGATGGTGATTTAGATTTAGATCATATTCCAGATCCAGAAAGTGAAGTTAATAATAATAATAACAATAATAATAGTGATGATGATACTACTCCACCTCAACAGGTATTGAAAGGTCAATATCTTTTGTATCACGATCGTGAGATTGTTATTCCGGAAACACAGGATATCGGTCCGATGACAGATGACATGGTGAACGAGCAACTCGAGGAACTGATACAGTTGGGTGACACACCGGAAGCCAATGAGCTGAGAATGAAGAAACAGACACCGTCGTTGCTCTCTGACATGCAGTCGTTCAAATACGCCAACAAGGGCTGTGTATTTGAGGATTTCGTACGTTGGCACTCGAAGCGCGATTGGATAGCGACAAAGGAGGAGGATAGCAATCAGAGTGTCGCTACACCACCTTTGGACCCGGTGGTCGAGGGCATCGTTGACGAGTTTGGTATTATCGAGGGTGGCGATGTAGGTGACGATGAATCCAACGGTAGAACGCGTGGTGTTGGTTTCGGAAGAGACGGATATCTCAGTTCGAGAATGACACGTCAGAACCTCTGGCGAAAGACATGGAAAGAAGCCGTTGCATTGCCAATCGAAGAACAACCGCCACTCTTTGATTATATCAAACAAGCAGAGCGAGCCATTAGCTACCTCGAGAATATTCATCCATCAGAGTTGATCCATCAAATCATTTCGGTGCTGCTCACTTCCATTCTCACAATATTCACCAATGAGAAATCGACTTCACGTCTACCACCAGAATATTGTCTAGGTATGAATCCAAAGTATACGAAACCACTCATCGATAGGTATTTCGATACAATGAATCAACTTTGGCCAACCAATACTCCAAATGAAATGTAAATATGATAATAATTGAAAGTAGAACAATATAATATAACTAATATCTATTAATTTTTTAAAAACTATTTTAGTAAAAAGAGTGATTTCGAACCATTATTTAAGAGTATACAAGATATTGAAAATAATGTATCTAAATTAACATCTTTAAAGTCAAAGGTATATTTATTTATTTATTTTTTAAAAAAAATATTATATTTATTAACTTCAAATTTGTTATATTATTTTAGTTTAAACATTTAGATAGAGTAATTTCACAACTTTATACAAATGGATTCAGTGATGTTAAACCAAATGAATTCCAATTGATCAATGATTTGATATTCGGAGAGTACGATGATGCGACAACAGTCAAACCTCATGCCAGAGAATATATCACAAGAAGCTATGCACCAAGACCATTTAGAGATTCACAAACTATGCCACATAGAATGTACACTTGTCTGTCACAGTATGAATGCCGTGTTTCTACTGTAATCTCTGAAGAAGATCAAAGTTAATTAATTTTGTAAATATAAATAAAATTGTTGAAAAATGAAACTTGATTATAATATAATATTTTTTATTTATTTAAAATTATTTACTATTCAAAATAAGAATGTGTGATTGAATGAATCATTTAAATGGAAAATGAAAACAATGTGAGTGTGATAGAGAATTCTACTTAGCGAGACGACAAACTCTATAGGCGTCACAATACAAGGGTTGATCAGTACGATTGGTATCTGGATTGGTGTTTCTCACCAATGACAAATGGTAAGTTAACAACTGTAGACATCCAAGATTGGTGAAGACTGTTATTGCTTCTGGTACATTAACTAACTTGATGATATTATCAACGCCTACAAGAGAATCTACTTTTGAATCATCTTTGGTTGTAATTATTGATACTTTTGCACCAACATGTTTTGCTACCTCTATAAAATGAGATATTAATATATATATCACATAGAAATAACAATAAAATTAACTTACTCAGGATTTCAATTGATCTTTCTACACCATAGATATCTGGTGTGATTATGGCAGTTAACGATGTCTTTTTATCAATGGCCGGGAAGCTGCTATGAATAAACTGTTCCAATTGATAACCTTCAGCAATGACATGAGCTGCTCTCTTTATCCTTAAACCAGCTTCGTAACAGTTGCCAATGTTTGCGGTGTATCCTACAAATGGAAGATATGAACAATCTTGGACGGATACAGCCCATTTCTTGTAGGGTGTTTCATCGGCGATCACACACTCAAAGTATTCTGGAACTTTAGCGAGATTCTCAGTGTCGAGCAAGATAGCTGTTTCGTTTTTGTTCTTCAAACCAAGTTTGACAGCGAGAATAAAAGTTACATAGTTTGCACAGGTATGGGTAACTGTGAATGCCATCGATTTATCAGCATGCGAGGTACCTATGATCACATCGATCGAATCGATAAGGAGAGTGTCATTCTCTACACCTTGAACAGGTACAGTACTACTGGTGAGAATGCTATCGAGACTGGTTACAAGTACAACATAGGACTTGGCTTTCTTTGCAATTCTGATTGCAGCATTGGTATATTTCTTACCACCGAGATGAGAGAATAAAATAACTGCAGCAGATTCATCCAACTTTGGTTGCTTTTGAAGGAAATCTAAACTGTTCCAAGCGACCACTCTCTTGGCATCAGAATCAGAAATACCACAACCACCGATCGATTCCAAGAAATATTGAGTGTTAAGAACAGTGTGCCATGAAGAGCCAGATCCAACTAAATGGATAGATTTGTATTTGGTTGAATACAATTCAGTGGCGAGTGTCTCTAGCTTTGTAAGTTCTTCAGTATAGACCCTTCTTAAAGCAGTTGGTGTTCCTTGAATCATATCATACATATAATATGGATGTTCATTCTTATTATTATTATTTGCTTCCATTTTTTAATAATAGTTACTATTACAAAGAAATTTGAAATAAAAATTGGTTATTTAATCATTCTTTTATAATAAGTCCTTTTTCAACATTAAATTATTAATGTTAGATAATTATTAAAAATTCATAGGGTATTGGGTTAAACTGAAAAAGAGTTGTAAAATGGACACCGATTTTTTTTGATCATGCTAACACAAAAAAAAGGAAGACAAATTATTTTGGATGTTGGGTTTTAAATTAGTAAATATCTCTTTTATTTGACAAGTTGCTAAAGGGAATTATAATTAATAGTTTTGACACTTTATGGATTAATTTATTTGAAAATTTATAAAGATAGATTTTATATATCTTTGTAAATAAAATTAATTTTTTTAATAAATATTAAATTATTTAGCAACTTCAACATAGACAACCTTGAAGCTGACTGGTCCTCTTTGACTGACACATCCAACAGTGAACTCAGTACCCTTTGGGAAATCTTTCATGTTGTTTGGAAGAGTCCATCTATCACCTGGGTTCTCTTGGCAACCCCAGATGTCCTTTTTGTCACGTGGCAAGAAGTAACCCTTTTCAAACTCGACCTTCTTGAATGTCTTTCCAGAGGTGTTCTTAAAGGTGACGGCATATTGTTGGTACTCTACACCGTTTTGGTTCCAACGGGTTGGTGTCTCGACTACCTTGACAGAGATACAGTCGGCAGCGTTACAAACCGATGTTGGCAATGTCTTTTTGAATGGATCGCTTGGACAACGCTTGATAACCTCAACGTCATCGATGTATACTCTTGCCTGTAAGTCTTGACCGTGAGTAAGGATTTGGATACCATCATAGAATCCTGGCTCCAAGAGATCCAAATTAACAACAGCCTGTGCCCATTGTGATGCAGGGACATCAGAGCAATTGACCAAAATCGATTGTGGACCCCAGAGGAAGTAGTCACGTGTCACTGCAACCTTGTTCGATGTCAAACGAACGTATATTTTTTGATTACCAACACCACCACCATGGACCCATAGACTTACCATTGAATGCTATTTTATTTTTAAATAACAATATTAATAGCTATTTAAAATATATATTTTTTTAAAGTTAATTTACTTACTCTTGATGGATCGATTGGAGTTTGTAAATTGAAATACAATCCTTCGTAGTTTCTTGGGACAAAAGAGAATGAATGAGTTCCAGAGTGAACTGGTGTGGTGCAGTTGAACATTCTTGATCCAGCCCATGACCAATCTCTTGTGGTGACATGGAGAGAATCACGGAAAATGGCTTGGTCAAGTCCGTCAGCACAACGGAATGCACTGGCAAGCTGAATGCTTGCAACAGCAATTACAAGTAGTAATAGTAATTTCATAATGTAATGTTATAGGTGTTGTTGTTACAATGTTGTTTTTTATTCAACTGATTTGTTTTGATTCCTGTTGGATTCAATCTATTTATATTTTTCCATTACTCTCTCTGCTCAGTCTTGTTATTTGAGTAGTGCTACGAGTTTTACAATCTACGAAAAGAGTAAAAAGTATAAAAAATACTTATATCATATCATATCATATCCTATACATTCATTTTATAGAATCTATAAGATCAAAAAAAAAAAACCACTAATAATAATAATATCATCATTCTTTAAAAGCTTGGGGTGGAGAAAACAAAGTAGAGTGATTGAGTGGATTGGGTATTATTTTTTTATCGATTTAAATTATATTATATTCTACTACTATTTGAGTAGTGATGGTTGTGTATAACAATATTGGAAACGCCAAAAACGAAAAATGCCTCTTACCCTTTTAATTTTTATTTTTATAATAAAATATTTGTTATTTACAAAAAAACTAACTAATCTCTGACTAAATAAAATATAAATTAATCTATTGAATTATCTTAAACATTGTAGTTTTACAAATGATAAATATATTTATCTTTTATGTGTATTAATTTTATTCTATCTTATCAACCCACAATCGGTATTAAAAAATTAAAATGATCACGAAATTTTTTTTTGGGTGTTAATTATTAATCATTAAATTGCATTAAAACTCCGTAGAATCAAAAAGAAATAATTAATAGTAGTAGAATACGATCAATGTTATCTCGATCTAATATAACAGTATTCTCAAATCATAAGATAAATTGAATGTCTTTGATTTAGTTTAAATTCATTGTAATAATATAAATAGATTGATTTAATATTTATTAATCAAAAGTATTATCATTATTATGTATGTACATTGATTGATTGATTGATTGTGGAAGGAAAATGAATTTCTTGTGTATGTCCATTCTTGTGTTGCCCAGTTCAGTCCTCATTTTATTTTTTGTTTCCTTTAGAAAACAAAGTGTTTGTACATCTTTGGAAGAAATTTGTTATTATTGATTGTGTTAATGGTTTATCATTATTATTGTTATTATTATTGTTATTGTTGTTATTATTTTCATCTATGCAAACTAATGCATTAGAAGGTGTGGAAGTAGAAGAAGAAGAAGAAGAAGAGGATGGTGGTTTATCTGATATAAGCGAAATTGGTTTTGTTGTTATTGTTGTAGTCGTTGACTTATGTTTCTTACTTGGTTGTTTTTGGAGTTGTAATGTCTTTTGACTGTTTGGAGATGTTTTATTCTTTTTCGTATCTGTTGTTGTTGATGATGATGATGAAGCTGTTGTAGATTCTAGATATTAAATTTATTATTATTATAAATAAATAACATGTTAGAATGAAATTCAAAATATTAAATAAATTTAACATACTTATATCTGATTTTTTAGTAGTATTCTTACTATTATTACTATTTTTATTACTATTATTATTATTATTATTATTACTTGATGACATAATTTGTTTCTCTATCCAACGTTGTTGACTTAAAAATACTGGGTCGTTTATATCAAATGTAAATGATTGATCATTTTCATTATCTATATTTATACTTTCTTGTTTGAGTTGTGACAGTGATGATGTCGTTGTTGTTGTTGTCGTTGTCTTTGATGTATTTGTTGTTTGTGATTGCGATGAAGATGATACAGATGTTTTGATATCATTATATATTACTAATTGATTGGATACCAAATCATCTTCATTCTTTACTTGTTTTTGTTGATCTATATCAGAATCATAATCAAATAGAGCATCTGATTGAAAATCCTCTTGTTTTAATTTAACTGTTGTCGATGTATTAGTTGTAGTAGTCGTCGAACCTACACCTAACCAAGACAAAATAGCTGATGCAGTTGACTTATTATTATTATTACTATTACTATTACTTAATCTACCAAAATTACTATCTGTAGATGATCTATTAAAGAACGATGAAATAGACAACTGTTTTTTCTTACCATAGATCTCATCGAAATGACTTAGAATATTCTTTTTTTTTTTGATTTGATTAGTCAGTCATGAAACATTACTTTTCTTAATATTATAATATTAACTTACTTTAACTTTATATTCAGTATCACAATCTACTGTTGGTACAATTTCAGTAGGTCTAAATGTATCGATACATTGATAGAGTTCGTTGAAGCTGCTATGCTCAGAGTATGCAACCATGTAGATGGTTGCGGTTGCCCATCGCTTCACTGACTTTTTGGCTTGTGACCAACCGGTCGGACAGAAACCGATGACACGATTGTAACGTCCGCCCGACTTCAACACCATTTCATTCATTCGATCCAACCGGATGAATGTCATAGCGATGGCGCGATAGCAACTCTCGTTCTCGTCGAGCGTGAACAGCTTATCGATGTCCAGATCTAAACAACTGAGAATCTGGTGTTTCTCTTTGCTCACGTGTATTCTCGTTTTCTGTCGTCGTGCCACCTCCAACAATATCTTCTCCTTGCCAATCACGTACGTACCAAACAAGAAGAGTGTTCGTCCGTCGTTCTCTCGCGCCACTATATCGGCAACCTCTCGGACAATCTGTTGTTGCGGTGGAAACACGTACTGCGGATCACAAAACGTGTTGTCGAGATAGAGTCGCGTCAGCTTGATATCTCTCAACAGCGGATAGTCTGCCATTTTCGAATTGTAACGGAAATCACCGGTGTGCAGCGTGTACTCGCCGTCCACACAAAACAAAAACATCGCTGCACCCGGACAGTGATTGGCATCCAAGATCGCAACATTTACATTCTCGATCTTCATAAAGGTATTCCACGGCATCGCTTTAATATATTCACTGTCGACACCTAGTTTCGTGTAGACCAGCTTTCCTGTCTCGAAAGAGCAATAGATTGGTCCGAATTTCCATGTCTTTGTAATACCAGTGTAATGATCCGAATGAAAATGACTAAGAAAATAATGTTTATAATCTTCTGATTTATATTGAAAACCTGTTATATTATATTTCGATATATTAATATAACTATTTTGCAGATATATATAAGATTTAAATCTTTATTTTACTTACCATCAACTAAAAAGTTTGTTCCTTTAACAATTTTAAAAGATGGTGTAATACGCTTTGGTTTTGTTGATGTTGTTGTTGTTGTTGTTGCTTTTTTCGTTGTTGATTTAGGTGTTGATTTACTCTTTGAGGTAGTTGATTTAGTTTGTTTGGATTTTGGTGTAGATGTTGATTTTGCCGTTGTTGATGTTGTACGTTTTCTACTTGATATCGATTTATATTTTGAATTTGAATTTGATTGATCTACCGGTGGTATGTTTGGTAGTAAATCTTTATCTGCCAAGAAATCAAATTCAAAGTCATCATTGTCATCTTGTTGATTAGCAGGAGTGTCATCTGATGGTATATACATATCTAAACCTAAAGATTGCGATTGACTATCTAGTGGATCTACAACCTTGTCGACATTCTCCTCGTCTTCATTTTCATTTTCATTCCTGCTATGTGGCTTATCATCATCACTTAGATTATTATCGTTAAAGTCATCATAATCATCGTCCTCTCTATTTTCTTCTTCCTCTTCTTTTTGTTGTTGTTGTTGTTTTACTTCTTTATTATTTACACTATTATTTACATTATTATTATTATTTTTTTTAATATTATATTCATTCTCATCTATATCTATATCCTTTGGTATTGATGTGGTAAATATATCGATATCGTCATCATCATCAAAAACATGTTTAAACTGATTCATAAATAAACGTTATATATGCTGTTTGCATATCTTTTTTTTAAAGTTGCTCATTAATTTTGTCGATCATAAAGTTCATGCTTTTTCAAAAATTTCTTGGAAATCGAAACTTGTTGAATTTTTAGCGCAGCACAACCACTGAATTAAGGCGGGAAGCTCTTAAAAAGTGAAAAATGCTCAAATAAAAAAAAATAGAAACTCATAATTAAAAAATTAAAAATAAAAATTTATTACAAAATGATCGTGGTTTATGAGAATTGACTATTTTGAGAATTAACAGATTTCTTTTGAGTATTAATTGTTCAATGAGATTTGATTAAATATGTTTAAAACGTACAATAATTTATTTATAACAAATAATAATGACAGTAGAATCATTAAAAAGAAAGAAAAGTAATACAAAAGTGAAGAGAACAGCATTAGACAACAAGATGTTAGCTTTTGCTGTTGAGGATCTTTTAACCTATGGAGTTTGGAGTTACTGATGATATTTGTAAAAATATAATATAACAAAGTCATCTGGATACAGATATGCTAGACAGTTCATAGAAACTGGTGACATTAGAGTTGTACAGTAAGAAGAGAGGGCCTGTCAAAGGAAAGAGAACCAAGATAACTCCAATGCTTCAGCAATTCATAATGGACAGAGTAGACTCTGAGCAATGCATCACTGGAGAGCAGCTAAAGAGAGATACAGGACCGTTTTCAGGTTTCAGTTGGGAAATCTACAATGAACTTTAACTTTGTAAGTTTATAAATGACTCTGCATCACCAAAAAAGAAGAGAAAGACAACAAAGAATGTCAGTAAAGATGATGATGGTGATGATGGTGATGATGATGACGATGATGGAGAGAATGATGATGGTGATGGTGACGAAATAATAATAATAAAGGAAAGAAAAAATCAGCACCCAAACACGTGAAGCAACAACAACTAAATCAATACGTGGAAGAAGAAATAATAAATAAATCTAATTTTTTACCAACACATTAATCATTCATTTAAATACCTTGTCATTTATTTAACATTTAAAATAGAGGTTTATAGTAATAATAAAGTAGTTATATAACTCTACAATTTACCATATAAAAGATTCAAAAAGTTAGTTGGTGTATCAAAAAGTAGCATTGACATTATTCTAGATGAATACCTTGTTCATAATCCGTTGACCCATCCAAACTCCACTAAATTCCTACGACCATTGGATAGGATAATAATCACAATGTTTCATATGAGACATTATACATCTGATATATTTACAGGATTTTTATTTAGGATCTCAAGAACAGCAGTTAATAGAGTTAAAATGGCCATGATTGAATATTTATTCAGTAGAGTTTATACAAACGATATACCTCCTCCTCAACCTACATTGATAAATCGATACACACACTCTAACTCTAAACTTATAATTCTGATCTATCAAAAAGAGAGATAGTTAAGTTTTATTTCTGTAACGATAATATTCTTGGTTCAGTGGATGGTACAGAAGTAAGAATTGAAAAGCCACTTGACTTAAGATTGGATACATTGTTTTATTCAGCAAAGAAAAAGCAACATTCTTGGTAGAAGCAAAGTATTCAAATGTCTTTCTGAAATGTTTAGATACTCAGGTAGATTGAATGAAGATCAAACATGTAATCTAAATGACCACTATTGGAGAGCTGTTGTCTATGTTTATTTCGATATAGAAAGAACTTGTGAAAGAAGTATATTCTCTAAAATCAATTATTTATAATCATTTATAATAATAAGCAACAAAAAATGATTATTATTTAATAAAAACGATGTATTAATACTATTAATAAATCATAGAAACCCTTTGATATTATTATATATGAAATTTTATTTATTATTAATAATTCTTTTTAAATATTGAAATACTGATTTACTTTACAGAATGCGTATATTTTTTAAAAAAAAAATTCATTAATGAGCAAATTTTTTGATCTAAAATGATCAACAACAGTGCAAAGTCTAATAAGATTTGTAAAATACCAGTCAGGATTTCAAGCGGATATTCCACCAGATGATCTATTAGATTTACATTAAATTTTATTAAATCTCGAGTAAAAACTCAAATATTTTTTCAACCCACCATACAATTTATATGACACAAAAAATATTTGACTTTTTTGCAAAAGTAAAATATTTGAGTATTCGAATATTCATACATTTAATATATTCATTTTATGAGAATTCATGTATATTTGTTAGTGAAAATACAAAATATTAGAGTATTAGACTTAAATATTATAGTATTCAAAATATACAAATTTATTTAGAACGAATTGATGTATATCTGTTGGTGAACAAGGCTGCAATCATCCAAACCTTATGATGTTTGTTTATGCTATTGATTTTAGATAACAAAAAGGGAAAACAAACGGAGGTAGCTTTGTATTTTCTCATTCTTCCAATTGAGTTTTCTACTACAATTCGCACTTGCTTTATCCTGTTGTACGTCAAATGCCTTTAGTTGTTCTTCTGATCAAGGTAATATCAGCAATACTACCATAGTTACTTTCACCTAAGTGGAGGATCTTTCCCTTGGGGTCAACATAAACAAGTTTGGTAAAAGTATGATACTTTTTCTTTCCTGAATAAATTGCTTCTGCCAAATATTTATCTTTACACGTGCATCTACAATTATTGTAATATATCGTTCATTGCCATATGGATCTATAATTGTTTCACCCGACCTCATTCTAGAATCTAAATCCGGAGGAATTACCTCTTTTATAGTTATTTCCGAAAGTACTTTAATTCCCTTGTTTACACAATCTGATATCCAAGACTTTTCACGAGTAAAGAATAAAGATAAAACTGAATATGAAATACAATGACGAAGCCAAATTAAGAAGATATAAACTTCTTCTTCTGTTAATTTAGTTTCTTTTTGTAAATCGTCGAATGATTTCTTATCCAAACCAATCAAACTTGTGTTATACATTCGGGGTGAAAAGTGAGACCAAATAGTATCTGTAATTAATTTTGAAAGTTTATTATTAATTTTGATTTAGGACAATGAGACTAATTTCTTTTTATAGATATAAATAAATGAATTTTGAAATAGACTATTAAATGATTTTATTGATTCACCATAAGAGAGTACCGCACACGTTGAATAGAATATAAAACATTATTATTAATAAATTGTTTGTTGTTGATCTTTTTAAGGAAAAAAAAAGCGGTACCTTAAAAGAGGCGACGTTGGTGAGCCATCTTCAAATTTCTTTAAACCATCAACATTTTGATATCCAATGAAATCAAAAACAGATAACAAACAATATAAATTAATTGGACATTCGCCAAGCAATAATCTTACTACCAATTATTAATCACACTTCCTCATATAACCCATCCTTTCACAATTCATACACCACCTCGAGTTTCAAATACAACAATGTGAATCGACACATACCATCATATCAACGACCAAACTATGAAGACTATTTAGAATCGATGCCATATCCATTCTAAACAACAACAACATCAGCAACAACAACAACAACAGTTACGAAAAAAAACAACAATATCAACAAAAATATTAACATCATCAGTGACAACAACAATACAACACACAATACTAAGTCCCATATTGAACCTGTTTCCTCTCCATCACCATAAATTAAGATTAAGGAAGAGCCTACCGTACCTGGCTTTGTAAACAAATATATTCCTATATAAACAGACAACACAATACTTACAAACGTGTTTGATTAAAATATGATGATTTAACTTCTTATGACATAAAGGACATACCTTTCCTTCTGCTTTAAAGTTGTCCTCTATTAATTTACGTCTTTTCTCTAAAGTTTTATCTCCATTATTAATATGTAAAAGCGCCAAATATTGAAATATTCTGTTTTTTTTAATTTAATATTCAAATATTTGGGTGTTTTTTGTTGAAAAAAAACTCATTAATGTGGATAGTCTGTGTGATCAGCTTTTCTCAAAGATTGATTTAACCAATGATTGGATTGTTCTAGCCTCAAATGTTATAATCCTGAACGATCTCAAAATCCTCAATAACACAAAAATGAGGATTCATAAGAATCTCCATCAGTTCTACCACTTCATCATATAACATCAAATAATATTTCTATTAAAGTTTTTTTCTTGACGATTCTGTATGAATAATCGCAGTATTATAGAACTCTCTTTGTTTTATTCTTTTTTATTTTGTTTTTTTCTTTGCGCTTTTTAAAAGTTTGTTGTTGGCGCGGTGTTGCCGAAAGACAAAACTTGGCATCTCAGCTTTTGGATATAATAAATAAAGATATCACCTAAAATAACCACAACAATAAACATACATAAAAAACAAATCAATTTCAACTTAACCCTATTAATGCTCATTCATTATATTATATTATATATTAATATATAATTTATATATACAAATATTAGATGAACTGAATCCAGAACCTACCCACCCTCCTGTACACACCTTCAAACCAACAACTCAACCTAAAAAAGTATATAACATTAATATATACATACAATAATTTAAAAAAAAAAAGAAACTGGTATTGTGGCTTGTCCAAAATTTAAGGTTAAATTAATTTTTTAATTAAAAAAAAAAATAGGAGTTTGAAAAAAAAAACAAAAAAAAAAAAGGCTTTGTGTGTTTATGATTCAATTACCTTAATTAATTAATCTGATTACTATAATTTGATCAAATGCCAATAAATGTATCTATTTCTTTTATTTTGAATATTTAAATATATATGTATATAATTATATATATTTAGTTAACTTGTGAAATGGAAAAATGAAATTAAATTTGTATGTGAAAAATAAAAACCGTGGGGTTGATAGTCACAAAACAAAACTGGCTCCCAACAACTTTCGCCTGCGCATTAATTAAAAAAAAATGAAAAAATTAAAAATTAGTGGGGTTAATGTAATCAGAGTGGTTTTTTTTATTTTATTTGATTTATGGTTACAAGCAAGAGCCAGTTTTGTTTTGTGAATAGTATGGTGGTTGAAAAATTTAGTGTGGTGATTTGTAAAAATATTCGACTTTTTTTTTGAGTATTCGTGGTTGAATACTGCAATATGGAACGGCCCAAGTGAGTTATTATTAATAAATCAATTTAAGTTTGATTAATTTCTATCTATGAATGGTGTTGTTGATTGAATTGGATGATCAATAATCAAAAAGGAACTGCTACTATACAATCAAATGTGGTGTTTATCTCTCTTAGTATGCAAAATTTTATCATTTTTTGGGGGAGGGATAAAATGAAATTATACAAATATAAATATATAATTCATTCTAGATTAAATCATTTTAAACTATTTCACTTTAATAGTATCAATTAGATTACTAAAGAGATATTTCTTTTTAAAAATGACAACAAAGATAGTTTTTTTATTATTTTTATTTTTTACAATAGTTTTTTTTGGTAAATATTGAAATTGAAGTCAACTTTTAAAGTTAACATTGTAATGAACCAAAATTTAAAATTATATATTAAATAATTGAACTTTTAGTAAATTCTCTGGAATGTGATCCTCGTTGTGATTGTGACGCAGTATCAGATGGTTGCCCCGCTCCTCGTAAATGTATGAAACCGGATCCAGATAGTCCTTCTAATTTTATTCAATGTAATGATGCAGGAGAGTTTTCTTTATTCCCATGTCCAGATGGTTCAAAATGGTTTGATTTTGGACTACGTTGTGAATGACCAGTAAATAGTACATGTCCGCGATCAGCTTTGAATGTATTAGGAGTAGATCTTTAATAGTTTTGTTAATAATAAAAAAAAAATTGAAGTGGTCATAAACATTGTTATCATCGGTGAACAACGTAATCAATTGTGATTCATCCGTATCGTTACTGTAATTATTATTGTTAATTAATGTATTATCGTTATTATTTTTATAGCTATTAGATACGGTGTCGTTATCACTGCTCAGTAGTCCTTCAATGTTTGATAGGTCACTCATATGAACTGTGAGAAATGATGCTAATATTGATTAAAAGAGTAGCTTCTAATGGCTATTCTTCAATCGTGTTGTGATAGATGTTTCTCTTCTTCTGATTATATATGAAAGTTGAAAAAGTTGTTCCATAGGAAATGTACACCTGCCGTGTTGCACGAATGTACATTTAAAAGGATTTTTGTCCTAAACAACATTTGAAAAAATAATATTTTTCTTTTAAAAACTAGGTAATATTAAAAGAAGTATATAATCAATATCAAAAGCAATTGGATATTTGATCCACATCCACAATTCACTATTAAGAATTGATCAAATTTTGTGCTCGAAGATACACACATTGTTTTAATCTGCTAGAAGAAAAAATAAAAAAATAAGTCAGTATGTGTGTAATACCAAAAATATTATTTAATTCAAATTATTATTATTTTCACAAGGTGTATTTAAATAAAAACAAATTAGTGTTAAAAACTATGTCTGGTCAGGTGTGGGGTTTTAAAAGGTTAATAAATTGAAAGTTGTTCTATTTTATACTAACCATTTTGTTGATACCGGGGATTGGTTTAGTTAATCATTATGGTAGAGATTATTGAAATAAGATAAATAGTTGGTAAAAGTAATTTTGATGATTTATTTAAGTTTTGAAAGTCTTTCTAATTCAAGATTGTTTAATTTTATGATAATATCAGTTGGAGTTCGAATAATGATGAGTTTTTAATTGGGAGATATTGATCGATTGCTATGAAATCGGTATCGATTACGTTGTCGTTGAGTGTTGACGATCTGCTATCAATCATTCTGTTTTCAGTTGACATCAAACTGGATGAAGAAGAGCATGCATATGGTGTTTTAAAGTTGATATCATAATTGCAATTTAGTATTTCGTAGGCGCTTACTGCTTCGTGAGTCTCACCACATGAAATATGAATGGTTGTTAGTCTTCCATAGTTTGATAAAGCTCCATCTTTTCTTCCATAGTAGGTAACTTGAACACCTGTTCCTGTTGCTGTTTTATTTTATATAAAAATAAGCATATCATTTTAACTAAATGATTGGGATAGATTTAATATATTTACCATTTGGTGCCCATACACCACTTAATGTTTGACCAATATCTTCAAAGAAACCAGTACCTTGTTGGCAAACAGAAATACCATTGGTTTTCAAATTTGTTGTGCAAGTTGGCGCAGATCCACAAACACTAAAAGAATATGTGTATTTATCAGCACCAGTGTATCCGATTACACTGTATTGAGTTCTATATTTTTTTGGATATTTATATTGTTAGTTATAATTTTTGATTATTGAACCATTCAAGAGATTAAAAAAAAGTTCTCTTTATATTAGATTCATAAGAAATATATTAATATACACACTGAGAAAGTGCTGAGAAATCAAATCCACCAAATTGACAGTTTGGAACTTTGGTTGGTGTACAAGCAAGAGGAGTATAATAAGAAATAATTACTTGACATGGTGCTGGTTCAGAAATTCCTATCAAAGTGAAAATGGAACCACAATAAAATTCAATTGTTATTGTTTTGGTTGTTCCACCAGTTTCACAAGCACCACCAGAATAAACAACTTGGGCACCTTGACCACGCTCTGTTTCAAAAAATAATTAATATATTTATGTATTAAACATTATTGATTTCTTTATCTTACTCAAAATTGACCAAACACCGGTGTTGAGAGTTGATTGGGTTGTGAGGACTGTTGGAGATGAAGGTGATGATGTACAACTTTGGGTGTTGATACCATTGAATATACAGGTATATGGAGTACCACAAATTTTGAAGAATACATTTTTCTAAATATTTGAAAAGTAAATAAAAGAGTGAATAATTATTTTTCTTGAATTTGATGGGCATTATAGATACATACAGGTTGATTATTATATCCTGTTATTTTGCGTCCGTATGTTGTTCTAATAGAATTGGTATTAGTAAAAATGTTAAAGTACGATGCCATCTGTTATTGTAAATAATTACTTTGCAAGTGATGAGAAGTCCATTCCATTGAATTGACAATTTGGAATGACTGTTGGACATGCTTGAGG